TTACAGTGTCATTAAAGCCAATAAATAACAGAATGGCTGTCGGAATGTCCTTTTAGCAATAAAGATTTTCTATTGATTAAATGAAGGTAGTCATGGCCTTAAATTAATATTGGTTCCAAATTCATAAACAAATTTTACATCACACAATACAATGAAAATAGATCGATATTTTGATATATTAAAATGACCCAAAGGTTAACATTTAGAGACTAGCCATTTACCTTTTTGATTGTCATAAACACAATATATTATCCTCTCATTTATGAAACTGGACTAACGGTGATAGGATCGATCTAATTGACCAAATTAGGTAATAGTCCCTGCTGGTTTGCAAGGTGTGGGGCATTCTATTTCTTATTTAGAATTTAGTACTTTAATGGTCAGTCTTTAACGTAAAGCAATCAGAGGTGTTGGCATCTTTAAATAAGAGAGCAGGGATGTAATTCGACAGAACTCATGCAGACTATCATAACAGCTATATCAAACAAGCCAACAATGAGGCTGATGTCCCCACTGAAATCCAAAATAAATAGATGACACATATTGATTATTTGCACATTGATATTTTTCAAAAGTATTGCGCCATCAAACTGATTATCTATACTTGGTCTCAGCTTAAAAATGTTCATTCATCACTCTCGATCAGTTAGAATCAAAGTTATCTTGTTCCAAAGCATCGGACCATGAAATTGCTTAGCTTAGCTTTAGTGAGAAATATTAGTCATTGAACATTCACCTAATGAACATCTACATCAATATGATCAAGTTTAAACATTCTACCTCAATTAAAAGCAACGGTACAGGAATTTGTACATTAATAAATACAGTATTTAATGAACTTAGTGACAAAATAGATAATCAAAATGTAGTACCGTTGCTGCGATAATAAACAATCTACACTACATTTTGTCAAAACAACTTCAAATACACATAACTTTATACAGAATAAAGTAATTTTAGTGAAGAGATGTTAATAAAAGTGATAATTTTACATATTAAAAATCTCAACTATTGCAGAATAATACCTTTAATTTCATTTTTGCAATTTTGACATTTTGATTTATAAGACATTGCTTTTAAACCATCATGGATTTTCTATGTTCATATACAGTACTGCATGTACATGTAGTAGTGGTAGCCCATACAGATATTTGTTGACTTGAGAAGCAGATGTGGCCAATAAATTTAAATCAATTTCTTGACGACCACACTCCAGGTATTTGATGTGTAGAAATATCCCAACATTGAGCTTCCTAGTCTATAATAATTCCCTGGATATATTCTCACATAATCAGTATACATTGTCATGTAGTTATTCTTTCCTTAGTAAAAATTTTAGATACATTATGGGAGATTAGATAAAGATCTGGCAGTTCTCACTATAATAGTTAAAAACTAGATACTGTAAAGGGAATTTGCTGAAAATTTCAGTCAAATTGATCCACTATGAACTTATGAACTGAGATTTTAGCGATTGAATTTTCAGCCTAGCCTCGATCATCATTACTGAAGTCGATAGGATAAAAAACATAGTCTCCATTATCCATTTCATAATTTAATTATGAATGGAAGTCGAACCGAGATTTTAGCGATTGAATTTTCGGCCTAGCCTCGATCATCATTACTGAAGTCGATAGGATAAAAAACATAGTCTCGATTATCCATTTCATGATTTAGTTATGAATAGAAGTCGAACAGCAAATCGGAACATAAGCCAATAAACATCGCAGCCTAGCGATGCCATTGAGGGTTGATTAGAGTCTGGATAAGTTAATTAATGTCTAATAATTTAGATCTGCAATCAATAGGCAGATTTTGCTCTTGCATAATGTATGTTTAAAGGTAGGTTGCCAGGCAACAAAACATACGCCCACAGCAGCTAAGTCGTCTGGGCAGTCAACAAGTGTTGTCGGATATTTTTTCTTTTGTCAGTAATGATAACATTTACAACACATGAAAATCTGATTATGAGTAATAACCCATGAAGTAATTATCAGAAAACATTAGAATTTGTTTCGATTGTTTGTCTGATGTCCTTAAAACAATTTATATTAATTTTAGCCTCTAGAGGGTCCACAAGATTTTTCAAAGTGATCAAGGGCCACAAATCTTGCAGTAATTATCAGAAATCGCTGAAAATCAATAGACTTCTTCGTCTCATGACCTTAAACACTGAGTATAAATTCAAAGTAAATCGGATATTATCTTGGACACCGGAACTACGGAAGCGACGACAAAATATGACCACATTTTAATGTGGGCGTTTACAGAACGGCAATTTGAAGATGTATTATGTAATAGAGAAAAGGGCTGACAGTTTCCGCTATAATAGTTTAAAAATAGAAAATGAAAAAGGGATATATTGAAAATTTCAGTCAAATTACTACATTCTGAGTGAAGTTATGACTGTTTGAAGAATAGCGTACCGGTAGTCTTTATTTTCACTGCTACCATTGTTATAGTACCGGTCACCCAGAACCTGTTAGACTTCAATGTACGGAGGGTCGGGGATTGTTGTCAATATTTGACAAATAGTTCCATTACCCATGTGTAAACGGGAGTTTGTTTTTTTATGGGGTTGATTATCCAGTATCTTTGGCAAGTCAAGTTAGAGTTGCGCCCCTTTCCGCAATAAATCCCATAATTCTTGCATTAATATAAACAAACAAATCGTGATGACGAATTAGGATTGATTAAAAAAAACATACATATGGCCCATGACGAGAGAAATTTTACAATAAAAAAAAATTAAAAGTGTTGGATATTGAACTGGCAATGCAATCAAATGGATTTTTTCAAATGACATTCTTTAATCAATTTATGGGTGTCAACATCATGTTTTATGACTTATTACCTCCATTAGACTTTGTTTATGATAATGTAAAAGACCAGATAATTTAGCCAATGACCTCTAATTCTCAATGCATCCAGACTCACATTCGTAGAATATTTTACTGGATGATAGAGACTAGGCTACCATTGTTATGATAATAAACAAAGACTTGATTATCCATTTTTAAATTAGATGATTAAATGGTGACTATGTTTCAATCTGTTCAAAACCACAACTATCCAATGCTCTAGATAACTGATAAAAGGCTTGTCATGTGAATAAATATCTAATTAATAATTCATATAACATTTGAGGCTAAAAGAATGATCTGCAATAGGTAGATTTAGCTCTACATAATGCATCTACATGTATAGGGCTTTATTATATTTTTCCATTGAATGAAAAACTAAATTTAGTGCCTTAAAAGTGCTTTCTTTTCCATTCAAAATCTAATCAATCTGCCTACAACTGATCCAACATGTGACTCTCATTCGCTCTTTTTCCATGGGACCATAAAGCCCTTTGACCTCCTTTACATAATACAAAAATGAATAGTTCAATATTTAAAGTACCGGTAGGTGTTAACTACTGAACTTGGTATAAATTTAAGAAGTATTTAATGCCACATCATTGTGTAAACATTACGAGTAGATCCCATACCTAAATATATCACATAATCTATCCTTCCTTAGCTTGCTTTCACACATGACCAAGATCTAGTAAGTAGATAAAATACTATCTATATATACATGTACATGTATATCCTAACATTAGATGATCAGCTGCCAGCCAACGAAGCATACCAATATGTCATCCCAGCCATCCACAAAGGTTGTCACATATTTATTCTTTTGCAGGTAATGAGGCAGTAACAAAACAACCCATGATGAAATAATCAAAATTTGATTTCCTTCTAGTTCTTTCTAGTGCATACATTTATTTTACAAAACATGTACCAGCAATCAGATGACAACTTCAGCTATTGACATTACTAGAAATTGTTGAATAGGATTCTTCCCCTCATGAGCATGAACACAGCATATTAATATCAAATCAGTTGGTTAATAACTCAATTAGCTATCAGAAGGTAAATAAGATTTCAGTTTTCCTGAATATGTTGTTGGATGGCTTGGATCAGTGGCATGGAGAGATTTGGTGATGCCATGGCCAACCGGTTAATTGTATGCCCCCAAGACTCTAGTATAGGACCTGTACTCAAACATGTCAGACATGTAAAAACAGACGACATAAACTTTTTATTCAAATTAAGTAGGACAGTTTCTACAACAATGCTAATGCTACCATTTCTAATTTTTCACTAAATCTCTTAATTTTAGTTTCACTCGTTGATTTGATATCCCCTTGAAATCAATGCCCCGAGCCCTCATCCCCTCTGTCTACCCATCTTCTCCACATGCCACTGGGCCTGAACACCATGTTAGAGATTACGAAACGGGCCAATACTTTTCATTCCTCAATGGAGCATGTAAAAAATATGAGCAAAACATAATTTCATGTTACCTTTATACAGTACCTCACTTTTTAGAATATTTTTACACAGATGGTTTTATTTTTTTTCAAAAATACTTTCATACTGTCAGATTAAGAGTTACGTGTAGATATTAATTTAATTAAGCATACCTTCCTTTCTAAATGGAAAGTAGGGCATAGAGTTATAATGTCTTTTAGAGGGGTGTATCTTTATTCTCTCTCTCAAGAAGCCTTGTGTATCATATTAAGCTAATATAAGCACATTAAGCAGTAACCAAACCATGGCATAAAACATAACATACACTTTTAAAAATTGTTACTATTTTTACAATACCGAGATGTTGATCGACTCGTATGAGGTTTTATGTAATAATAAATACGGACAATATACATTACAGTGCATGCAAATCACTGTATCAACATTGTATTCAATAACGATAACTTTCCCAGATAAACACCAATCTATGCCATTATGTTACTGGTCGTAAAGCAAATTAAATAACAATAACGGTACATTTTTGACCGACATTTTCTGTTCTGATTGTCAGCACCGTAACTCGAGCCCTTTTCAATTTCACCGTAAAATTGTTTTGTCAAGTGCTAGAATGCATTATAGTATAAAAATTAATAATTCAATTAAGTTATGACAGAAGCAACTAGTAAATCAAACACTTACTTTTAGCTCTATTGTCCGTGTTTTTTATCTCTAATGTTATAAGTAGAGTATTATCGCACTGTCCAGAACACGCAATAAGGTCAACTTGCCAGCGCTCGGAATTCTGGGTAATGTGAAAAGGCGTACAAGTCTACTGCTCGTTGGCATTATATTGACAGATAATAAAAAATGCTCTACTTTTTTATCCACCTGGAAATAGCATTGTTCATAGAGGAAGGATAAAGTAGCCTAACTCATAGTTGAAACCGTGCAAACAGATAAAAGTACTGAATTCTCAGCTACTTTTATTTGAAATTAAAACCATATAAGATAGCCTACTATAGGTAGACCTACGAAGCGACAATCCTAGCTCTTGCACAAGTAAAAGAGACCTTGCATGAATTCTAGGTTATCACCAATTATAAGAAGATTAGCAATCGACGCCGTGTGCAAGTTCCAGATTTGGAAGGTTATTAATATCATTTGTGTTCATTCAAGAACGTATATATAATAGTAGGCTGCCGGTCTATTAAATTACTATGGTCGATATGGAACGCGACATTTCCACGTGTTGATTGATATTAAAAGTAGATCATAATGATGTCAGCAAATTGTGTGAAATAGCTTTATTTTACGTCCGCTTCCACAGAGGTGATATCGCAGCTAGACAATTAGATGGTATAATATTATAATGTACTGAAGATCTTGTCAGCAAAGACGAGGAGTTGAGTAATGTGCAATGGACTTTTAAGACAGCGGTGTACGTAATTTGGTAATCTTTATAAACGTTCTTTGATGTAGGTCATTTTAAATGAATACAATTTCTATTAATAAATTCTGATAAATACCAAAATTAAACCCCAAAACACGAATTTTACAAGATAATGTTGTTCAAATATTAGTACAGTTTGAATCATCAGGGTTCGGTGTACATTCTATATTTATCCAAATATTTTACTAGTGTAACATAATCAGATCATCTAATAACCGTGGATTGGACTTCTTTAATTCAACAAGACGGTAACAAACATTAAACTACACTCCATGCATAACAACCAATACATATTATAATATTGTAATCTTTACGGCCCGTCTTAATTCACGTCTGTGTTGAGCTACTCAACTCAACTAACTGAACTGACTTCATCAGAAACCTTAAGTGAGGTATGAAGTTACATATTATTGATATTGAATAAAAAGAATTATGATGACAGCTGAATACTAATAAATAAATAAATTAAAGGTCGGCGGGTTCTCCGACATGACCATTTCAATAATCATACTGATGTTGGTAACAGCGGTTAGGTCAAAAGGACAGCAGAGACTTCACCCTTTGTTACATTTTCTATGTCTACGTACAGTTACCATATAAAATCCTTAAAAACGTAGGGCTTTCCATCCGAAGGACTAGGCTTTGTGCCGAATGTTTAGCGCGTGCGCGCTGTATGATAAAGTCTGTCATTGAGTCAACTGGTGTGGTTTCGATTCCCCAGTTGTACATGACAAGGAGTAGGGTCGCCTGTCCAACCTCGTGGGTTTTCTCCGGGTCCTCCGATTTCCTCCCACTGCTAAAGATCCCTACGCGCAAGCGAATTATTGAAATAAAACTGAACTATGTGTTAGTCCCAAAATGACCTAGTTTGTGTCAAGTGAACGTTAAACCCCATCTCTCTCTCTCTCTCTCTCTCTCTCTCTCTCTCTCTCTCTCCTTGTCAGACACCCCGTCCTACACCACATATAAATATCACGTTTGAAAATCCAGACGACGTCGAGGTGAGTGAGCCAGTGCCTTACACACTGAGTCGCCGCGAATCCTAACTGAAATAAAACGCTATAAAAAAGCATTACTTAAGATTTAGATAAAGAGCTGGTCGTTTTTGCTATACTAGTTCAAAAATAGTTCGTTGCAAAATGAATATATTGAAGATTTCATTCAAATTACTTTATTCTGTGTGAAGATATAGCCTTTGGCAAACTCTTTGGAGTTTGACAAGATGTGTGCACTGATTGTAACCATCGTACTGGTTGTTCGAGGCTTAGCCTCGCTTCGTCATTTTTTAATTAAATCATTAAAGGTCCGAACCGTTCTAATCTAAAGTTCATATTACTTTCTATATTAATTTTACGAACGTGGGGACCAAGATCGTTATTATAATCTACAGTATTATTTTGTTTGTTTTAATAATTAAAATTATATAGCACACATTTCAACCCTTGCCAACTTTAATACTATTATTTAGGAAAACGCTTAGTGATCTTCTTTCGCATTACGATATACAAATTTCAAACCTGTGCGGATGGTTATCAGGAAGAATCGCAAAAAGTTTATGCAGACTGATTGTCCCTGTCGTCTAAACCTTGTAACCGCTCTGTACGCTCTATACTTGACTAACAGGTTTCGCGGTTTGGTTCAGTTCCTTGTATTTGGGATTCTAGGCAAACCGCGTCGGTTGTTTCCGGTGTTCTTACGGTATTCTAATTGCTACATTTACGCATTTATCTAATACCCCCGTTAGACTAGGGTGGCGTCCTTACTCCGCTGCTACGGCGACGGAAAATGGTTTTAAAGCGCGTTAAAATCGCCATAAGCGTGGTGGAAACACCAGCTATCGTGCTGTGGTCACCATGGTCGCCAATGATCGCCGATTTACGGCGTTTGTTTTGAGCATGTTCAAAACAAACGCCAAGGTTCTGCTGCGATCTGAACTGGAAAGCTATGAGAACACGACTTTTTTCAAGTTTGTAATTTTTTGGGGACATTTTCTCGCGTTGTGTTCACGTTTGCCGGCATCCTTGTGCATTTTCTGGTCGCCGTACGGTCGCAGCAGCCCAGTAAGGTCGCCACCCAAGTCTGACGAGGGTATAACGCTCTGCTAGGGTCTTGGAGCGGCGGTGGTTCAGTAAGTAATACGCAGGCTCGCTAACCTGGAAGCCCTGGTTCGATCTTAGGTAAAAGAACCATTCACATTTGGGATTCCAAGTACTGTCCGGGAAAACATTCCCTCATTGAACACCGCATGGTGTATTCCTGTCTTCATTATCCCTGTTGGAGCAGAAAAGTGCCATACTGTTATCAACAACATAACCTTTTGTAATTAGTATAAATGCTTTGGTCTGTTTTTTGGTATTTGTACTCGGTCTATGTTACTAAATTTGTTAAATTGCATAATAATAAATAAGGAATAAAGTGTACAAAACAAATGTTATAACAAGCATAATTTTGTGAATTATATTTGAAAAGAAATAAGCTGGAAAGTGTCATACTGAATGCTGAACATGACCAATGTTATTTTAAAACAAGAGCATCCAACAAGGTCCAAATACAAACATCCGAGATTGGCCAATTTTTTTTAGGGATTCGCCTTAATAATTAAGGTAATTGACTGCAAAAGCCACAGTTAACTCAATGTGTTGGGTTTTTTCTTTTTGTTTGGTTTTTTTTTTTGGATAAATGTAGCAATCCACTAAATACGGAGTGGGGTCTCCCTTGGCCCACCACATAAAAATTATACACAGAAAACAGGAGAAGAAGGATTTTTGTATAACGGAATGCATGATTTGAGAAACTTCACCAACTTTTTGTACTAAACTAATGTACGTTTCCTTGCTTGTGTATTTAGGCGATTTGTGCTGTGCACAAGTTTCTGGAAGCAAACCTCATTTCCGACAATTTGTAAGCTATAGCAGATCTTATGTTAAACACGTTACAAATATAAACTAAGCAAGTATAAAAAAAAATTAAAAAAACCCTGGTTCTCTAGTAATACCGCATGACCAATTTTCATTTTCAAAACTAAAAACTAAAAACAATCTTATTAATTAACATCTGTGAATGCTTTACCTCGGTTGCAGGATTATAAAAATCTGAATGACTCCAGAAGTGTGAGGCTTATTTATCAGGTAGGCTACTATAAAAAAAACATGATCAAGATAAAAGTCATATTCTTTAAGTGGCATTTAGTAACTGGGCAGATAAAAAAAACCTATAAACATACTTATGGAAAACAGCTACTGATTTATTTAGGCGACGTTTCGAAGAGTATTCTCTCAACGTTTTCAAGATAAATGTCGTTCCTTGACGTGTGATGTTTATAAGAAGTCATTTAGCCCCCAGTAATCCTTTGACAAAATAAAAACCTCCCTCCCGCATCAGATTTATTTTGTAAGGATTTGAATATTGTACAGAGTTTAAGATTCCGGAAGTAAATCAGAAAATATGTCAGGGAAAAATCCTATCTATCCGTTCAACATTTTAAGTAGTTATTATACACCGATCAACTAGTGATGTGTGGATCAGCAGGCCAGCACCACCGATCTTGGAAATTATCCCCCTTCTTCTGAACAGTTCTCCACCATTTGACATGTTTGCCTAGATTATCTTAAAGACCATTTAGACTTCATTTACAGAAGTAAATACAAATTTATATTTGTATTATATTACAGGCTGAAACTTTGGTATTTACAAGCTAGCAGTGCTACTAGAACGAATGATGTTGCTCGACTAGATCCTATAATTTCTTCAGGTAATCTAGTGGTTGGCAACTTCTAGTTGGTGAGCTACACAAAGGTTGTTTAGCAGATGTGACACGTGGAGCAGAAACACTGGAGACTTTTGGCAAGCGTTAATTTCTGGTCCGTATTGCGAATCCGTATGGATTTTGCGTGTGACGTCATCAATGTGTGTATATTTCTCATACGTGATACGTTACACGGATACGACAGCACGTATCGAACAGCTGTCATGCGGAAAAGGTCGGTATAACATTGTCGTGTCCTTTTACCGTCTTTTTTGCTACTTTTAGACGCTGAAATGTTGTATCGTAGCGTTTTTATGAATCTTTATGTATTCTAGAACACGAAGGTGTATAGTTGATGTGATTTTAACCATGATAGTTGATCTACGAATTTAGGGAGGCGGAACCTTGCAAATCTGTAGATGATTTTATTCTGTGGTAAAGGGGTATAAACTTTTTGAAATGATACTTTTGTGAAACCAAAAATTGCAGTCGAGTCGAAGTCGAAGATTTTTAATAAGATGCGACATTAATTTTTTTTTTAATAGCTCAGCGACTGTCGAGCGACTTCATTCCCTCCGGGAAATTGTCGGCTCTAATAGGCACTTGACTAGTACTGATGATGCCATCATGCTGTAACAGAACTAAGCTCAGCTGATCGACGCACACGTTCGCGACGCGAAAATCTGCCAAAACTCTAAAACTACATTGACGCAACGTATCACGTATACGATACGGATACGTGATACGGATGGGAAAATTCCGCTTGCCAAAAGTCTCTGTTATAAATGAAATGAAATGAAATGAAATGGGTTTAACGTCCTACTGTTTTGCTCCGGGCTAATGAAAACGGGCATACGCCATACAGTGTGCTATGAGGGAAATTTTGCCCGGACAGCGGCACTACGGCCTACTCTTATATCGAATTCCAACTGTCAAGGAATCTTTTACGTGCAATGTGTACACGGGACCTCGGTTTTTCGTCTCATCCGAATGACTAGACAGCTGTCCTTGTCAGGCCCTCCGTCCTGCATCACTGACAAGGGGAAACCACGCCGGAAAATCTGGATGAACTTTCTCGGCCAATGCAGGGATCGAACACCCGACCTCCAGGCTAGCGAGCCAGCGCCTTACCCACTTAGTCGTCTGATTTTTCTCGTGTTCTCTTATCTAATGACATTCAATTACTTTATTGAATTGTCAGGTATCCTCTTACAGTCCCATATATCAACCTTTGGTCTTCGAATGAATTATTAGTGAGCAGAAATTCGGCCGTATATCCGTTATCACTCGTAACATCAGTCAGTTATATAGAGAGATGGCTCGTGTTTTCCTTTGGCGTTCGTCACTTCCGACTCAGGAAACCTGTATTACTCAGCTATCGTAGCAATGATCTCTGTGTTAAAATTATATTTGGAATGTGTTTAACCAGCTCTATCACATATGTGATAATGACTGGCACCAATATTGTCCTTTAATATAAGCATTTCAAAGTGTCACGGAAAGAACAAAGGAAACTATAATTTTATTAAATTCGCTGGTGTAGCGTACGACACATTATTGCAGAATTAATCACTATCACCATGGACATTATAAGGTCCATGTTTCATCAATTTCATTAGAAGAAATGTCATTTGTAAATCAAGTCTGTTTCTCTAAACTACACGTTAAGTCGTAAGTTTACTTATGAACGAATTTTCCTACACGGTACTTTACTCGTAAAAATTACAGGTGTACGAGTGCTATATGACACACACGTAAACATACGAATCGTGTTGCGCATGCAGAAAGTTTGAGAAACAGATAAGTTGACTGAAGTTGTAGATTAAGTTTAAGTCTAAAAATACTCGAGTGAATCTTTGAAAAAAAAAAAGATAATGTAATACTGAAATAGACTATCATTCACGCATATTACTTTATAGTTAAATCTTGCATGTGAACAATTGCGGGACATTATAGCTGGTTTTCGGGATGCGGGACTTGGAAGCATTTTGCGGGACGGGTAGTCACCCTAGGCCGGTTAAGCCTACTTGAAAATTTGCTATTCGGGAACATTTATTAAAATTTTGCATCTTATATGTCTTCGGGGAAAAAATAATTATAAAACTAATAAACAGTACTTAGTTGCTCTTCTCAAAAGCTTTTATTTCCAAACATCGCATACACCCCAAGTGCTTCTAGAAGTGAGCAGAGAAAGAATTTGGACTTGAAGGGTGTAGGTCTATATTATATCTTTTTACTATCTAACAAAGTAACAACTGAAGTAGTCCACTTTCGTTTTATATTATAATAAATGAAGACGGCCAATATACTCGTCATAGAGTTTGATCAATGGCTGTCCCATAGTCTATGTGCCAGATATGTTTAAATTTAAACAAATTAATAGAAAAAAATATAGATTTGCCAACATGAATTAATTAGTCGTCTAAATCCGGATGATAGTCTAGGGTTACCTGCGCATTGGCGTTAATAAATTTCGTCATTTCCTTTTCACGGGCATGATAAACTGAAAGTTGCTTGGGATGTCCAGCATTAAATTAAAAATTGCATTTTTGTCCTATAAACACTGAGACAGCTTTAACTAAAACTTAATCGTATGTTGATGGACTAACTATGTATATTTTTATTTCATAAGAAATGTCATAAAGTTCTAACAATTCTGGCATATTTGTGTATTAATATTATCATGTAGCTTGCATAGAATTTAGAAATGGTTCGACTACTTACTGATGTCTTCTGTCTTGCTCCAGTTACAGTAGTGGACCGTCCTAAGGCCATCCTTTGGGCAAATTTTGTCGTCAGTTGACTAAAAATAATTACTGGACTATAACTCCCTTAATTTCCAATAACACTGATCTCAAACTGTACTGTACATAGCTTAAAGTACAGTAGAGTAAACGTCGCATAGTCGAATTTGTGTAAGTCGGATCTTTGCTCAACTCGGATAAAATCGTTTGGACCCTTTGATCCTGCACGTTTTTCTTATTAAATTTATGTGCGTAAGTCGGATCTTTGCTCAACTCTGATCAAAATGTTCGGCTTTGATCTAATTGATCTAATTCCGGCTTTTTTTACTTCGCCTTTGTCGGATCGGCAGTATCTCCAGAATTTGACTAAGTCAGTTTCGTCTCGATGGTCTAAAACACGGTTAGCTATTCCATGCACAGAGCCCCAAAATACTTTCCCCTATCATTTTGACTCAAATCAGCCTATTTGACGTGACGCAAAAATAATATTTTCCGGAAAATTCGAAACTCGCTGTCAGCTGTACGAGACACTTTAGGGAAAATTTAGGACATTTTTCAACGATGGTGACAAAACAGAAGTTATCTACTCACACCAAAACGGAAGTTGTCTACTCACACCAAAACGGAAGTTATCTACTCGCACATACGAACAAAAGCTTGAAATGTGCATTTGAATCAATTATTATCCGGCTCTTGCAGTTTATTTCTAATCGAGCTACCGTTGAATTTCGGTCTTCAGCTAACTTGGATCTTCGCTTAACTTGGATAAAATTGGTCAGTCCACTTACATCCGACTTCTGCGAAGTTTACTGTAGCTAAGTCTCTAACCCAATATCATCCAAAGTCTTTGACATTGAAAACACAAATTATTTGTCAATTTAAATCAACATTTTACCATTGGTACACAAATTGTGTACCATAATATGTTTCAATGCCATGTGTAACAAGGGACTCGAAGAACGAGGCTATACATATTCCACAAGTCATTCAAACGGTGAAGTCATATTCCTATCTCGAGAGCATGTGCAATAAATACTAGCGGTGTACACTGGAATAAATGAAATGAAATGAAATGGGTTTTAACGTCCTACTGTTTTGCTCCGAACTGGGCTAATGAAGACGGGCATACGCCATACAGTGTGCTATGAGGGAAATTTTGCCCAGACAGCGGCACTACGGCCTACTCTTATATCGAATTCCAACTGTCAAGGGATCTTTTACTTGTACGCCAATGTGTACACGGGACCTCGGTTTTTCATCTCATCCGAATGACTAGACAGCTGTCCTTGTCAGGCCCTCCGTCCTGCATCACTGACAAGGGGAAACCACGCCGGAAAATCTGGATGAACTTTCTCGGCCAATGCAGGGATCGAACACCCGACCTCCAGGCTAGCAAGCCAGTGCCTTACCCACTTAGCCACCATGATCCCCACACTGGAATAACCAGAAGCTATGGATTCCCATAGGATTTAGACTTTTGCCGTATTTCGCCAAACATAACTGATTTGAAATTAGAGTAAAAAAGGAAACGATTTAATGTAAATTAGTTTATATACATTCATATTACATTATAATGGTAAAACCTTACCATATAATTTTATGATTTGATTAAACTTAACTGCTTTGCGAAATTTCTGTTCAGTTTAAAATGGCTGCCAAAACAGAATCACAGAGTGTCATGTCACTCGAATAACTGTAAGATTATGATTTCAGTGTTCCACTCTTCACTATTTGTAACATAATTACTTATTTTCATGCAAACTGTGAAGCTATGCGTTGAAAATTTTGCAATTGAAGCTAATTTTACTTGCTCAAACCCTTGAAAAGTGTATCAATTTCAGCCGTAGATAAGAATTATTATGGCTAAAAATTGGAGCTAGCAGGCCTACCATACCTTATAAATAAGTCCATGATTAAAGGAGCTACATTGCTAATAATTTGGGACCAAGAAATTGAGACAAATGGGACACAACGCATATAATAATGTAATATGAATGTGTGTGAACTGATTTACATTCAATCGTTTTCGTTTTTACTCTAATTTTAAATCAGTTATGTTTGGCGAAATATGCCAGAAGTCTCAATCAAATGACATTTCAAGTTTATTATTTTATTTTGTAGGTAGTGATCTTCACTTGTCTGCCATTCATCACCTGTCTGCCATTCTTAGAGGACACAAGTAAGATACCATAAAGAATGTTTCCCAGATCCCTAAAAAGACTTCAAGTTGTATTAAATCATGCAAAAATGTGTTCTGCAGGTATGGCTATTGGAAGTCATAATGAAGTCATCCACCAAGTGGTTAATAAAACTGCCATGATTGTTTTAAACAGACCTCAGGCTTTAAACTCTTTAAATTATTCCATGATCCAAAAAATACATCCCCAAATAAGGGCATGGGAAACAGATTCCGATGTCCAATTGTTGATAATGAAAGGGGCTGGAGAGAAGGCATTTTGTGCTGGCGGAGATATTGTTGCTCTAACGGAGAATCATAAAAAGGACGGAAAATATGGCTTTACGTTTTTCCCAGATGAATACAAACTAGATTACGCTTTGGGTACCTACAGTAAACCATATATAGCTATAATAGATGGCGTTACAATGGGTGGGGGTGTAGGATTATCTGTTCATGGTCAATTTAGAGTAGCGACTGAGCGGACCTTGTTCGCAATGCCTGAAACAGGTATAGGTTTAGTACCAGACGTAGGTGGAGGATATTTTTTACCACGTCTTGAAGGAAAATTGGGAATGTATTTAGCATTAACAGGTTATAGATTGAAAGGAAGAGATGTGCAGCTAGCTGGCGTAGCAACACATTATATCCAATCGAACAAGATCACAGAATTGGAAGAAACTTTGGTTGGGCTAGATCAGCCATCAATAAAAAATGTCAATGAAATTTTAGATAGTTTTCATAAAGAGAGCACAAGCGAGCAACATGATTTTATATTGAAATCTGAAATTGATAAAATAAATAAAGTATTTAGTGGGGCATCGTTGGAACAGATATTTGAAAATTTAGAAAAGGATGGATCAGAATGGGCTTTAAAAGAACTCAACAAACTTAAAAGGATGTCCCCAACATCTATGAAGGTAACTTTTCGACAGATTACTGAAGGTGGTCACCTGAGTCTTGAAGATGTCTTTCTTATGGAGAATCGATTGACCCAGCGCTGTATGGAAGATCATGATTTCTATGAAGGTGTCCGGGCACTTCTTGTTGAGAAGGATCAAAAACCCAAATGGAAACCAGATACGTTGGAAGGAGTAACACAAGAGAAAGTAGACTGGTATTTCTCCAAGTTACCCAATGGTAGAGAGATGACTTTACCATAATGAAAAATAAACATAGGTCAACAACAATTATGATATTGTGAATAGCAACATGTTAGCCAGCTATGACTGATTATGCAAAATTGTGTTAAATTTTCAACTAAAAGTTCTAAGGGGTGTGCAAAAGTGATTTTACATATTCAAGAGCTGAGAGTGCCAATGCTTGTTTACTACCAAACATATTTGGCCAGTTTCATTGAATTAGTTTGAATTTTAGTGCTGTGCTGCAAATTGTGTGTATTCTACCAGTTTTTTTCCAAAATGTTGACAAAGAGGACATTGTTCTTAAGACATTGTATATCTCCAATCAAGAATAATGAATACTGACAAATCTATAGATACAATCGAATAAAATTATATGTTATTTATGAAAAGACTTTGAGGTTTATGCATGCAATGGAATAGGGTTGTGTATTGCTGTTGGTCTGTCCATCTTCTCAAATTTCTTGTGAACATTCCCTAAACTCCATTTTAATTATCAGTGAATGTACTGAGTAACTGAGTCAGAGGCATTGTTATCCAGTCCTTGTTGGCTATTACAGTAGTGGTAGATGTTATACACTGTAAAATACCAAACACTACTTGGCCATGGCAGTGACAATTGATTTGGCACGTTCACTTGGTAAAATCCACATACTAATATTCTAATTTGTCATTTTGTGTTTATGGACATTTATTTTTGATTATGGAGTGTGTGTAAGATAAGATGAGCTGTTCTAAAAACGGGGCTGACAAGGAAAGCTGTCTAGTCGTTTGGATGGGACGAAAAACCGAGGTCCCGTGTACACATTGGCGTGCACGTAAAAGATCCCTTGGCAGTTGGAATTCGATATAAGAGTAGGCCGTAGTGCCGCTGTCCGGGCAAAATTTCCCTCATAGCACACTGTATGGCGTATGCCCGTAATTTCCCTCATAGCACACTGTATGGCGTATGCCCGTCTTCATTAGCCCAGGTTAGGAGCAGAACAGTAGGACGTTAAACTCCATTTCATTTCATTTTGTTCTAAAAACAAGCATACCCTTCCCAGTGCATGACACCCTTCATTGTTTATAGCTAGTTATGTTTGGAGCTAAGGTCTGGACCAAATTATCTGATAAAGGGCATTGGAGTTACGACTACTGTGTATTGATAATTGGTAATTAATATGTGGGGATGGGGGTGGTTGTGTGTGCATGGACAGATGGTCTAACACATGCACTTTCTTTAGATCACAAGGTCTGTCATAGAGTCAAGTGGCATGGTTTCGATCATTGGTTAAAACCCAGGTCATCTCTCTTATTTCCTAACATTTCAAGAGTGCATGTGAATTATTGAAATAATCATGTTAGTCCTGAAGTGTTCAGTGGACTTTAAGCCTCATTTCTCTGCATTCAAAGGCATAAAACATAGTGTTACCAGCTAACAGAGAAAGAGAGAGAAATGGGGTTTAACGGCCACTCGACACAAACTTAGTCGTTTCAGGGCTAACACATGGTTCAATTTTATTTCAGTAATACGCTTGCATTTGTAGGGATCTTTAGCAGTGGGAGGAAACCGTGGACCTTGAAAGGTTAGACAGGCGACCCTATTCCTTGTCACATACAACCGTGGAATTGAAACCACGCCAGTTGACGGAGTAACAGACCTTATGATACAATGCGCACATGCTAACCATTCGGCCATCCAATCCCCCTACCAGCTAACAGATATTATACAACTCTAAATATTTATAGGGCAAGTTGAGCACTCCAGGGCAATGTCTTTATGTAAAATAAGTGAGCAATTGGATTCTTCCTTATTATTAGTCCAACAAATCCAGCCAATTTGAAAGATAAACTCAAAAGCAACTTCTTTGGAAGAAATATGAATAAACACCACCCTGACAACATACCTTCCTATACCAAATTTGGTTAAAATCCATAAAACTCTTTTGGGAGAAGTCGAAAATGATTAATTGAAATGAAATGAAATGGAGTTTAACGTCCTACTGTTCTGCTCCTAACCTGGGCTAATGAAGACGGACATACGCCATACAGTGTGCTATGAGGGAAATTTTGCCCGGACAGCGGCACTACGGCCTACTCTTATATCGAATTCCAACTGCCAAGGGGTTTTTTACGTGCACGCCAATGTGTACACGGGACCTCGGTTTTTCGTCCCATCCGAACGACTAGACAGCTTTCCTTGTCAGCCCCTCCGTCCTGCATCACTGACAAGGAAGAACCACGCCGGAAAAAATGATCAATTGTATTGGATGGACGGACCAAAGTCTTTAGTCTGAAAGGGTAAAAAAGATGAAGGATAATTTTAATGACTGGATCATGGTATTTAGAAGTGAATAGAGAGACGTCAGATTGTTCTATGGGAATGGCAAATATAAAGGCAATCATATCTTTTGTTTTTTGCTTGAATAATAAGACATTGTTTCATTAACATATTAACAGATAATTTAACCTAGCAACAATTGATTTCTTCAAGTAAATTCCTCACTTTGCTATTTTACTTTTGGTTACATTCAATACAACCCAGTCAATATAAAATAAATACCAGTATGGTCCAAATCTTTTAAATATACCAGATCAATATCCCACATCATTATAATGATTGCAAATATCTTTTTTAAAAAAGTGACAAAGAAAAAAATCAAAAATTGAATTTTCTGCTAATTACTGTCTAATTTAGCACTGAATTCAGCAAGTTTTGAATAGTTCATTGAGAGCTAATGATAATCTCTCTTTCTTTTTTTTCATTATTAATAAAAGTATAAGACCTTGCATGAATTTTTAATTGATATAATATTACTCTTCATTACACAGCAATTGTGTTCTACTTGCTGGTATTTTTTTTATTGATTTTGACAATCTTATTGATTCATACAAACTTATTAAATATAAGGATACCATTGAGAAAGTGACATTTGTACCAACTGTTAGTGTAGGAGCACCACACTACACATTAAAAAACAAAATAAATTGAAATGAAATGGGGTTTAACGTCCTACTGTTCTGCTCTGACTGGGCTGGTGAAGACATGCATACGTCATACAGTGTCATGAGGGCAATTTATCCCCACCAGTGGTGCTACAGCCTACTCTTATATCAAATTCCAAATGATCCTTTACTTGCAAACCAGTGTGTACACAGGACCGTAGTTTTTGTCCCATCTGAATTACTATACAGCTGCCCTTTCCCTTTCCTTTCCAGGCCCTCTGCCTGCACCACTGACAAGGGGAAACCACACCTGAAAATTCTGATGAACTTTCTCGGCCAACACCAAGATTGAACCCACAACTCTTCCTCACTTTAAGAGTAGGCTGTAGCTCCGCTGTCCGAGCAATAATTTCCCTCATAGCACACTGTATACAGGCTTCTCTTAAATGAAGATAGATTCACAACAAGGGAGACAATCCATGAAAAAAGGGACTATCCAAAGGTTATTATGAATAGGGGGACCTACAGGTTCATTTTGAGGTGGCATTTAAATTTACTCTTTCTGTTAACTGTTAATTAAAGCTCGAACCAAAGTTTAGCCTACATGGTCGAATCTGAGTTATGACAACTTTCCTTGTCTGACCAACTGGTGCCATTCCTACATGTACATGTTGTAACCACTTGTTGACATAATATGCTATAGGTAGGAGCAGATTTAAGATAAAGTTTTCATAAATATTTTTTATGTGCTCTCTATCCAGTGACCTGAGCCAGTTAGCTTATTTGGGTAATCTACATTTTCACTTGGGGTGCAAACTGTTACTGGTAACCCAATGAGCTTCTTTCCCAACAGTGCAGTAATAGCAAATATTGGAATTTTACATACAGATTCCACAACATGATGTTGGAACTCTGCATACCATGGCCAACAAAACAGGGAAGGGAAGAGCTTGAGAGTTGGTTAAGCCTTTGGGCAATCCTTATATTGGACCCCAACCAAACAGAAAAAGATGGCATGGTATAAAATGTTAATTTTATTGTTAATCACTTATTAAAAATCAATCATTATACTATGAAAATATTTTCAATTGTTTACAAAAAATGAACCCAAACAAAATACCTCAACAATCATTCATTGTTATTTAAAACATCAAATTAAAAACTTTATTTTAAATATATATCACTGTGCTCTGACTAAGTCATACTACACCTTTTTCTGGGGAGTTTCAGAATGAATTACTTGCTAGTATCTGGGATGTCACCTTTAATGAATCATGGTTAAGAGTGCATGTGCACCTAATTTTACAAATAGCACTTGAACACAATTATAGCTCAACTGGATAAAAGTTGAATCTCTAATATATTTATGTTTAAGATGTTTGGATTATCATATTTTTAAAATGAAAATGCAGCTAGTGGTATGCTCATTGATTTGTTCTAAAATATCTAATTGAGCATGTTAGCTGCAATTCTTATTTATATTCAGAAATTTGAAGGAAAGGTATTGGTACATGAAATGGACAAAATATAGTGTATTTCTCTTGATCATTCCAATCTGTAATTTACATCATCAGTATGCCAGATGGCCAACAAATATTTTGACAGAACAATTTTATTTTATTGTAAATGTAAACATAGCCCAGTGAATAGTGTGGTTTTAATTTCAGGATAAGCAGGAGTGGTAAATAGCTGATATCAATCACAGAGATTAGAATTTCTACACTAAACATCAACCAATTATCACCGTATAAACATTATAATACATATAAAAATAAAAATATTTTGATTTAGTTAAGACCAACACATTAATGACTGCATTCACTGGATCACATTACCCAAGTTGTGCTTTGCTATTATAGATCCAAAATTGATAATGCAGAATTAATATACTGAAAAATTTTAAAATTAAAATGTGTAACTACAGAATGAAACATTCTAAATATCAAGTTTACAAATAATCATGCCACATTAAAGTTAAGAAATTTAAAATTGCTCAAGCAAGCAAAGTGCAAGCACAGTGCATATATGGCCAAATAAGCGTTTTAAAGATGCATTATGTAAGATTTTGATAAAGAACTGGCCATTCTTGCTATAATGATAATTTCATTCAAATTATTTTATTCTGAGCGATGTTATCCCTGTTTGAAGTTTTGGCATAAGTTGTTTATTATAGTAGCAACTTTACTTGTTAATCAAGACTTGGCTTCACTTCTCCATTTTTAAATTAAATGGTATTTTAATCTCTTTAAATCTGCACCATCCAATGGTCTAGAGAGTTAATTGTAGGCTTGTCATGTGAATAAATGTCTAAATAATAATTTATATAACATTTAAAGCCAAAATAATAACCTGTTATCAGCAGATTTAACATAATACATCTTTAATCACAGATAATTTTGTAATACAAATATTTACACCGATATAATAAACATACATGGCAATAAATAATTTTTTTAAACAATAAAAATATACTAAAAATTCTTCAGGATTTCAATACATGAAAGTTAAAAATAACATGTTACATCACAAAGTAACAATAAAAATATTATTTGAGGTATCAACAAATTCCAGAGAACGGGACCAGTTGATTAACATATTGCAGGTTCTTATATACACTTATAAGATTATTAATAGTTACCAGATATTGAACGATTATGTGTGGTTTAAAAGGCAGATGCTATTTCACACGTGCATATCAATAAAATTGTCACGCAAGTCCAATATTTCATCTAGTATAAAATAATATACGATTGGCATGTTTCCCATGCCTTTATTTGAAATAATAGTATGCCAACATCAAAGAATGATGTCACGTCTGTATTTTAACATGGAATAATACACACTCTTAAAGTGACATAACATACATTTGTATTAAATTAATATTGTTTTAGATAAGTGTCAAAATAGCTTTTATGAAAGGGCTATCTATACTAGCTATTCAATTAACCATGAAAAAGATTTTGAGGAATTCAACAGTCAAAAAGTTTTTTTCGTAAACTTCTGTAGACACATAGAATTCGTTTTTTCTCCAATGAAATAAATGAAGGACATCCATATGCTATAAATACATTCTGATTCTAATGATAAATTAAATCAAAAACGTCTGACAAACATACACGTATTTTACTGTCAGCAAAATGAACACTTTTGTTATCATGCCCCAAGATTGAATACCATGTTTGTAATTAGTTTTATCTTACTTATTGCATCTTAAAATGAAACTTGTGAAACACAAAATTTCCTCATTGGACTTTTAACAATTTATAGTTGATACAAATAATGAATATGTATATAAATATTATATTAACTTCATTTAAATGATGCTCAACATTTAGTGGTTTAGTTATTTGAGCAATATCAGTTGTTACATGTATGTATCTTTTATAAATACTGTATATAAATATTATATTAACTCTGCATCAAAAGTTTAAATTATGTTTAACATATAGAAAGGTACAGCACTGTGTCAACAGAAAGCAGCATTTATGGCCGTTTTATCATTAAAGTTGAATTCTTATGGTGATCATCACTTGATTTATCCCATGGTTTTTCAACTGTAATCAACAAAAGCAATGTTGAGCATTTATTTGGAGTGACAAAGTAATAAGATTCCAATCAATATAAGTCGTTCAGATGGAGCCAAAAAGAAAAGAAGAGATCCTGTGTTGATGTTTCCAGTGGATATTAAGAAATACAAATTTTGCTTTGTCTTTGCTGTAAATGTCTAAACACAGTCCCGTCCACTGCAGATTCAAGTGTAGTAAAGACAAGTAAAACAAAATTTTGAACTATTAAAAATGAAACGAAATAGAATCTGTGTTTTAATCAGATCGCGAGCATTTAAAAGAACTTTTGATAGTCAGAATTTGAAATAAGCATAGGCTGTAGTGCCACCATCCAGTTGACATATCCTTCATGGCACAATGCATGGCATATGCTCATCTGCATAAGCCCCGATGGAGCAGGAAAGTTGGATGTTAAACCTCATTTTATTTCCAATAAATATAAAATGCGATCCAATTAAACCAAGATGTTATATTCATTCTGTTTATACAGATGGTCGTTAAACCCCATTTCATTTCATATCATTTCATTTCATTTATTCAGATGGTCACTCTGTGTTTATCTACAGCATAATAATAGCTGTGACCTAGATTAAAGAGTGCATCAAATGTTCCAATAATCAATTTTATGTTTTATAGGTTTTGACTGGTGGGAGGATCTTAATTCAATCTATTAACTACAATAATGATGAGCAAAACAACAAAAACTGAACAAAATAATTGGTATAATTGAAATTGGACAGCAAAAAAGGGCAGCGGTTTTAATAATGGATATCCCTGACCCATTCCTATCCATTAGCTGATTATAGATGTTTGGGGGGATTGGGTGGACAATTGGTATAACCCTTTCCTTTAGATCATAAGGTATGTTATTTTGTCAACTGGGGTGGTTTAATTGTGTAGTGCCAAAAGGAGTAGAATCGCCTGTCCAGCCTCGTGATTTCTACGAGTCTTCTGGTTTCCTTCCACTGCTAAAGAGCCCTAAAATTGAACCATTTTTTAATCCCAAAATGACAAGTCTGAGAAATATCGGATCAAAACATCCACCATTAGTGAGTGACGTGTGATACAATCACTGCTTTTCTGATATTTCCACGAAGATCAGAGAATGGATATTTCACGGCCCTATGAAAGCAAGCATCTTTAAATATGTTTTCTTGAACATTTCAATATCTGAGAGAAAGCAAGATAAGAACATTGAAATAACAAGCCAACAGTGAGACTAATGTCCCCAGTCGAAATCCCAAAATAAATAGATGACACATATGGATTAATTGCACATTTATTTTTTAAAATTATCGAGCAATCAAAGTGATTATCTATATTTAGTCTAAGAATAAAATTTGAAGTACCTGGTAGTGAAACTATACACTAAGATTCATCACTCTCCATAGGTTAGAATCAAAGTTATCTTGTCCCAAAGCATCGACCAATGAAATTTGTTTAGCTCTGTTTAGTTTTAGCGGGAAATGTTAATCGCTGAACTCGGTCAAGGCATTCACCTAATGAACGCCTACACCAAGTTTGAACATTCTACCTCAATTAGAAGGAGAGTTATGGTGTTCCAAAGTCTCGACCAATCCAATTGTTTATCACTCTGCGTACCCTGAGCAGAAAATGCTCATTATCGAACTTAGTCAAGGTATTGATGTAATGAAACTATACACTATGTTTCATCACTCTCACTTAATTAGAACTAAAGCTGTCGTGTCCCAAAGCATCGACCAATGAAATTGCAAATCTCTGCTTACCCTAAGCAGAAAATGCCCATCTTCAAACTCCATCCAGGTATTTACCTAATAAACACCTACAAATCTAAGTTTGAACATTCTAGCTCAATCAGAAGCAGAGTTATTGTGTCCCAAAAAGTGTGACAGGCGGACAGACAGACAGACCCATTTTAATAGTCCGCAGCTTTCTTCAAAAGGCGGGGGACAATAAATAAATGTTTCTTACCTACAACAACGATAACAATAACAGCAATAATAGTTGCTACAACTAATATTATTATACATGTTAATCGACAATTCTGCCAACATGCCTTTCTTTTCACTCTAACAGCTGCTTTTCGAAATTCTTGTGAACTAGCACTCAAATCCTCTGAAAACATAAAGAATAAAATTTCATTTACAATGCTTCAAATGTATTTAGACTCATAGTCTTTCAGGATTTCACACAAATAAATAAATCTTGTGATCAATCCATAAATCATGTCTTTGAAATTAGCAGCTTACTTATAAGATTATTAGTCAAATGAATAGTGTCCTTGTTCATTAGGAAATTTGTCTGATTCAGAAATTGACATGAGGGACAAAATGAGTAATAATAATCTTCCACCTGTTCTATCTTGTAAGTCTCCTATTCTTTCTCCACGGCCAACAACTTTTTCAACATCATCTCTCAACAGTGATGTTACTTCTGATACTTCGGTCTCTAAATTTCCAAGTCGGTCATACTTTCTACTCCTGGAAATATTATGAAAACGATATGACATAAACATGTACTTTGACACTGGTATATCATTTATGAATTTTGGACAATGCCAAGAAATCTTTCCAAATCCAAATAAGCAGATAATGCAGCATAGGAATATAAATCTTTTTCATTATCCATATTTGACAAAATCCTAAAGGCAGCTGTTACTTTGGAACTTGCAACAATTCTGTTAAATTTTTTCTTTGTCATCTAAAAGGGTAGATCAGATGAAGTGAACACAACCTTCTTAACAATGTTGTTGGACTGTACTGCTGTTAGATTTCAGATTAGGGTACAACCAGAAAATTGTAGTTTAGTTTTATTTCGAGGCATGTACTGAATATTACAAATAAAAAATATCAATTTCAGTAAAGGGCTTCACAACAAATACCCAAATTAAATGGAAAGATTGTGTATAGGAAAATCATAAGGCTAAAATGTTGAGAATTGGTATATTAACCATCTTCGATTTACTTAATTTTATGGTTGAAATATTACACTTTTATGTGTCGGGGTTTGATTTGATCTGTTACCCTGTTTGTCTCTGTCTGTACCTTAAAAGAATTTATATATTTTCAAGTTACATGGTAGACTCACATAAAAAACAATACTGTGCCTAGACGTAATAAACAAGAAACACAACCACAAATAAAAGATTTATAGGAATACAAACAGTTGATTGGTTGAAAAGCACTGCAGGAACCAAATACATGCTCAATTGATGCTTCTTCACATGAAGGCTCCATGTATAATCATATACCGAGTCGAAGAGCAACATTAATATTGTTCATGTTCCAAATTAGAATATGGCCTAGTAGGTCCTTGCCAATATATCAGAACAACACAAATGCAGAAAAATAAAATTCTTTCAATTAACTATAAATAAAATGAAAGGTCAAATGGAACCGTTCTTTTTGTGGATGGGAATACAGCTGAGCTTAGCTGAAAGAGAGCTTGACTTTACTAACAACATAGTAGAGGATATGAAAATGGTTGAATACTGAATTCCTGTTTATAGTCCACCTAGGTGCCTATTCCTAATAGTGAGCGTGTTTCCGGCCAACTAAATAAACCTGGGCTATTGAACCATGTATAGTTAGGTGTGTGTGTGTGTGTGTGCAGGAGGGGGGGGGGGCTGAGGGGTCACAAACCTCCATGCTCATGCAAAGCATACTTTTTTCTCCTTCATTCATTGAAAATAAAGTCAATCAAACAAACAAACGTTCAAAGCAATGCTGACGTTTTGGCCTCACTCTATTAGTATAATAGTAAGTGCAGGAGGACTGCACTACACGCAAAACAAAAATCTATGTACAAGATAAACCTAAGTGAGCAGAAATATTACCTCAGCTTCCTGCGTAATCCCTCTGACCTCATGCCATACTTGATACCCCCCCCCCCCTTCCTCGGATTCCGGAGCAAGCCCCTAAGACTTAGAGTAGCCTACTGGGCTGGGTTAGATCTAACTGATAAGGCCAACTTCAAGTTTGGTCAAAGGTCACGAAATGTAAACAGAGCTAGCGCTAATCTCAACCCTAACACTAACCCTAACCCTGCCAACAATCAAGTTCCTTATAACCTTATTTACATTAAGATTAACATTTCAGCGACTTTGATGAACATTGAGTTGGCCTGACTGCCATAGGATGTAGGTCACACAAGTTCAGAAGTTGTGTGCAATAGGATAGGTCTGAGTTTGGTGTTCTTTATAGATCTCAAAAGCACAAACACACACACACTCTCTCTCTATATATATATATCATAATGGTATATAAAAACTTGTAAGACTGTAATTTAATTAATAATTAAGAAGCCAGCTGTCTCGTCTCGTGTCCTTTATAATAATTAAAGTTTAAATTTTACACGGTTAGACCTATTTACATTTTTAGCAGCCCAGTCTGTTTATTTACGGGTATACAAAACGATAAACAACATCAGTTGCAGCCAATCGTTGAAAGGTCCACAGAGCATAGGGACCGCCTGAAAAGCGAATCTTCAAGATTGAGTTTGTTATTGTTTTGTTTTTTCTTAAAGTGACAGGTTATCACGTGTGTTAATGCCATACATAAAAATGTTGTCGTAAATATTCAAACACCCACTGTTCATGGACATATAAACCAATTTCTACCTAACAGATATTTTGATAGATCTCTTGACAATAAAAGTTTCCAGTTTCATAATCTTTGATGAGGAATATATCTCATATAGAAAACCAAGACGAGGAATAGGCTTTACGACATTTACGCCAGATTTCAATGCGCATGAGCACAAAAGTTCCCGATTGGCGCGGTCGGTCACGCACTTTACTGCAAAAAGTGTAATAATTCTAAGTAATTCCAAGAAATTATTCAACTGACCATAACAAAAAGATAATCATGGAACCAGCGAAACTTGTTGAAGTGCTTCGGGCCACGCTCGATCCAGGTCAACGGGAACAGGCCGAACAACAATTGACAGAGGTGATTATTCTGTAACAGAAATATCAGAATCCACGTTTTGTCGACAAAATGGCAGCCACATTTTTCGTTGGTGAAATACCTATTCTATGACTTGGCGAATCCCACTGTCAGTTTCAAATAAATATAATCGGATAATTACCCACTCCTACCCATTTAGATTTCAATTTTGTTATTAAGTTGTCAGTTTTGTGTAGTTTTAAGTTATCTTATTATAGAGTTTAATCAAAACTCATTTTATTCATTTTTGCATGTTTCATGTTATAAATGATTTTTACCTTCAAAGTTCAAATTGACATTTAATAATTTACTCTCTGACCAAAGAGACATAAGCTACATTTAGACTTGGATGCACAAATTGTCAGTTCACAGCGCCAAGTGACTAAGTCTACTGGAATACAATTCTTGTATGTTTTGTCCAAGGTTTGTTCATTAATCTAATTTTTAAACAGATGGTTGTTATATTTACAATATGATAGTATATCCAGATTGTTTCACACCACAAATCCATATTATTACTGATATTAGCTTGCTTTAAATAAAGCTAAAACAACAAAAATGGGGCTAAACCTCTAACTCAATATTATCCATAATATTCAAAATTTAAAAAAAGACAATTAGAATTCAATATTATTTCAATCAATATTGAAGTTATCTTTTTACTGTGAAAAAATGGTACCCTAATATCCAATATCTACGACACAATCAACATTTTAAAATCAGTGCACAATGTTGTGTACTACAAGACAATGCAGACGCACCGGTGATTAAAGATGACTGAGTGACAACGACAAAAAAATAGTCTAAAACATGAAAATTGGACTAAGTTGATGCAAACGATTGCTGTTGAATTTGAACTGTTCACATATTACATGAACATAATTAGAGATACATTGTGTAAGATTTAGATAAAGAGCTGGCCGTTCTTGCTATAAATAGTTAGAAAATAGATATGCAAAAATTATATATTGAAAATTTTATTCAAATTACTTTTTTCTGAGCAAAAATATTGACTATTGATCGTAACCACCATACTGGTTGTTCAATGCTTAGCCGCGTTTCACCATTTTTAAGTTACAACATTAAATGGCCGAACCGTCCTAAGCTACTTAAAATCGGACCTGATTATGGTCTTATCCTTAGAAATTACAATAAAAATTTTAAAAATTGAATGCCAATCACATAATATACACTCATATTATACTGACCTGAACATGTGCTTATAGAACCATTTTCGTCCATTTTAAGGTTCCAATGAATAGCAGTACACACCTTTTTAAAGCTTTAAATTTTAAATAGAGTATGATTTCTCAGAACAAGATTTTAAATTGACTTTTTGTGAAGATGGTCAGATGTATCTTAAGTTTCACATACAATTTTAAAAGTTAGATTTGCATTAATTATATAATGTTACATATCGGTAACATGGCACAGTAATAGGTTAAATCACTTGTAATCTATGTTGTAAGAGTTGAATAACCAAACACAATGATTTTTTTTCTGTTTAGATACACAAAATAATTGGATTTTCACCAGTCTTGCTGCAGTTGGTTATGGGAGATCAAATTGATATGCCAGTTAGACAAGCAGGTACCTCCTATTAATTAGAAATCCAGTTGATTTTATTGCATTAAATAAAATATTCTTTTGAACTGTTTTGCTGGTGTTGAATGAAAAAATAAGCTGTTGATTTATTTAAATCATGTACTGTTGGTTTTGGAATGTCGGTAGAAAAAATTTTCCTTTTGGTAATAGCATGTTTTCAGGAAGAATTTGTAATTGTTATTAATGAGTAGGGCAGGTATTAAACCAAGCTTTCAAGATCTCTTAAAGTTTGATTCTCACTTCTGAGGGGTTGCTGTGATAGTTCAACTTTCAAGTATATTGTCGATAGGATAATAAATTTTATTCGAACTAATTCTACGTACAAATATAGCATTTAATTCTTCATAAGTAAAAAAGTAATAGAGCTTTTGATAATGTTTCTGCATTTGTAGGGGCAATTTACATGAAGAATATGGTAACACAGTTTTGGGCAGAACGAGAGGCCGAGAATCCTGGTGATCCAGTACCTTTTAGTATTCATGAACAGGACCGTGCCGCTATACGAGAAAATATCATTGAAGCTATTATCCACGCTCCTGAGTTAGTGAGGTAGGTCTGATTTAAAACTTTCCTGAACTTTGTGATTATGTTCAAATGAATGCTTTTGCAGGAATTTAATTTTATGAACTTTTGACAATCTAAAGGTATTAAGCACAGATTTATTGTCTTTCTGTATTGATGAGAAATGTTTATATAAACATATAAAGGTGCATTACATTGTCAACTTTATAGGCAAATTGAAAAAATGAAATCTGGTTTAATGTCCTGTTCTGCTCGCACTGGGCTAATGAAGATGGGCATATGCCATACAGTTTGCTATGGGGGAATTTTTGCCTGGACAGCGGCGCTACTGCCCACTCTTATATCAAATTCCAACTGCCAAGGGATCTTTTACGTACACACTAATTTGTAGATGGGACCTCCGGTTTTTGTCCCATCCAAATGACTAGAAAGCTGTCCTTGTCAGGCCCTCAGTTCTGCATCAATGACAAGGGGAAACGACGCCGGAAAATCCTGATGAACTCTTCGACCAACACCGGGAGTGAACCCACGTTCTCAAGGCTAGACAGACGGCATCTTACTCACTTAGCCACCGTGGCTCCCTTATAGACAAATTGAAAAGTAAAATACAGAAATTGTGATTGGGGGGTGGGGGGGTCATTTGTTGGGCTTGTTGTGTTTTACTTTTGGGTAATTATTATTGGGAACAAATTCTTTATTGTGAAATTTGCCTTGATAACACAGAACTTCATTTTCCATATCTTGATGGTCATAATTAGTAAACAGTTTGAAACCTAAGTGCAAATATACAGTAAAATTGAATTTGGCCATTGTATTGTTTGCATTCACAAAAATTTCAACCAAGAAAAGGAGATAACTCTTGTAAAAGATATTGATGTAATCAAGCATAGTGGAATTTATTTAGTCTAAAAATGATTTACTGAAGTCAAATGAGGGGATTAACAAGTAAAAGTTTTAAAAGTATTTACTTATTTATTTCAGAGTTCAACTTTGTGTCTGCATTAGTCATATATTTAAGAGTGACTTTCCTGGAAGGTGGCCAACTGTGGTTGAGAAAATGGCCATGTATATAAGAACTGACAATCATTCTGTATGGATGGGTGGTCTTATGTCTCTTTATCAACTTGTTAAAGTTTATGAGTAAGTTTATACCAAGTTTATTTTAAGTTTTTACAATAAACATAACATACAGATATAAACAATGGGTAAACAGGTCATATCATATGTAACACATCATATATAACACAGCTTTTTTACTGTTTATTAATTTTAAACTATTTAATTGTTCAGTGTCTTTTGGCGAAGACTATGTCTGCAGCTAATCAAATGTCACAGATGGTTTGAGACATTCTAAGGAGCACTTGTTTTGGGGGTGGGGGTGGGGGTCCCAAGTGCTAAAAAGAGAGAAAGAGAAATGGGGTTTAACATCCACTCGACACAACTAGGTCATTTCGGGACTAACATATGGTTTAATTTTTTTTAATAATTCACTTGCACATATAGGGGTCTTTAGCAGTGGGAGGAAACCGGAAGACCCAGAGAAAACCCACGAGGTTGGACAGGCGACCCTACTCCTTGTCACGTACAACCGGGGATTCGAAACCACGCCAGTCAACTCAATGACAGACTTTATGATACAGCGCGCACGCTGACCATTCAGCCAATCCCCCCCCCCCCCACCCAGTGCTAAATAGTTATGCATAGTGTTAAACGTAATTTACATTTTATTTATTTATTTTGAGATTGATTCAGTGGACACCAGCCTCACTTTTGGCTTGTGTATATTTCCTACAACATGTATTTTATGAAAGTAAATTAGTTCTAGAATATTTTTTCATGAATTAGGCTAATGTTTGAGGAAGTAAATAATCCATTTATGTTTGAGGAAGTAAATAATCCATTTATGTTTTCAGATATAAACGATTAGAGGAAAGAAAAGCATTTGATGAAACCATGACAGCCCTGTTACCTTTATTATATGAACGTGTGGTACAACTTTTACCCGATCTTTCCGAAATCTCTAATTTGTTACAGAAACAAGTTCTTAAGATCTTTTATGCCTTTACCCAGGTAAAATATTTTTTTATTTTTTTTTTAGAATATTCCCTATATTGTAATTAACACAAGGTGTCTGTGCAAGATCATACTTTTCACATTTCAAGTACCGGTAAATAGAATCATAGGTTGAAGGGATTTTTATATAACATGTAAAAAGGAAATTCCATTAAAAATGCACTACTTATTGTGGTAGGAAAAGCTCTAGAAAATAAGTTCCTCCAATTGGCTTTTATGTTGACTTCAAGTCATAGTTCAGTGAATGTAATAGGTTTTGAGTTTAAAGCAATGATGTTACAGTAACAAGTTTTGGTCTATGTGGTGGTTGAAGTAAATCATGTAAAGTATATCTTTTCTTTAGCACACTTGAATTAAGCTAATACTAAAGCATCCAATAGTCAGAACATCTGCAAACATACAGCAGCTTTTTCATTAGGGTTGTAGATCAAACCTTACAGTTAGTAGCATCCTGCCTTGCTGAGCTACTGGGCTAAGAATATGCATTTTCTTAGTAGTCCCACTGAAAACTGCTGAATGTGTCAACAGACTTACAGATCTTAAGTTTATTATGTTCGCTTGATTTGCCCTCAGCAATAAATATAAATAAAAACAATTTCAACAATACCTAGAAATGAGATTTTCATTTTATACCTCAAATTTATTTTCAGATAATGTCCTGATTCTTCTACTTGAAGAAATCGAAAGTCTAAAATGCTTGAAATCCTGTTTAAAGTCTGTGTCATGTGCATCTTTTGGAAAATTATAATTGTCCGCAGCTTAATCCATGCTAAAATTAATTCAGATTGATTATTTGATTAATAAATCAAAATATTAACAGTGAATAATCTCCAGGCTTGGATTTAATAAGATATCCCATAAAAAGATTTTAGCAAAGATTATGAGTGCCAATGAAATTATTTGTTTATTTCAGAATTTCCTACCATTAGATACAATAACGAGAGATGTTTTTACACAATGGATGGAAGTATTTCGAGCTATAGTAGATAGACCGGTTCCACCAGTAAGTGTCTAATATATTAGTCACTTTTAATTATAAGTTACTGTGCCCTTAATATGTATTCAGTTAAATGTTTTTGTGTTAAAACAATTACAGCTTTCATTATTTCTGTGCTTTAAAGAAATATGTTTTTTAACAGTATATATTGGCTGTACATTTCCTGAGCTGATCAGTAATAGAAATAGCCATGTCAAATCTCTCAGCCTTAGAGAATCTGAATTTTAAACCTGTATTCTGTTAAATATAATCAAATTATTAGTATTTGATATTATTTTAAAAGGAAACAAATCAAATAGATGAAGAAGATAGACCAGAATTGGCTTGGTGGAAAGTTAAAAAATGGGCTGCTCATATATTGTCCAGATTATTTGAAAGGTGGGTTAGGTAGTTTTAGATTAAAAAATGTTTAAACCTAATAATTGTTTTTACAGATGGGGAATAAACTTGTGCGATTGATTACTTAGAAGTGAATCTATATTACTAATAATTCAGCACCTAAATATCTTGTCAAAACATAAATTAAATGGATTTAGTAAACATTAATCTGTTGAATTTTGTTAATGATGTTTTTATTAATCTACAGATATGGAAGTCCAGGAAATGTTACAAAGGATTATACAGAATTTGCTGAATGGTATCTGAAGAGTTTCTCTGGTAAGTATGGCATCTGAGAACAATTTGATAAGCTTTTTCTTTAAACATACATTATGCAAGAGGTAAATCTGCCTATTGCAGGTGTTTCTTTAGGCCCAAAATGTTATAACTATTAATTAGGCATTTATTACTGGATTTGAATCCGATCTACTGTTCAACACCCATCGTGACAATGGTAGCAATGACAATCAAGGCTAAAATGATTTAAGATAAGGTATTCTCATCTTAGAGTAATGCAATTTGACTGAAATTTTCAGCATATTCCTTTTACATTATCTAGTTGTTAACTATTATAGTGAGAACTGTCAGCTCTTTATCTAATCTTCCATAATGTATTTTTAATATTAAATCAAATGTAATTATTGTTCCTTAGTCTGTGTACAATTTAGAACCCTGTTTTGTTGAAGTTGATAACTGTGAGATTTTATTGTAACAGTATGTTGTATATATTTATAGGTGGTATATTACAAGTGCTTATGAAAGTGCTAGATCAGTATCAACAGAAAATATATGTAGCACCTAGAGTTATACAGCAAGCTCTCAATTATATTAATGAAGGGTAAGTTGATACCAGGGTTCTTAATCCATTTTCAAATGAACCTGCCAGTGGTAACAGATAATCATCTTTGCAATGACAGGCATGTTTGGTTATGCCATACTCTATGCACAACAATAATTGCATAACATATTCAGAATGATAATAGGCCTACTTAAAACTCTTGAATAAACAATACTTTTGCAATTGCATACTTAAACTCATACATCAACATATATTGACATTTGTAGTCAAATTTCAGTAAGCCACGATAGATGTATAACAAACATGTTTTTTGGTAAATTGATATCTTTCAAACACCTGGGACAAATCCACTCTATTTCTTAATGGTTATACATGAAACATGATAAAGCGACAACAAACATAATTTCATGATCGAAATAGTACAAATAAAGTATTTATTGTTTGCCCCCTCCCCAATACCTCCTTTTTGGGGTCTAAATTTGGCCCCCTTGTTGGTGTTTTAAAAAGGTTAAGTATTTTAATAATGAAGACATGGATTGAAATCTAAAAGTTGTATCATAAAGTGAAAGTAAGGGATGTTTCTATCCATCAGAAGTGTAAAATCCTGAAAATCTTAATATAATCTTTACAGTTGGCAGTCTGAGGCACTTGAACACTGTTATTGATTTCATTACATTTAGAATTTGGTTAAATCACTGTTTTGTTTTGATAACTTTTTAAAGTTAATTTTCTTGTTTTACAGAATTGGTCATGCTTTTTCTTGGGGATTTATTAAACCTCATGTACAGGTATGTTGATTTCCAATTATTTTACTACTAAAGATTAGTTTTTTGATAAGTGATTGGAAATTCATAACTTGCTAGAAATCAGAATCTTCTACCACTTACACAAACTGACATGGGGAAGGGTTAGGAAACTGGATTTGGTTGTTTATTAGAAATAATTCTACAGATTATAGAATTGCTCGGCTTATTTATATATTTGGTTTAAATAGAACATTTGTCCTGGAGCATTTGCCATTTATAGTTATGATAGACTAAATATTCCAGTGTCAATATGTGACTAATATGTAGGACATACTCCTTGCAGTGTTTCGATTGATTAGACCTAATCCCACTTAACACTGCTGTAAAGGAAGCAAATTTCTGTTCCAAATTATGACTGGTCAATAGTCTGATTAACAACCAATAGTTAACAGCATAACAATATCGTTACGCTTTAAACAGAGCTCCAAATTGGACCAAATATGTTTACATAACGTTGCGTCATGACTCAGATTTTATTATGCCCAATTAACCAGTGCATAGCAGAATATTGCAGAAAAAACTAATTGCGTGACAAATGAGGCTACCAACACGGATACAATTTAAACAATACTGTTTGGAGACCCAGATTAAATGAAGGGCTGTCATGTTGCTGTACTGGGGATATGTTGATTGAACGGGAAAATAGACACACCCCCTCGAAAGTTCTAGTATTAGAAGCAAATCCAGCAATGGCCAGAGAGGGATTTCTCGGGCCATTGCTTCAGGAATATGTATGTAGGATAACTCTTGTGTTTAATTTGTAACCGGCACCAAAACATTTCATATCTTATACATTCAATATTGCTAATTATTTAGTCTTAATATATATGAGATAATTTTGTTATTTTTCAGACAATGATATCCAGTGTTATATTTCCATTGATGTGTCATAGTGATGAAGATGATGAGTTATGGAACACTAATCCACATGAATATATTCGTGTTAAATATGGTATGTATTGAAATACTAATGTGGTTGTATACTGCCGGTGACCCTTTTTGGGTAGGTCTGTCCGCTCTAGTGAAATTTATATGGAATATTTAAATTAGGGAAACGAAGAAGCCTATTGAATTTCAGTAATTTCCGTTTATTACTTCTAGAGTTATGGCCCTTGTTTTACTTTATTGAATCTTGTGAACGCTCTAACATCAAAAGTTATCTGCCGCTCTGTATGAAATTTACATGCGTCATTTAAATTAGTAAAGAGAAGAATCCTATTGAATTTCAGTAATTTCCATTTATTACTTCTAGAGCTATGGCCCTTGTTTCACTTTGTTCAACCTTGTTAATGCTCAATTGATGAAAGTTACCATCCGATATGTATGAAATTTATATGCATCATTGAGACCCTTGTTTCACTTTGTAGAACCTTGTGAACCCTCAAACGGCAAAAATTATAATCTGATCTGTATGGAACTGTCTTATAAAGGCCCCCATTACCTACAAAGGAATAAATATGCGACAACCCTTGTGGACCGCTTGGATGATTTAGCTGCTGTGGGTGTATGTTTTGTTGCCTGGCAACCTATCTTTACATTAAATTATCAATAAAAAAATGCATTCAAATCCACTAAAGATCGCAGGTTAATCACATCAAGAATTGATATGGCCTGGATCAGTTAATTGATGTATAATTAATAATTTGGATAACATTTCAGGCCTAAAGAAAGACATGCAATATGCAGATTTAGCTCTTGTATAATACATGTTTACATTAGACAACTTTGGAGGCGATTCTTCTATTATTTACAAAGGTATTGCCCTTGTCAGTCAAAAGCAAGTAAATTTGAGTTGTTGCCCTTTTCATCTTTGTTTATTAAATTTCACATGTACCTTTTAAATCCAAATATTTCATAGGATGAATCAATTTATTCTCAGTGTAATATTCCTATTAAATTTGTTTTTTTAGATGTTTTTGAGGATTTTTTCTCCCCGGTAATGGCTGCTCAGACAGTGTTTTATACAGCAGCTGCCAAACGTAAAGAAGTTTTAAATAAAGCAATGGGTTTCTGTATGTCTATTTTAACTGGACAAAATGTTGATCCAAGGCAAAGAGATGGAGCATTACATATGATAGGTGCTGTAGCAGAAGTTTTATTGAAGGTGAGAATTAATTCCAAATTTTAATGTTCCTGATTTTTAAATGCAGAAATGTAGAATAATCTACATGCCTTTGGGACTTGGTACTTAATTTAATTACAGATTGCGTAAGAAACAATTATTTGATGATATAATGTTACATTAATTGAATTTGATATAAATAATACTTTTAATTTGTGATAAAAAATGTAATTGATGGTTAGAATTGGCCTCTGATTATTGATTAGAATATTTAGGGACAGTGGATTTCACATAGAACATGTGTCAAAATATCTTGACTGTAAGAATAGTTTTATAATGAATTTATTAAAGTATGTGAAATAGAAATATTTTTTTATGGTTAATTTTTTAGAGAAAAATATATAAAGATCAAGCCGAGTTGATGCTTACGTCCCACGTATTTCCCGAATTTACCAGTGAAATGGGTTATCTTAGAGCTAAGGTAAGCTTATGTTTTATTGTCTAATACAATAGAAGACATATTGGTCCATGTAAGAGATATATTTGAGTTCTCAGATACTACTGCATCACCTAAAAAAAGGGGATTGTCTGGGATTCTCAAATACAATTGCATTCAAACAAAGTATATTGTCCATTGCAATACTTAACTACTTATTATTTTTAATTTCAGGCATGTTGGGTGATGAGATGTTTCTCTAAACTAAAGTATCGTAATCCAGCTAATTTAACACAGGCTCTCGAACTGATCAAAGCTTGTCATTGTACTGATAAAGATTTACCTGTCCGTGTAGAAGCAGCTATTGCTTTACAAATGTTAATAACTGATCAAGAAAAAGGTGAGAGATACTTGGATGACCATAAGTATGATGTCAGTGTCTTCGATAACATCGTGAAATATTTGTGTTTACTATATAATTATCCGGTGATGATGGGCTTGGTGCCGTAGTAGAACAATCCTAATTTCAAGCACTGTTATACTTTACTAATTAATCAGGCAACAAATAATTAAGTTCTTAACAGATGGTATGTATTTTTAACTCCTTAGGAGGCATGACCCAATCATTACTTCAATAAACATTGTGTTCGTCTTTGATTCCTGAGGTGAAAAAAATACCATGCTTTTCCCGACTAACAATGACATACATCTACATCAATTACAGTTTCATTCAAGGCATTTTAAAGTGTAATATTTTTCAATTGCTTTTATTTTTCAGCCAAGACTTTCTTAAAACCACATATTAAACAAGTTGTGTTAGGTAAGAATAGTGTGGGTTATTATCTTACTGTATATTGTACTGACATTAGTTCACATAAAACAACAAAATGCACTGCTACAATATTTAATTTGGTAAATATACTAGAGCTGGGTAAAATATTGATATAAGTCGATAGTATTGATTAGACATGCCAAAAAAGCACTATTGGTAGAGGTATGTTACTATTGATTATTCTCTTCATCTATTTTTTGTGTGTAGGGAGTCGACTCAATGTTTTCTGTGAGTTACTCCTTCCTATATGTAATAATACAATACCTCCTTCCTATATGTAATAATACAATACCTTCGGTCACTAAAATTACTTCAAAAAATCAATGTAGTATATTAAAAAAAAATGTTAAAATTAAATTTGCCCTTATTTAAACAATACTTTGAGTTTGAAACAATTTCTGTTGAATCACCATATCATGGAATTCGCCAAATCGGAGATGCCCGGGGAGCTTTTCCCCTTTCAGAATTCGTCGACTCATTATTAAGTACAAATGACATCGCCCTCATTGATGACAAAACACTTTTATTTCTTCATTCAGAATCAAGGTTATTATTTAATGATGATAAACAATTTACGAATTCGTGATAACAAGCTCTTTATTAATATTTCTCTACTTTTAGCACGCGAATTGACAACGAATTGTCTGACATATTGGTATTTCGATACTATTGATTATCATTCGACATTTCGATGTAGATTATCGATAGTAAAAATCTCTATCAATACCCAGCAGTAAAATATACTGTATGTTGTGGTTATGTTAATTACAAGTATCTACTTGCAAGTTAATACATCAAATATCAGATGGAGGGTACTTGGATCAAACATAGCAAATAGCATCTAATCTTGTTATCCATGCTGTAAAATAATGATTAATAGAAGTAGGAGCACTTGTTCGATCACGTACAATATATCAACATACAATAGTCATTTTATATCTATATACTATTTGTTGTTTTTTTTTAATTAAAATTATATATTATTTGTTTAAAGAATTGTTGAAGATTATTCGAGAAACTGAGAATGATGATTTAACTGGTGTTATGCAGAAATTTGTGTGTACTTATGTTGAGGATATGATACCAGTAGCAGTAGAAATGATGAGCCATTTAGTTAGTATTTTACCTTTATCATTTGTGTTATTAATCAAAATGGTAGTAATACAGTTTGTTGATTTTGCTGTAGTGCTTCTGCTGAATAATTCTGTGTTTTCCACTAAAAACAACAGACATTGTTTCCTTCAAAATGTTATTAGAATGTAGTTTAGTGAAACCTGCTCCTATAATATGGAGAAGAAAACTTTTATCTTCTTAAAATAGACACAGATGAGCCAATTAGTAGAATACTGTTAATGAGAAAAGTGTGAGATATGTATGTTTTGTGCTTGATATCAATATTAAATTCATTCAAGAAGAAAGTAATGCTCTTTTTATTTCTTTGTAACACACCAGTAATTTTTGCTTCTGGTAATTTCAGGCAGAAACATTTGCCCAAGTGTTGACAACCGATTTTGATGGATCTGAAGAGAAAGCCATTACAGCGTTAGGAATATTAAATACTATGGAAACGATATTAAATGTTATGGAGGACCAAAAAGAGGTAGGTGATTCATACTTAAAGAGTCTTGTGCAAGCCCTTGAACTTTGTCAATTTGTAGTCCTGTTTATGGGTATATCTGTGAAATCATTACAACAGAGTAAACAGATCCATCTAAAGTCATACTTTACTGTAATATCAAAGGGCAGATTTAAGTATATTGGATATAATATCTAAGGGATACTTGTTGGATGTCATATATTTTAATTATAGAATATTCTTAAGCTATTGTGATAAATTCAAAAAGGCTATAGTACTACTTTAGTTAAACAGTACACAACTTACTGTCAACCCAACCTCTGAAGATTTAGATAACATAAATGGGGATTAGAATAACGAATAATAAGATAATGAAGTTTTGATAATATATATTTCAGATTATAACCCAGTTAGAAGGAATAGTGCTCAATGTTATAGGAATTATTTTACAACAACAAATGATAGGTTAGTATTTTAAACATTTAGGATTTTTTCATCAAACTTTCTTTGTCAGTGGAGTAGATCAGATTTGAAGATATTCTGTTGTATGAGCAAATTATGACTCCTTATCTTATTGCAAATGTAAAAATTGTTTCTACGTTTAAGCTAATGGGATTATACAGTTCTACGATTAATACCAGAAAGAAAATAAGTGTCCTTTCATTACACATTGAACATTACAGAATTGAATTCTTTTGTATTTTAGATTTTTATGATGAAGTTTTATCTCTGATCTATAGTTTAACTAGTACACAAATATCACATCACATGTGGGAAGTATTTGGTATGATATATCAAATGTTCCAGAAAGATGGCATGGACTATTTCACAGGTTTGTAAAACTTTCAAAACTACATTTCCGTATTAAACAGGCCTTGATTTTTTATTATGGTACATATTTCTTGCTGTAGCAAAAACGACCTAGAATGGCAATTTATATCCATCTACAGCATTTTTGAAACCACAGAAAACTCTACCATACGAGTAGCCAAGTATACTTTAGTTTTCTCTAGCTTGAGGATGTATGTATCTTAACCATGATTTATTAAATAGCTAGATGACATTTTCCCCTTCGTCCAGACCGTATCCAAAGCAATCTAGCCAGAATGAACAGTAATATTTCTTAATGATGATTTTAGTTTGCAAAGCTATTTAAAAAGAATAATATTTTTTATGGAACATTAACTTGATTAGAATGTCCACAACGTTATATTTGATTTGTAAATTAATAGAAAATGTTTTTGTGTGATCTATTAACAGATATGATGCCTGCCTTGCATAATTATATCACAGTTGATACCGATGCCTTCTTATCTAATCCACAACACATACAAGTTATTTATGAAATGTGTAAAGCAGTAAGTACTTTATGAAATATCAATTTTAAAGATGCATTCATTATTTTAAAGATGCGTTATGTAAGAATTAGCTGAAGAGCTGGCCGTTCTTCCTATAATAGTTCAATAAGAGATAATGAGAAATGAATATTGAAAATTACTTTATTCTAAGTGCAGTTACGAGTTTTTCGAGTTTTAACAAGTACCATTCCTACGGTAATAAGCAAGATCCTGATCATTCATTTTATTAAATGACAAATGTGTTCTAATCCATTTGGGGGGTTGGATGGCCGAATGGTTAGCATGTGCACACTGTATCATAAGGTCTGTCATCGAGTCGAGGAGTAGGGTCGCCTGTCCAACCTTGTGGGTTTTCTCCGGGTCCTCCGGTTTCCTCCCACTGCTAAAGACCCCTACGCGCAAGCGAATTGTTGAAATAAAATTGAACCATGTTATAGTCCCGAAATGACCTAGTTTGTGTCAGTGGACCTTAAACCCATTTCTCTCTCTCTCTCTGATATTGGCTTGTCATGTGAATAAATGTCTAATGATCCTGTCGCATTTGAATCTAGGAAAAAGTCCTGCAATAGGCAGAATTAGCTCTTACATAATGCATGTTTAAGTGCTGTTCTTGTCATTTGGCATAATTTGTCTTTCATTTATTTATAACATTTACCAAGTATATGAATATTTTGCTTCTGTTAGTAATTATCAATTTGTTACTACCACTGATGATTTGTGTATAGTTTGTTTGATAATACTGTAACATATTTTGGTAGGTATTGAATGGTGATGAAGGAGAAGATGCTGAATGTCATGCAGCTAAATTATTAGAAGTTATTATATTACAATGTCCAGGAAAAGTAGATCCAGTAAGTCTTTATACCTTTCCTATTTTTTTTTCCTCACAGGATTAATCCCCTTCTTAAAAGTATTATCCTCTTGCAAACAGAAATAAATAAAACTAACTTGATCCTGTATTGCTGACAAACTGTACACTTAATCAAAGGCTGTATAGATGGAAGAGAATAGATTCAATATTACACATTTTAATAATAATGAAAAAAATTTGAACAGATTAAACACAATTCTATCTTGATAAAAAAAAATAACAACTGAAGTGTTAAATTTTGTTGTGATTCTACATCTACCGGAACTGTGAAAAGTTATGGAATGCAATACAAGGTAAGCTTGATAAGCAAGCTATTTGAATTATTGATTAAATTGTTGATAAATAGATTATTTTATTTTCACAGGTTATACCTACATTTGTAGAATTAGTATTACAGAGATTAACACGAGAAGTACAGACGTCTGAATTACGTACAATGTGTTTACAAGTTGTTATATCTGCCTTGTATTATAATACTCCCCTATTACTCGATACCCTAACTAAATTACAAGTTCCTAATGTTACCGGTTCTATTATGGCACAATTCCTGAAACAGTGGATATGTGATGCAGATTGTTTCCTCGGGTAATTTTACTTTAAATTATATCATGCATATCGTATTTAGTTTGCATATTTCTTTTTTAGCCATTTGAGAAAAAAATGAACTGTTGCCATTTAATTCATGCCAAGAAATTTAACTTGATGAAATTAATTTTAATAGAGAAGTAGAGTTGTTTTTCATGCAAAGCCTATTGATGTTGAATTGTGTATATTATATATGTATGTTATTTTGTATATTTACAGGTTACATGATAGAAAAATAAGTGTGTTAGGATTATGTTCATTGATGAATACACCTAATAATAGACCTAATGAAATTTCGTCAGTCGCTGCTAGAATATTACCAGCTTCCTTATTATTATTTCAAGGTTTAAAACGAGCTTATGCAAGTAAGTTGATCTTTTAAAGACAGGAGTTAAGAACTTCTCTCCTACCATCCAACCTCGTGGGTTTTCTCCGGGTCCTCCGGTTTCCTCCCACTGCTAAAGACCCCTACGCGCAAGCGAATTATTGAAATAAAATTAAACCATATGTTAGTTCCGAAATGACCTAGTTTGTGTCGAGTGGACGTTAAACCCCATTTCTCTCTCTCTCTCTCTCTCCTACCACATGTAACAGATATGAAGAATATTTATTGATAGCTGTATTGACTTGGCATTTAACATAATAAAAGGTTGTGTCTAATGTTGTATCCAAATACATCATGATCCTAGCTTCTTTAAAGATGTCTAAAAACATATTCAAACTTGACTTCAAATCCCTCTGCAAACATTCTAATCGCAAGAAAACTACCCCATGCCACAAGAATCAATAGTAAGTTGCCTTGTTTGTCACATGATTTGATGTGGGAGAATCCAATTTTAGCTTGTATTTGTCATTACGCTCTGTCCATTTGCCATAAATATCAAAGCCTAATTAAATTCTTGAATTTTCCTCTACCAATTTTTCAGGGAATCTTATATTTTTTAGTAAGGTTGAGTGTCTCTATTTTGAAAATATTCTATACTTTTTTGGGGAAATAACTACACTTTTCATGGATGTGTATCGTTAATACTAAAACCATATTTATCAGGTCGAGCACAGGAAGATAGTGATGATGATGATGACGAAGAAGAAGATGAGGAAGGGGATGGGGATGAAGGTAAATAATTATTGTTGTAGCACAAACAGAAAAACATGGAAGCAGTTTAAAAAAATGTTATTTTGAGTTACATGAATATGTTGAAAGGCTGAAGTTTTAAACACAAAGATAAAATAGTTTAATGATACATTATGGGAGATTTGATAAAGAGCTGGCAGACCTCACTATAATAGTTAAAACTAGATAATGTAAAGGGAATTTGCTGAAAATTTCAGTCAAATTGATCGACCCTGAACCAAGATTTTAGCGATTGAATTTTCGGTCTAGCCTCGATCATTACTAAAGTCGGTACGATAAAAAAAACAAAAACTTGGTTATCCATTTCATAATTAAATCAAGAACGAAAGTGGAGCAGCAAATGGTATCATAATCCAGTGAACGTCACAGGCTAGTGTTCACATTGAGAGTAGAATATGGTCTGGATAAGTTAGTTAATGTCTAAATAATAATTTAGATAACATTTCTGGCCTAAAGAAAGACCTGCAATAAACGATTTGGCTTTTGCATAATGTATGTTTAATATATGAATTATATTATTTATTACAGAGGTTTTAGATAGTGATGAAGATGATATAGATGAAAATGGAAAAGAATATCTCGAAAAGTTAGAAAAATCTGTAAGTTTTATCCAGAACTAAGTTAGCAACCATCTGTATGGTTTTTCGTTCTCTACCAGATTGTACACATTTTTCATACAATGGACATAAAATTTGTATGTTTGATTGGATTCAAAGGAGGCCTATATAATTTCTGTAAACCCCGGTAATATATAATTGTAGGTAAATGGTGATGACAGTGATAGTGATGATGAATATTCTGATGATGGAACAGAAGAAACAGCTTTAGAAAGTTTTCAAACACCAATTGATGAAGATAATAGTCCAGTAGATGAATATATAGGATTCAAAAATATTTTAGTTCGTAAGTACATCCATGCTGCATCCATAAACTGTAGATGGTTGTGGATTATTTCTATCTTGTCCTTTAATTTGTGTTTATGAACAGACACTTGGTTGGAATTCCAAGGCTATAAATCATTGTTATTAAATTATCAAGTTGTCTAATAAGTTCTTGTAATTTTTGTGCATGCATCTGAAACTTCATAGTAGAATTGTATTCAGGAATCCAGTTTAATGTTGCGTGTCAGATTATTTCATCTTTTCTGTTTTCTATACTTGTTTGTTCTGAACTGAAGTTACTAGTTCGATGATGTATTTATTCTTTGGTACTACATATTACAAATGAAGAACTTCATTCCTTTCACATGCAGGTAAACTGCATTCTCACCACATTTAACTGTAACAATATCATTATACAACCCTAAAAAAAGGAAAACTATGATAGGCATTGATTAGGAAACCTATTATTTTTCAGATCTACAACAAACAGATCCTAATTGGTACAATGCATTAACATCCCAGTTAAATAATGAACAGAGAAAAGAACTAGAAGATGTCTTTAAATTAGCTGATCAAAGACGAGCTGCAGCAGGTAGGAGATTAATTCTAATTATTGCGAACCACAGTTCTTTTATTTTTCAAGGAGTAGGATTTTTTCCGGGTTCTTACAGTTCTGTCAAAGACACCTTTATTGAAATAAAATTGAACCATGTGTTAGTTCCGGAATGACCTAGTTTGTGTTAGTGGAGTTAAACACCATCTCTCTCTCTCTGCAACTTTTTTCAGAATTTCATCTTGTGTTTTGCTCCATTGACTTTAGAAAATTTCCAGATTTATTGAATGAACAATGATCAATACAATGTTATATCTACTTAATAACATGATTATTATAACTATTTGTATTTCAGAATCGAAGCAAATAGAGGAACGAGGAGGCTATAATTTCACCAACACATCAGTACCACCAAGTTTTAATTTTGGTGGAAATTAACAAGTTGTGTGTGCGATAGTAATATACTATTTGACTGGCTTACTATTTTATATTTGAATAAAAAAACTCAACATAAAAGCAGCAAGTGAAATAAACTTCTATTTGAGAAGAAATGAATAATGTGTGATAGTGACATATTCTTGCTTCAGCTTAATTCCTTCAAGAACTACTAAAACCAAGACTTTCTCCAGCACAGACACACTGCTAACTAGTCGATATATTTCCTTGCTGCAGTCAAATGATTTTGTTTTCTTTGGATGTTTGATGCTACACCAAGATTCCACAGGCTACTATTTTCTGTTCCATAATATGTGATACATCTGTGATATTAGCCAATAGATAATAGACCTTGTCGTTTCAAGTCCTTGCCTCTTTAGGAAGGGAGATAACTCTCCCGTTATATATTCTATCAGGATGCGCTTTATAAAGTTATTTTGCGATGTGATTGTATTTCGTTTCATGTGAATATGTTTATATAAACGAAAGAGTAAAACAAGTGCTATTAATACAAATTTGGGAAGAGACAGACATCCAGACACTGATGTGTTCAACACCATCTTACCATTCTTATTTAATGCCAGATAATAAGAAGAGAAACAGTACTATTAAGACCCATTTCTAGTTCGATCGTCAAAAGATTATTAAATGGCCCAATTTTGCTCATAGTTCAGTATTTGATCTTTGATTAACTCATCAATAGAAGAAAGAAGATACCTACATGTAGTTATAATAAATTTCTAAATAAAAATGATTCTTTTGAAAACTTGTAGGCTAAATAGGACAATATTAAATTGAGTAGATGTCGTTTCTACAGCCCATGTGGTCTGCATGAAAGTTGTTTCTGGAATTTTACTAATAATTATCAGATATACTAATACATGTATTGGCCTATATGTTGCAATGTATGAAATTCCGAAGATTTTTTTTCGTGTAAGAGATTTAAACTGTGAATGGGTCTTAAAGAAAATCTTAAGTCTATGTCACAATATCACTAAATTACAATAGATTGTTACAGTTGACTTATTTCAATGAATTCTACAATTTTATGTAAATTATTTGTATTTTTTACTTTCATTACATGTGTACATTTTCTTCCATCCATATATGTATACACCAATAAAAAAAAAAAAGGAAAAAAAATCTTCTATTGAAGAATATAATGACTTAGGCGGTCAACAATAGTTAAAATACAATAAGATTATTTATGCAGTTGAATGAAACACATTGATACTAGATCTACCTCTTGGTAAATATTGCCTTGTCAGAAATTATTATAAAATAATTTAAAGTCCTAATTGGAGAAATACAATATACAATATGTATTATAAACTGTTTTTGTTGATAAAAATGGTTTTACTTAATGCAAAATGCGATGGCATTTTTTTTTTTTTTGCAACTGTTACAAAGTTATGTTGACTATTTAATTTAAGAAAATTGACTTGTTACTTGAAAATACAAAAAAATTCAAATTGTTGACAATCTGTTTTAACCTGTCATTTTATGCCACTGTGGATGAATAAAATAAAAATAAAATATTTACTGATTTATGTTTTGCTAGCTAGAGACTTGAGTTATCAATGTTGTAAAAATCCCTTGTAGAAATATAACAACAAATTGTATGTAGAACTTAAGTTTTGGTAGATATGGTTGGTATTTAAATGCACACTGTGTCTTCATTGGTAAGTGCAAAATACTGGATGCACCTCTCGGATTTCAGTAGTGTTCATGACTAAGCAAATAAGCCCAGTCTGTTTCAAGAATTTGCACAGGCACTTGGCAAGACAATGGTAAAGCATAGAAATTATCGCAATGTTAAATTGGGCATTTTCTCAAGTAATTTGTTTTTGTCTTGGTTACTTAAACATGCATTATGCAAGAGCTAAATCCGCCTATCGCAGGTCTTTCTTTAGGCCTGAAATCTTATCTAAATTATTAATTAGACATTAATTAACTTATCCAGACCATAATCAACTCTCGAGATGTCAACGCTAGCCTTCGATATCAGATGGATTAGAATCCTATATGCTGCAAAAGCTCATTGATAATTAAATCAAAACAATGGATAATCGAGACTATGCTTTTTAGCGTACTAACTTTAGTAATGATGAACGAGGCTAGGCAGAAATTTACAAAACTGATATCTCGGTTCATAGTGGACGAATTTGACTGAAATTTTCAACAAATTACCTTTACATTATCTAGTTTTTAACTATTACAGCGAGAACTGTCAGCTCTTTATCTAATCTCCCATAATGTATCTTTAATTCTGTGTAAATTGTTAGGGGAGTGGTAGGGCTATGTTTGTTTGACTATTTGAGCACTTGTGTCTTGTATGAGATGGGGCAAAATGACCACTTTTGGACTTTGGAAAATCTCATCTAGAACTTTATCTGATACTGATGCACAATATTGGATAATAAATTAAACTGGGGGAAATGTTTGCTGAAGGCAGTTTGAAATTCTGAATTACATCCACAATGACCAATCCCAAGTTTCTTATCTCTGTCCTGTATTACTTCAGTCTTTTAGCTCAGTCATTTCTGTATTGCTTAAACTACATAACACAGGTGACATCAATAAACTTCCACATTAAATGTATGTGCATAAAGTGGACTGGTTTTCCTGTTCTAGTGTGGTGAACATAAAAATAACCTGCAAAAAATACCATATAAATCTTCAGAAAAGGGGACATGCATGATGATGTTGAACAGCAATCTTATATTCTTTACTTATTTTTATGTAAATAGTAAGGAATAATTGGACTCCAGTGAAAAATTAAGCGGGTGTTGATACAGGGATGCGTACAAACTTGCACAGTTGAAAAATTAATACTACTGTTAAATGAAAGGTCAGCTTTATACCATTATAGAGCTAATCTATCTGAATATTTATATAGAAATTTATAGAAATAATCTGACTTGTGTCTCAAATATGTACGTTTTGGGGAATATATGAATGAAATGGGGGTGGGTTAATGTGCTACTTTTCTGCACCAAATGGGCTAAAAAAGACAGGCGCATGTATACACCACTGAATTCCACCAGCAATATTGCACCAATATCTACCAACGGTCCACTGTTTTTCACACAATCCGAACAACCGGATGATGTTCCCAACCAGAATCTCCGTCCTGCCCCACTGACAGAGGGATCCACTGTGGAAATACCTGAGCACCTTTCTCGTCAAAGACTTGGATCGAACTTGTAAGCCTGAGCCTTACTCAATGAACACACGTGGCCCTGTGGGGATTTAAGGATCAGGCCCCCGGGGGCAAATATTGAAATAATAGCCTTGGCAATAAAATTTATTATACTAATTTACTATACTATTAGTATTATAGACAAATAAACAGGAATTTCAGATATGTTGATTTCACTTTAACCAAACAGAAGTTAACAGGGTTATAATATGTTTTCTTTTCTCTATGCTTGAGAAAATACACTTTGTATCAAAGCATTATTATGACACTATTAGAATTCATGTGTCGTTCGTTTAATAGAGTTAAAATAAACACGTTGGTGTCCAGTAATAAAAGCCCTGGTAAACTTGACCAATGAGACACGTGACAGCTGTAAACGTCAGCACACCTCCGGAATTTTAACCAATGAAAAGTGACCTACTTTAATTTGTGCGAGACTAAATTTTATGCTTGAGAAGTGCATTATCAAAAGAGTTGGTTGGTATTTAACGTAAATTTATCTCAAAATTTCTTTATTTTAAGGTTTGTACTGGAGTGTAAGAATGTCTTTGTGCTTTGGATAAATATACACTGTCTTTCTGGATTAAAGGAGAAATAGAATTAGAATAACCGCTGTTGTGTTTTATAGAGTAGAGTGAGGTCAGCCATTGTTTTCTGTAAAATAAGTCCAACGGCAACGCTACCAAAAATCGGCTTAACTTTTTCGGCGAGGCGTAAAGCTCGATTTTGCTTCAACTTCTGTTAATATTTTTATTTTAGCTAATGCCAATTGCATTTGGTTTCAACCATCAAACCTCTTAATTCTGGGTAGTCTCACCATTCCACCAATACCTTCGAGGTGGACCCGTCATTTTCTCCATCCATAGTCTTTGTAGTTTCATCCAAATGATTAGCCTAATCTAATCAATGGCTTCATAATACCAATCAGCACTTGAAATGTTCATACCTTTACATGTATATCAATACTGTATGTTAAAACCAATTAGGATTAGCCCATCTGTTTCGTTTATGATTATGTTCATGTCGTAATGATACAGGGAAACAGTGACCGTACAATATAAAAACATTTCTATTTTCATAAAGTATGATATTTGATAAAGTTTAGTCATTTCTCATAAAATGATCACCAACTTGAAAAATAACATAAGAAATATAAAACTCCCAATAATAAATTTCTATTCATACATGTATTTGTAATACTAATAAATCCGGATGTCAGTAAGATGATCTAGGCATTTTTTTATGACCACCAGCTCGCTGCGGCTTCATTTTCTATTTGACTGTGTTAAGTCAATGATATGTGTATATATGAAAATAGGAGGGAGTCATGGTGGCTCGGGTAAGACGGCTCACTAACTTGCAGGTCCTGTGTTCGAAACCTGCTTTGGCAATGAAAGTTCATTCACCATGGTTCCTCCATGTCACTGGTGCAGGGCTGTGGGCCTGGGAAGGGAGATCCCTTGGCAGTTCGAATTCGATATAAGGACAGGCCGAACACAGCTGTCCGGGAAAAACTTCCCCCATCATACTACACTGTATGGCATATGCCCATCTTCATTAGCGCAGTCGGAGCAGAACAGTAGGAGGTTAAACCCCATTTAATTTCATGAACATAGGAGAAGATGAATGTGACCATTAATACCACCAGTGCTACTGGTGGGATGTCCTTATCCGCATAACACTGGCTGATCACGACTTCATGTCATGGGCTGGAGATAAAAATATAAAAAGTCATGAAATGTGATAAAAACGTTATAAAAATATAGAATTTGATAAAATGTCAAAAAAATTTATTGAAAAATATAATACAAATCATAAAATTCCACTAGAAGCTTTGGTAAAAATATAAATTTTTGACAAAAGTCTTTGTACGGTCCCTTAAACAAGATATGAAAATATTTGGGCAAAACAGAGAAAAGTTTTTTTAAAGTAAAAATGACCATATATTTTGATAACTTTTTGGTGGTTTTGACAAAAGATGAAGTTTGGCCGTTTTGGTTTGCGTTCCTTTTGATATCCACTTTGCACACTTGTACGGTACCTTATCTTGTAAAACATATGAAATGCGTACATGAATGTATCTCCTGTAGATGGAATGTGTTAAAAATATGAATGATTTAATCTTCATCTACACTATTCCATATTGATATTAAAAAGCACTGTTTTCCGCACCCTATTCAATCTTACCATTTTTGTTTGTTTTTAGGCTTTATGTTATAATTCATCATGTCACGAAGTAATTCAACCAACCACAAAGATTGGAAATTAGACTGTAAAATATATGTTGGAGATTTAGGCTATGGTGCGGCAAAACAAGAACTGGAGGAAAAATTTGCAAAATATGGACCGTTAAGAAATGTGTGGATAGCTAGAAAACCTCCAGGATTCGCATTTGTAGAATTTGAAGATCCAAGAGATGCTGAAGATGCTGCTCGAGGTTTAGATGGATCGTGAGTAGCATATATCTTTTCATAATTTTTAAGAAAAATGGGTCCTTGGGTAGAGGGTTTATTTTACTACATTTCTTTATTTTTCCTTTAAATGGTTTCATTAATTTCTTTTAAATTTAAGTTTAAGCAAGGGACATACGTGCAGCCTGTACTATTCTCTTCAGAATAACCATTTACAGTTTATCCATTTTAGGAATCCAGTACATGTAGATAATGTACTTATGTGTCAAAATGTTTCATGTGGCAAGATTTCAAATTACAGAGAAATACACCATAAATAGTAAAGCAGAGTGGTTAATTTTGACAGTTCAACAGTTAATATTCCTTCTGATAAAGAGTTAATCTATCGACTGTATATACTCAGCCTTGTCGATCGATTACTCACCCTTTTTATTGATAGATGCTTCCAAAATTTTCTCTTCACTATATTACAAGTGTGTAAACTACAGCTTCTGTCCACACATTGATGAAGACATATTTACAGTAAAGAGAATTCATTATATGATAGACATCAGAAATTTTGTTTGAAGGTACATGTACATGTATTCATGGAACATCAATAGACATGAGTTGACTGTACAGTTTTTGCAAATTGTCCCGGAATTAACTCCGTGATATTGAGATCATCAAACAATTCTATCACTTTATAATATTTAGTGTGGTGGTATTCAGTAATTCATCCTGTTGGATTTATTTTTTTAAATAGTGTACACATGAATGTAACTGTCAACATATTGTAATTTATAAGATTGATATTAAACTACAGGTCAAAGACTGTTACCGATATCTTAATGTCTAGAAAGTAAATCAATACCATAGTAGTATAAGTAGGGTCTATATAATCTTATTGTCAATACTAGAAATCCTACAATCATTAACTTCTACTCGAGTCAATGATGTGAGGGCTCATACATATGTAGGTTGGTGTTATTGATATGCTGATACTGGCTGATAGTGTTTATAAATCTATTGTTGTACTGTTTTCAAGTTAATCTTGCTTTAACAATTCAATCAGACAATGGAGCAACAGCTGGTTTTTAAATTTGGATGGTACATGTATAATGATATGATGACGTGCAAAATTAACAGTAGATGCATTGATTGAATCTGTGCTGGGTCATGCCCCTTTGGATCAAATTAAACTCGACTGATTTGTCAACGACAATAACAATAATGTAGCAGTGTCATTGAAGTTGAAAATTTTTGGACTAAATGTACACCAGAACCATTTTCCAGTCTTTTTCCATACATGTACCTTTCTTTGAACTCAAACCACTGAATTATTGTTTACATTACCAATACACTGAAACACAAAGAACCATATACATGTACCTTGTCTGGAGTATTGGTATTATAACAAATTAAATCTTTACTTTAAATTTATATTTGTACCTCATTCAGATGGAATTTATTCCAAAAGGCCCTGTCAGAAATATGAATCTGACAATGTGGTTATTTAAGATTAGCTTATTTGAGTTAAGATGTACACGAAGTACATGTAGGCTGTACATATACCATATCAATATCATAACTATTACCATGCACCTTGGAAATTACATGTACTCACCTAGAGCATCTTTTGGATTCATCATCTTGGAACATCTTGGGCCTGAATCCTGATTTATCATTTCTTACGTAACTGACATTGCTTTAAATAAAAGGAGAGTGATTTGTTGCTCTCACCTAAACACATCTGAATTTAAAAAGTAAAAGAGCAACAACCCACTATCTTGGACATGTCACAAATCAATGACATTGTATTCAAACTGAACACTTTGAAGACTGTGATGCCTGATTAATTAATTTTAAATCAAATATAAAACACTTTTGTAGGGTGACCCGTGCACTTTACAGAAAGTTGGTCTCGACACTGCTAAATGTGCACGCTTCAGTTGCGTGTCTCGAACTGATTTCTGAATACCCCGCACTCGTTTTGAGTCGATAAATAGCCATGGCACGTGCAATTCTCTACAAATATATCAACTATTACAGCCGTAAAAAATCTATTGTTGACGATTTTGAATAGCAGTAAAATTTAGCTTCTTGATTATTACAGCAGCTTTAGTAATTACGTTTGTTTTATTTTTTAAATTGCTTTATCATTAACTGTATCGTTAAGAGCGGCATCTTTTGGATTAGTACAAATACTATCTCTGAATCACTTTCTTTAGCAGGAACATGATACTAGCAGTAGTTTCATTTTACTTTTACAAGTTTCTTAAAACAATTGTTGAGTTGTCTAAAGTGCTTATTTCTAAATTCAATTTCTTGTTCTAGCTTTCTGTTATGTTTCGTAAAAAAGTAGTCTTGATTATCCCGACCTGTCAATCAGACATAGAATGGTCAATAGACTGGTTAAGCGAGACTAATTTCAAAACAAGGGCACGTAACTTATCTTTTACTCAAAAGTGTCTGGATGTTATGGACACAACTTGGAACCAGTTTTCAGTCTATTATTTATAGATGATCAATGGTCATAGCTTATTAAGTACAACATGATCGTTTATTTAGTGACTATAATTGTGTGAAACTGATTTGAGGCTTGGCATATATATAAATATTGTGGCGTAATTGTCGAGATATTTGGAGATATATATTTATGGTGGGTCACCCTAACTTTTGTAACTAAAACCTGACCAAATGACAGATATAATATATTGTGTTGATTAGACAGTGAACCCTCATTTGTTTAACAAGATACATGTAAGACTGCATGTACATGTACATTAGGATCCTAAGACATTATATTGATACCCATACGAATAATGGTACAACTTGGCTTCCATATTACTTCCATTTAATCAACATATTACCTTTAACAGGAGAATAAATGGTCGACGAGTGAGGGTAGAGATGTCTTCTGGAAAATCACGATGGGGAAGTCGTGGACCACCAGTGAGACGTGGCGGAGGAAGTTCATATGATGACTACAGACCTCCTCGACGTGGCCGATCTAGGTAAGAACATAAGTCAATCTGTCACAATTTGGGATCATGGTGTTGAGAAGGGATAATGTGGTAACAACCATAACTAACTTGGGATCAGTGCCATGTAACAACAATGAAATTAATCAGTCATAAGATACCTATGATTGTCCAACCAAACCATAAATACTCTTATTTAAGAAATAGTTTAGGTTAGATTTCAGATTACAATTTATCTCAAGGATGTCAATATCGATGAGCATAGATTTGAATTGAGTCTCCCTCTCAAGGACTTATGAATAAATGTAAAATATTTTTTTCTTTCTTATTCCTTGTGTATGTTGTCGATTTCTGTTAGCCTATGTATATATCTTACTTTATTTATGTGTTGAAAAAAATGGAAATATTATGCACATTTAAAAACGATTGGTCATAATCCTCCTTTTCTTTTCAATGCAACAATTACAGGCTTCTGCAACATCCTAGACTAAAGTTCACCGTTGATCGCCGCGTACTTGTATCTTGATTCTACTAGTGATAACTCTACGAACAACAGTCAGTTCACCGAAAACAAGGCATCTTCGTCCGTCTATACAAATATTGGGACGATAACGTCAGCCTAACATCGCTTCTGCTGCTGCCAGCGTGTGCTGTTCAACAAAAAATAAATCAGCGCAGTTCTCCAACTTGGCTACAAAAAATAAATGGCACCGCCTCCCTCCAACTGATAGTCTTCAACAATTCCACCTCAAAAGACATCAACTTTGCTCAACAATTCCTCCATCGATCATCGATTTCAACTTTTCACCATTATCTACCAGTTGATTTCACCACTGGTATTCATCGTAACACCCTTCGTCCATCCCAACTATAGTTCTATAAAAGGGTATGGGTTTTGTGTAGGATTAAGGCTGTCTCTCTATCATATAGTAGAAATATTTGTGTATAACAGTGTATAAAATTTACTATTACTATAGTGTATTTCATAATCCCATTTAAAAAAAAAAAAAAAAAAAAAAAAAAAAAATTTGGAATAATGTTCAAGTTTAAAATGAATTCCATCCAGTTCCTCATAATACATGTATATTAAATCCTAACTAAGACATCGGCTGCTAGTTTTCATTACTCTGGCGGCAAGACGGTATTATCGGTCGGTTTGTGTACAATATGAAACACAGTTTTCCATTGGCTGATATATTATATTTAAATGATGAAAAATTGCCAACCAGACAGGCTGTTATCAACAAATATATAACATTTGTTGATAGTAAATTGCAGGGATTTCCTATACTATCTTAGTAGGAGTTTCCCCTGTGATCTGGCCTTTACTGATTGAGTTAGATAATTTCAGAGCCGTTCTGATCTTCATTGAAAGAACAAAATGCATAGTTAAAGGGGAAATATCTTTAGAATTATGTCAATATTTTTAAGCGCCCAATATCAATAAAATCCATTTCTTAGTTGGACTACCAGTAAATATATTTGAAATTAGAAAAATTAAATTAGTGCATTTCATCCCAAATTTTTATTAGGGAACTGATGAAATACACTATAGTTTGGTTGTTGTGTCACTAATTCTAATACCACAAAAACTTTTAATCTTTAAATACATGTGTGATTTGTTTTGTACAGTTAAAATGAGAATAACATAGGTATTATAATTATTGTTGTTTTCATAATTTTGACACAATTTGTAACTTGGGTATTACCAAAGGTTTTATGGGCTCAACACCCTTTTTGTTTTAAAGTGGCATTATGGTTGATTAGATAAAGAAATACATGTATAATACTTAAAAAAAAATAGATAATATATGTTAAAAATTGTCAGTCAAATACATGTAACACTGTGGCAGTGATTGTCATTGTTACAATAAACAAAGTCTCGATTTAATATCCATTTTCATGGTTAATAGTCAACCGTTGTTGAGCCGAAGATCGGAATCATGTCTGTTTAAAATCAGACTCATCGGATGGCAAAGAGAGCTGATTATGATCTTGTCATGTAAATAAATGTCTAATTAATAGTTTATTTAACATGAAAAGGCCTAAAGAAAGACCCTTTACTTTAAGAATTAATGACATACTGATATCATTTTAACTGTACTAAGATTTATTACACATTTGATCTACTTTGTTTCAAAAATTTCATAAATCAGATGCATGCACATGCTTGTGCTATAATTTGTATTATGAAATGTAAGCTTATTGACTTTCTGTTTTCAAGAGCTGAAATGCATAGGTACATGCAGTTGGCAAGTTTAGTATAACCATACCTTGTGCACTTTCGTTTTTAGTTGTCGGTAAGTTTAGTCACTCTATACTGGCTTTGTTATATAACATTGTGTAGGAATGATAAATGAAAATCGTACAAAGCATTAATCAAATTATATGGTGTGTTTGCAGGTCATTTTCTCCAAGACGCAGAAGTAGAAGTCTGTCAAGAGGGCGCTCAAGGTCTCCAAGTCCCCGACGACGCAGCAGAAGCAGGTACAGTTTGAATTCAGCATTAGGTCTTATAACTAGACTGGTTCCACTTGTCTAAATACTATCCAGAAAGCTATATTAATTTTGAAATTATTAGCCATCATTTTGATAGAAAGGGGCATAAAACCGATCCATGTCAGTCTAAAAGACTAGCATATGGTATGTGTCTTCTAGCTAATTAAAAGTCGCTTGCTTTAAATGAGTTCATTTAAAATTTGAATGAACAACAAATCAGAAATGGATTTTGATAACTTAAGCTGAAACAACGAATAGAGAACAAAATAGGATGCCTTTTTTCAGTCAACATAGAAACTAGTAAAACATGATATTTGTTTCAGTTAATTTACAGAAAAGATTTGTTTTTAATTTTTGTAATTCTATATTCTTTTAACTAGAACCCCAAAAATGCTTTATTTAATACCATACTGCCTACAATCATTTAGATCATTTTAGTAGAGTTATTCCACATATAAATCAGAAAGAGTCACATTTGATTCGTCAAAGAAAAAACTTGACGGAAATCATACCATACTTTATAAATAAATTTTTTTGTTGATTTGACACATAGAAAAAGTTAAATTGGAAATTTCCTTTTCCAAATTACCTTTCATTTATGTACTTCCATGTTTGTTTGTTTTTTTTGTTTAAAGGATGCTGTTTTTTGTTTTTTCTTTGAAAGTTGAAGTTGTTAAGATAATTATTTCATACTGATATTGGGGGGAAAGGGCAATATATTGTGTAAGAAATAAAGATGATTATCATCATTATCAGTTATTATAGTCATTATATCATACATATAGGTTACATCATCAGTTATACATGTATTATATCATGGTTTGTTAGATTACTATGATTATATTGTTTATAGGAGCATCTATTCAGAAGAAAGGTTTGTGCTGCTTGATAGTGTGGATTAAGGAGATCTATATCTATTTTCTACTGCAACTGGTCATATTATACTTTGGAGTTAGTTATCTTTTACTATTAACTGGATTGGATTTTATAGTTTCAATCAGTAGAAATCCTCTCTTTACCTTTCAACCCTCCTTTTATTCAAATGATTTGATTAAAATCAGTTTACAATAGTTTGTTTACATTTCTACATCAAGTTTTCAACTTATTTCTAGTTTTTAGTTTTGTATCCAATTCACCTCTCCCATTTCTCCAATTCTGCTGGACTCCTTGTAGCTCAATCATGGTTACATAAAATTGGCCTGTTTAAATTTAACTTCTTTCCATATGTGTATTTTACTTGATTATGAGAAAATTTAATTATACTTCTTAGAAGTAAACAGAATTAGTGTTATTAATTTGATTACAACTATATGCTTATTGAAAGAATAATGGTTTTGAACGGTAAAGAAATTAATGACAAATGTGGATGTAATTTTGATTAATTGATTGGCGATATATATTTATACACTGTATATTATGTTATCAGGAAAATGATGTTAGACTACTATGACAGGGTGAAAAGGTAAATTTATTTTAAAATATTGTGAACAATACTGATTTTAATTTACGTGTGTCTTTTCAAAATTATGAAGTCAAGGTGATATTTTACAAAAGAAGCATCAACCCTGTTTAATTCTTGAAAGTGAAACAGTATTTAGTGAGGAGTTCTTTTAGTTTACCCACATTTCATCAGTTGAAATTTTTGCTTTTTTTATTCAAAAGTTTACTCATCTACATGTGGTCTTCATAAGGTTGCTGAGTTCATTTAGCTCATCATTAAAGTCATACTTTTTGTCATATTCTTCATCTGTAGGGAGAGTTTGTATACAAGTCTCTACATATAATTCAAGGTAACTGCTATCAAAAATCTTAATTTTAGGTTGAAGTTTGTAGATTCCCATTTTATACCATTTTAGATCTCTTTTCTCCATTACAACTTTTATAAGCCTACATTGAAATGTGGTTGCCCATTTAACTAGAAGCCAAAGTTATCTGATTGATATTTTCTATTATTATACATATATAGTTCATCCAGGTGCTAAATCATTAAGTCTTTGCATATCATGAAAATAAACACTGTGTGTGTGTATATATATAGTTATTATTTTCACAACACACAAACATTTAATGATTTATTTAAATGAAATGAAATGGGGTTTAATGTCCTACTGTTCTGCTCCTAAACTGGGCTAATGAAGACGGGCTTACGCCATACAGTGTGCTATGAGGGAAATTTTGCCCGGGCAGCGGCGCTACGGCCTACTCTTATATCTTATTCCATCTGCCAAGGGATCTTTTACGTGCACAGCAATATGTACACGGGACCTCGGTTTTTCGTCCTATCCGAACAACTAGACAACTGTTCTTGTCAGACCCTCCGTCCTGCATCACTGACAAGGACAGGGATCAAACACCCGACCTCCAGGCTAGCGAGCCAGCGTCTTACCCACTTAGTCACGTGATCTCCTTATTTTCATGATATGCAAATACTTAATGATTTAGCACCCGGATGTACTAGAAGCCAATCAAATTTTAATTATTTTTCTAATAATTACCTCATGGGTTGTTACTCTTGATCAGTTTTTTGAAGTATACTCCTAATTACAAAGATTTAAAATGCTCTGGTCTTTGAGGGCTACAAGAAAGACTTGGCTGTTATGTGGGCATATTTTTCACTGCCTGAAAACCCCATCTTTATATGAATTCATTCTTTTGTTCACCCCACCCCCTCCTTTTTTTTTATACAAAAAAACAACATATAACGAGGTTTTGTTGACCATATGGGGTTTACTCAAGATTTGTACCCCAAGTGGTATTTTAAATCACCTGTTTATCTGTGTCTCACAGATAGATGTCCATTCTATGGTTTTATGAGTTTCACAGAATTAATCATGTATTAAATTAATTTGACCCTCTCTGTCTCCATTCTATTGGGATCATGGTGTTTTTTTTATTTCAGAATTTCTATTCATTGACTATATATATATATTGACTACACACTGAAGTAGTCTTTATAGTGAATAGAATTTGTTATTATTTGTATTCCATTTGACTTTATCCAAAGTTGTTCTTTTTTTTTTATGTAGATTTGTAGTTGGTAGGGTAGTAGTTATTTTTTTCCAGATTTACTATGTAATGCCTCATAAGAGTTAAAAGGTTTCTTATGTAAAGAAAATATAACCCCATGCTATGACATTTTATTAAATGATTTTCATAAGCAGTATCATGAAGTTTGCTTGAAGCTGCAAAGATGGTATTTTATATAGCTGTAAATTTGTGCACGTGTTGTTGTCCATTTTATATAATTATTGAGTCATACAGATTGGACTCGTGAAACCTGCAGTTCACAAGGATGCTGTTTTTGTTACTTTTTCAGTTCCTTAATAAAGTCCACAGTTATACGAAAGTGTTCATGTAATGAGTAATGTAATAATGTATGGTGGAAGTTGACAAAGTTCCATCAGATACGTTGATTTTAATATCAGCTACCTAGTCTGCATAAAAATTCATCTTTAAATTGAACAAAAAATTCTATTTTTCAGATAAGTGAATCAGACAACAAATCATATAATGGAGGGAAATTCTTCTAATTTTTATGAGGAGAAGACAAACTTTTATTTCATCAAAAGATTATTTTGGGTGTGGCCTGGAGAGATATAATATCAATAAGACAAGGACAAGTGAATTTTTCCTATACCTACCGCTGTAGATAATTATTGAATACACACACAAGATACACAAACAGCTTGTTATACCTGATTATATTGTTTATTTTGTGTTTATGTATTAGATATATATAATGTAAGTAACTTGACTTAAATCAAAAGTTCAGATGTGGATGTATTGATACATTGTAGGATAACCAACATGCTTCATCTTATTTAGTGCCTATAGTAATAAACAATTCATATAGCTAGGCAACAAATAGTTTGCAGTTTTAATTTAATGCAATTCCATGTGTTTTGTTTTCTGAACATTTTGATTGGTAGTCATATAGGTGTCATCAGTTCCCAAATAACTGCTTTTTGGGTTTTTATAGCTCCAGTTTCATAAAGTTGTGAAAATCGCGTTTTAAGGCCATGTTTCATGTATGTATGTATGTTTAATGCTTGTACACTGTATTTTATCATGTCATAATTTGTTATGTGTTTTATACATTAACTTGGTATTATATTCAGTTCAACACATTCTTAATGTGTGAAAATTGTTTTTCTTGATATGTTATAATTAACAAATAAAGATTTTACTGAGTATCAAAAGTTTTTCTTCACCCTTTAGCTTCCAAGATTCAAAAATATAACAAATGGAGGGTTCAAATTACCAAAGCTTCTTTACAAAAAAGCTTAGTCCTAATGGAGGTTAACTATATTTTTGAGCTAGATATCGATGACATCATAGAACAGTTCATCAAATAACATCCATGCTACTTATTCTCCCCATTATAGTTTGAGTCATAATTGTTCAAAACTCTATTTTAAGTTCCTGTCAAGTTATCTATGCCCTGGCATGTTTGAAAAAAATAAACGAATAGTTTATATGATGAACCCGTGGGAACCTGGCTAACTACTTCCTTGATCCGCCCCTGATGTATCACAAAGAAGTACGGCCACAAATATTCAAATATCAATTCCTTGCGGAAAATTCATTTATTAGGAATTGTGCCCCAGAAATGCCCAGCAAAATGACAGAGCACCCTTAAAGTATTTATTTTTTCATAAGGCAGTAATATGTGCTCGCAAAACTTGCATCAAATTATCTCCTTTCAAATGCAGCAGAGGCCAGGGGGGTTCCAAGTTAGCTTTCCCCCGAAGACATTTTCAGGTAGCAATGAATAATTTAGAATATTTTTTGTAGCCCAATAAATAATAATGGGTGCAGTATATCATACGATTATGGTTTCAATTGCAAAAAATATGAAAATCACAAATTGAGCTAAATTTTATAGCCAGTTCTACAATTTTGATGCTTCTCAAAACGCCAAATTATCTTCTGAAACTGAAAAACAGTGGCACTATGTATGGAAAGTACGTACATTACTTCTTGAAAATGTAAGGGGTGGGGGTGCATGGTAGGTGTCACCAATGAATAAGATGAAAAGTGCAGTATGGGTGGGGGCATAATGTAATGAAAAAGAGTGTTCATACATTCTACGCAGTTTTACAAAATGCTGTGGCATATAAATGTTGCAATGTAACATTTTCATTGTCACTGTGATAACAGACCAGTATATTTACTAATGTCACTGATGGTAATTTTTATTCCAACTCGCAGAAATATTCATATTAACTTGTATACAAAGTAGATTGTGTTAGTTTCCTCAACATAACATACTTTCTCACTTTGAAACTAACATTGGACAGTTTTATGATGACACCTGGAGATAAATTATTTCAATTTTATTTTTCTGCCCAGGGATCTTTTATATGCACTACCCTGGAACAACTTTTCACAATTACCCTCACAATTCATATGTGTTGGGGCAAAAGACATCAAAATAAATAACTAATTTGAAGACATTTAACTATCTTTATCACAGTTCGTAACAATTATCAACATTTACATTTTCTATAACATTTTGATATTAATAAAACAATAATGAACAATAATAATAGATGTATAATATATCAATAAACATGGTTGTGTATGATCTATCACAATGATTACTATTAAAACAAGAAATTAATGCTACTTGTACTTAAAGGGAGGGACAGAGAAATGGGGTTTAACCTCCACTCGACACAAACTAGGTAATTTTGGGAATAACATGGTTCAATTTTTATTTCAATAATTTGCTTGTGTGTAGGGGTCTTTAAAAGTGGGAGGAAACTGGCAGATCCAGTGAAAAGCCATTACGTTAGGAAGGCAACTCTACTTCTTGTCACATACAAGCAGGGAATCAAAACCATGCCACTTGACTCGATGACTGACCTGGTTATTTCACGTGCACACGTTAACCATGCAAGAGCTAAATCTGCCTATTATTGCAGATCTTTCTTATGGCTTAAAATGTTATATAAATTTATTCATGTGGCAAGACAATAAATAATCAACCCTCTAGACCATTGGATGGCTGTAATATTAAATGGATTAAAACACTCGCCATTTAATGATTTAATGTAAATATGGATAATCAATACTTTTCAATCATAATTTCTCTTAGAAAAAAGTAATTTTAGTGAAATTTTCATTTTTTTTATTATGTACTTTTAAACTATTATAGTAGCAACGGCCAGATCTTTATCTAAATCTTACATAAAGCAACTTTAAACATCTTACATAAGCAAAATGTATATTGATATTAACACAGCATTTGACACTTTAATGTCTAGCATTTATTTCTTGTTTTAGTTATTTTAGACTGATTATAATAAATCAATTATTAAAATTATTGAAATATAAAATCAATTATTAGCATTATAGACAAATAAACTGCACTCTATTAATCAATATTATGCAAATATATGTGTTTGTGTTTGCATATAATAATATCTGTCAATCTATTGAACTTGGACAAATAACCTTTTTAAACTCAATATATATATTGTCTGAGGTAAGAAAGTTTGGTACTCGAAATTCTTCATATAAATGTAGACCTACTTCTAATCAAAAGATTTGACAAACATTTGGATTAAAAGATGTATTAAAGGGGCATTATTATATGTAAGATTAGATAAAGAGCTGACAGTTCTCACTATAATAGTTAACAAGCTAACAATTAGGCAAATGTCCCAGGGCAGCCATCCCAAAATAAATAGATGACACATATTAATTAATTGCACACATATTTTTTTGAAAAGTATCGAGCAATAAAACTGATGATATATTCTTAGTTTAAGGAGAAAATGTTCACGATTGAACTCAATTAAAAGCAGAGTTGTTACCTTCTAATGTCTTGACCAATCAAATTGCTTATCGCATAAGCAGAAAATTCTAAATCTATTGAAATTCTAGACTATCCGATGGCATTGACAGTTGATTATGATCTTGGTAAGTTAATTAATGTCTAATTAATAATTTTGATAACATTTAAGGCACAAAGAAAGACCTGCAATAGGCAAATTTAGTTCTTGCATAATGCCTGTTTAATATACCTCCAAATTGTACAGTTCAAATGATCTATCAATAAGCATCTGTTTCAAGATATCAGAAGTAAATAAATGCAGCCTGATTACAAATTAAAACATTACTGATATAACTATTACAGTTTTGTCTACGTCAATATAGTAAAATGGATGTCATTGTTAATGAATGGTTAAAAAGAGGCAGCAGTTAGAATCGTTTTTTATTTGGTTGACGTGCCAGAGGTGGTCGATTGTTATTATGTAATGGTAAAAACTGGCTTTTGACATCTTGGTGATCACTACAAATCATTAGCGAGATTCTTGTTGGTGTTGCTTCTAAAAAAGATAAAAAAAAAACATTTAAAATTATTAATGGTAATTTATGTTTAAAAATTAAAAGCATGAATGGCATTAAGAAAAAAAACAAACAATGTCCATCAGCAGCAAGTTGCCAGTGATTCTGCCATAGGTACCATATAATAAGAATTTTGAGGTAGGACATCTTACAATAAACAAACATACTGAGGACACACACTTTAAAAGTTAATACACAAAATTCTTTTTGCTATCAGTAAATTTTGAATTCTAACATGATCCTTGGAAGTGGCATATACTCAGCAGTATGAAGATGATAAGGTAAATGTACAGATGTCATTTTCATGTGACAGATAAGCAAAGTACATATTTCAAGAAATCATTTTGAAAAATGAATGTTGTTGATCTTGTACGGAGGAAAACTTGACAACAAAAGATGCCCTCTAGCTTTATAGATGTGCATAGCTTGCTACTGTTGCCATGGTAATATTTGGGAAAAAAAACTATTTTAAAAGAAAATCATATAATTTTGACTTCCATGATATAAGGTTAACATTAGGTATTTATAATTATCAACAGACTAAAGAGGTGACAATATTAAACGTCCATATTAAATGTGAGTGTATGGATAAACGACTAAAGCTCTTGGAATTGAGTAAACGTACAAAGTGTCCATTAAATTAAGTTTGGTGTTGTTGATATATAATAGATTTTATGTTCCTCTGTTGACAGCTTTAGCCCAAAACAAAACTAAAATAAGCAAACAAACTGACTTCTGCATAATATTTTGAAACGAAAATTTAATCTTACAGATTTTGTCCCACCACTAATCGAAAAAACACATCAGATCCATCAAAATTATTTTAAACTAAAGCAAAGTTATTTATATCCTATTATATCAAATTCCCCTTTCTTCAAAAACAATTATAATTTCACTTTGATGCATGATGGAGTAAAGAAACTAAATGTTTTTAATATGAAACAACCAATGAGTCAATAATATGTAAATAATAGAGACACATGGTTCTATATATGAATAATAAATAACATTTAATAAATACCCATCATTGATTATATGTCGAGAAATAGTAATATTTAGATCTAAAAAGAATCAAATTATTGTTCAAATTAACAGGTTTTGGTGACATACTGTTAAAAAAATAAATATCTGGGGTTTCTTTTTATGAACAAGTCATTTCACAAATACAATGCTTATGCTAATTTAAGAGACACTCCCAAATAATCTATTCTTCAATTTCGATTTTCCAAAGAAAGGATTCAGAGAAACGGGGTATGTCTAAGAGGTTGATAATTCTATTTTATCAAAATTAACATTTATATATATATATAAAGATACACTATAAAAGTTTGAAAACGATTTTAAAAATGAAATCCAGAAAATAGTCAAGGGGGTGGGGGGGGGGGGAATAGGGGAGGTGGTAAAGTGCTAAAGGATGAAATAACAAATTAATGAAATAAAAGAGACAAAATACATTATTAATTCCTTGTGTTTCACAGCATAAAATCCTTTGTGATGTGAAATTAATTGGAAACAAGCTAAGTGCATCTCCCCTACAATCTGATTACTGGAACACATGTTGCTTTTTGGAGCCAGCATAAATTAAACATACATTATGCAAGAGCTAAATCTGCCTATTGCGCGTAGGCCTATTTCTTTAGTCTTTAGGCCTGAATTAACTTATCCAGACCATAATCACCTCTCGATGCCATTGCTAGTCTGTGATATTTATAGTGGATTGGGATACATTTTTTGAAAACCAATTAAATCTAAAAATGGATAGTCAAGACTTTGTTTTTTATCGTATCGACTTTAGTAATGGTGATCGTGGCTAGCCTAATCTCAAAAGCTCATATCTCGGTTCAGAGTGGAGCAATTTGACTAAAATTTACGCTATCTAGTTTTCAACTATAATGGCGAGAACTGTCAACACTTTATCTAATCTCCTATAATGCACATTTAAGTTATGATGTAAACTGGCACTGTAACACTGTGACCCAGTTGCAACTTGCATCACACCATGACAGTAATTCTGTGGGAAATATAGAGATGAGAATCATGAGATAAGTGTATTTCATTAGTAATGAATAGATGGGACAAATTCAATATGTCATGATGCAGTCATTGCTATAATGCATTAGAAAAAAGAAGTACCCACAGTTATGTTGAAGTATTCAAAGTATCAAGCCTTAGCATGCTTGATTTATGGATGCAACCCCCGACCTCTTGACTTGATGATTGAAAAATCATGGAGGGGATTGAAACCGACTGAAATGTGGTATGGTCTCATCAGTTCCACTCGGATTCGTTCAGGACTCCTCAGATCAAATCTACATTCACTGCATTGTTTGTTGTAGGGGGACCCCCTCATGTGGAGAGTCCTCAGGCCAGTGCCCCACTGTCGATCCAGAACTGATCTCAGTATAAGTATAGACGGCAGTAAATTGACAAAATCTGTTCTTTTGGGTCATCTCCCGCGCACCCCCCCCCCTTTCTTGGATCTGCGCTTAAAAGTTAGCTGGAGCACTAGGGAAAGAAATTAAATTAAGAGAAACTTAGTGCAGACAAGAAAAAAGAAAAGTGCTTATTAATGTATATTATTATTACACACAACACATAGCATGCTTACCAAACAGTTGACGACTGCTTTTAGCCGATTTATTCCGTGATGATAAATGCTAGAAACATGGCAATAAGTTAGTGAGATTGATATAAAACTAAACTACCGATAAAAAGATACTAAAGAAAGTGACTATACTAGTATATCTCTAGCATGTTATAATATAGTATAATATAGATGACTTGCTATAATGCACATTATAAATCATATACAGATGTGATATCATCCTTTCATGTTGTCCTACCATTATTTCAATTAATGCTACTAGCAACATGTCTGGCTTGTATAAATTGCCATATGTTTGGCCTAATACAGTCTGGTTGGAGTTGCCATAAATCTCAAAATTTATTCCAAAAATCCCATTGACAATTCTGTTCCAAATTCAAAATGTAAATAGGTAAATAACTCTCCAATTTCAATATATTCATTTTCACTATCTATTTTTGAAGTATTATAGCAAGAACTGTCAGTTCTTTATCTAAATCTATATAAATAAAATAAAAGATGTCTGTGTGTATGTGTATATGTATGTTTGCCCGTCACGCTTCGTTGCCACATTCCACCCCCACATATGAGGTATCAAATTAACCAGCATGACCCCACAAATGTTTTAGGCCTTCTAATTTGGACCCTGAGTGAATTGGACCTGGACCCTGGCGAATAACGTTTCATTTCCCCCCTCCCCCTAAAAAAAAAAAAAAAAAAATTTTGGAACCTAGCTGTGTATTTTTATGCAACTTTGAAATTGATCAACTGCGACCTCTGATTTCAATAATGCATTTGTATGCAACATCATATATCACACTAAATCCGCAGATGGTTCTTAAATTTAAGTACCATTTATATTATTATTTTCCTATACAAACAAAATTATAATTGTGTACATATAGATTTTCAATAAACAATATCCCTGAATATGTCAATATATTGTCCAGTTAACAGCCTGTTTATAGAAAACAACAGCTTTCCTATTATATACGTAATCCCATAGGCGTACGAGCTGGGGGGGCTGGAGGGGGGGGCGGCCGCCCCTGCATTTTGGGCACCAAACGCTGGGAAAATTTGGGCACACAATTGTATTTTGTAAAAGTTGTATAAAAAAGGGATATTGTGTTCTTGAATGTGTCCAATTTAACAGCGAATTTATTATTATTATGTAACATACTAAGAACCAAACTACATTTTTTGGGCACCAACCACCACCGCCCCCTGAGTCAAAAATTTCCCCGTACGCCTATGCGTAATCCTAATCAATATCATAATGAAAAGTCACCTCAATTATTCTTGAAATGAAAGCAAACAATTCACCTTTAATTTTTAGAAGTCTTTCTCACTTCCGTTTTTATTTCTTGGTAAATATTGGCCTGGTTATGAAACGTGATATTAATCGTATCGTAGCAACTAAATCGCAACACGTACATGCATCATATTGTGACAGCAGTGGCATACCCAGCATTAATGTAGCTGTTCATGGATTCAAGATGTACCGGTTAATAAAAAGCTGAAAATTTAGTCCATTTTCATGTCAGATATATTTCATAATTCACATGAAAAATATAAGACTGGCCTGTATGTAAATTAGAACAGATGATCCATGGTAATTGATATGGTAAGAGATAACTCTCTTAAGGTCTGACTGAGACAATAATTTATATAGTTTAGATGAGATATCATGCTTGCAACATGGTGTTACTATCTAGAAGTGATATAAACATGAATATGACTATTGTATATCAAATAAGAGTTAATGGCATATAACTTATCTTTTTATAAATATAATTATGCTCCAAGAAACATGCAGTACCGGCTTTATAAAAAGATAAGTTATGTGGGATATGAATGGATGAACTATCATATCCCACATCTTACATTTATCTTAAAGTAGGACTTTTCTAATGACCAAGAATAATAGATAAAGATTGCTGGAGTGGTTACCCACTCACTCCCTCAAATTAGGGAGAGAGAAAGAAATTGGGCTTAACATCCACACGGCATAACTAGGTCATTCCAGGACTAACATATGGTTGAATTTTATTTCAATAATTCGATTATAAATGTGGCAAGGTCTTTAGCTGTTGGAAGAAAACAGAGGACCCAGGGTAAACCCACAAGGTTTGACAGGTGACCCAACTCGTCGTCACATACAAGTGTGGGATCTCAAAACCGTACGACTTGTGATCTAATGAGTATGCGTTAGACAATTCAGCAATACAATCACCTTCTTAAATTTGAAATGATATATCATTCATGACAGATATTTTTCCTGGTAGTATGATCATGTTTGTCAATCAATGGTTATGTATTTAGGATTGTGACTGCCTAGCAAATACATATTTTGTTAATATACAAAATCATTTCCATGATATTGATATATGCTTAATACTTCTATTGATGCATCAATAGGTCAACAAAGTAAAATAAAACAGGTCAAATCCCCCGCATTAACCAACTTACTGAATATTTGATCTCAATTCAATCATTTATTTGAAAATCTTACAATATGTAAATGTTTCCCCGAGATAAAAATATAAACACAAGTAAATATTTGTATTTGAGTAAAATGTGAAATATTAAAACTTGATTTAACACAGCTGTGTAAATATGATTTATTATCAAACCCTTTACCACACAAGTGGGAATTTTTTTTTATTGATAAATGTATTACATGTATATAATGTAACAAATAACTTGAATAGCTTAAATGGTTCTATTTCAGAAATGTACCTCTACCAGATCCTGTGGTCGCAGAGACTTGAAATTGTCAGGGGGATATTCAGGGGGACTAGCCATGACCTCACATCAAATTTTAGTCGATCCGATGAATAACTTTACATTTTACCGACCTTTTAGCTTCTACCGAGTACTTTTATCCAATTGATGCCATTTTGTTTGTTGACTATTTAGACTTGAATACCAAGCCGCTGCAGTTCATAATAGTAATTTTCTCATATTTTAATTTTTGCGCTAAGCCATCATTTTCTACAAATGACTATTTGGTGTGAATATTGCCGTAACCATGACTTTGACCCTGACTTCAAATTTCCCATCGAACTTGCGCACAGTGCGCTTATTTGTGCTATGCCCCCATTTCTTGCTGTATTATCGAGGTTAATATCCGTGATGAAAGCAGAGAAGATGCCCTTTAGAAAAGATGATTGAGTCAAAGTCGTGGATCAAGGTCATATTACAGAAAACTGAAATGAAACTTTTCAATTTCAGTTTTTGGACATTTGACCTTGACGTACAAGACGATTTAACACAAACCAGGTCATTTCGGGACTAACATATGGTTCAATTTTATTTCAATGAATCGCTTGAGCATAGAGGTCTTTAGCAGTGGGAGGAAACCGGAGGACCCACAGAAAACCCAACAACGTTGAACAGACGACCCTACTCCTTGTCACGTACAAGTAGGGAATCGAAACCACACCACTTGACTAATGAGAGACCTTATGATTCAACGCCAAAACCCCCAATATGTCTGAGAGAAAAAGATAGTGGTGTGAAGTCAATAAATACCAATGTAAACTTTAAATGGCTATAAACCAAGACATGAGGACATGCTAATGAGGACGGGCATATGCCATACAGTGTGCATAAACTAATTAGACAGAATTTATCAATAAATGGGAATAATTTTTAGATCAAAAAATTTTCAAATAAAAGTCCTTTTGATTGCATATGACGACTTTGATCTATTAGTTTCATATGTTTTCATAACAGTTATTTGTTGCTTAGTCAACAATATCAAGGTTACAGTGTAACTGAACTGAGAACTGAATTTGAGAAAGTTTTTAGCAATTAGAAGCAGCAAATATCTATATCACTAAATTTCATCCACTAACTAGAGCTATCTAATAATTCTAACAGGCATGATGTTTCATAGAATCTAATAAACGTGAAATAATTTATAGTTTTTAAATTACCTCTCTTGACTCTTGATGTGAATTAGATGGTTTGTTGTATGTCTTTTTGTCTTGACTACTATTACTAGAAGCACTTGGTTCACGCTGTAGTTTTAAAATACTTAAAGATTCCTGCTCTGTTTCCATATCCCCTACTCTCTCTTTAGATCGGTTATTTTTTAAATATTTAATTGATGTTGCCATTTTATTTTCGCTGGGTTGTCTATCCATCATTAATGGACGTGTTTTCAGCATTTTTTCTTGTAGCACTGATATTTCTCTTCTTTCTTTAGAAATTTTTTTCTCTGTCTGTTTATAAAGAAATAAAATGAAATGAGGTTTAACATCCTACTGTTCTGTTCTGACTGGGCTAATGAAGATGGGCATACGCCTTACAGTGTGCTATGAGGGAAATTTTGCCTGGACAGTGGCACTACAGTCTATTTATATATCGAATTCCAACTGTCAAAGGTTCTTTTACGAGCATGACAGGAACTTGTCTTACTCACTGAGCCACAGTGGACCTGTTAATAAAGAAATAAACAAAAATATGTCCTTGAAGTTTGATTGGGAAAACTAGAAATTTAGAATAGATTTTGAATTTTGAAGTATAAAAAGTTAACATACAAATAACAACGTTTAATGTTCACCCACCACTAACTAGAGTGGGACTAACATGATATATTTTTACCCAGAGAAAACCCACAAGGCTTGGCTGGCGACCAAAACTTACTATATCATCTTTTATTTCTCTTTTTAATACTTCTATTTCATCATTAGTTTCTTTTATCATCTTTTGTATATAGCTAGACCTAAAAATACAAAATATCAACAAATCATTTTCTTGTCTAGAAATCTTAATATTCCATTCTCAAAAATCTGCTGCAATCTTAAATTAATTTTCTCACACAAAATGGACAAATGAAATGATAATTAGTTATTTTTAATTTCTCGGGTTGTAAAAAAAAAATGCCAGATATGACCTTTTTACTCCCCACCAAGGATATGCTCCCTTTTTAACTAGGGGCCCCATGCAAGCTTAACCTGGCCCTGGAAAGATTGAGCTTTAGTTAAATTTCTATGGTAAATATTATGAAATCTTGTGAAGCACCAATCAGGAATATATATCATCAAAATAATTACCCATTAGATAAAGTATGTCTTTGAATGTTATTACTAACAACAGTAGGTTTAGGTAACGATGATTTGGAACTTTTTAAATCATGGATACTTTTAACAGCTTCATTTATTTCTTCACTAGAATGAACAGTTGGTATTTTACTAGGTGTGTGTCTGCCGATCGCAGTAGTTGTGATGGGAGTTGATTTTATACTTCGGCCAGATTTTGCAACTGTAAGAGGTTGGGATGTCCTTATGCCATCGTCTTCTTCATTATCATCAGAATGCATACCTATATCAAATACATATATACTACGTCAATTTATTTTGAAAAATCAAATAAATTCTAAAACAGAGAGAGAGAAATGGGTTTTTTAATGTCCATTCAACACAAACTAGGTCATTTTGGGACTAACGCATGGTTCAATTTTACTTAAGTTGCTTGCTCATATGGGTCTTTCCACAAGGTTGTAAAGGCGAACGAACGGGGAGTCGAAACCAAACCACTTGACTCAATGACAGACCTAGTGGTGATCTAACATGCTAAACCATTCGGCCACCCAACACACCCTCTACAACAAAACAACTTTATTTTTATCTTGCCACGAATTATAGTTAACAGAGAAAGAGAAGATACAGGGGGGGGGGGGGGGTTCTAGAGCATATCTCATGGGCCACTCGAGATATCTACTAGTATATCAAACTTTGTTCTCAAACACGGTGTTGCACCTTTGGCAATTGGAAAGTTTTGGGTTTATAATTTTTTGCATTTTTCATGGAATAAATTTGTTGCAGATTGTGGCAAGCAATTATTATTCAGACACATATGAGTAGTTCTGTATTTTGCTATTTATAAATCTTATTCTTCATTTCTAGTATCTAGTAACCTACAATATTGTCATGGTTGAATCTCTAAAAGAAATATCAGTCTAAATACGGTTCAATTTCGTTCAGTCTTTAAAAAGATATTATGCACAGAAAAGTCCTCTGCCCAACAATAAAAACAGGATATGGTCAAAACAAGCCAGTGCCACCTGTTTTTTGCTAAAAAAATTTGATGGGTCTCTTTATATTCTGATAGAGTCCAAGCTGTATAAGTATCTACAGTTAATATTTTGGTTTCGTTTCTCAGTTAAACGTGAAATAAACAAGGAGTACATTATAGTGTGGATTAAACTATAAAAAATTAGATAATGTCTGAAAATTACAAAGGATTTAATAGTCAATAGAAAATACCCATAAATGTGAAGTCAATTTAAGTCTTCGCTTGGCGTATTACCAATTTGAAGTCGCCAAAATAAACCTAAATGGGTGTGCATTTGGGCATGGATTTTTTTATTACTCTGAAAGCCTAGGATCAAGAATTTTGTTCATATGTTAATTTACTGACCAAAGAACCTAATTCTGCGTGATTGATTGAATCTTAAATGTTAGGTTAGTTTTCTTAAGATCAGTTAAGTCTTTATTTATGGCAAAACCTGTGACTTCTTATTGATTCTTAGATAATAAAATCATGGGCAAACTATGTGGTAAACAGCTTCACACAATAAACGATATTGGTTTCTAATTTGCAGAAGAATGTTTTTGTACATAAAGTTCAATGAGCCATTTTTTAAATGCTAATGGTATGGATATTAGTATTAAAGGTGTAAAATGTAGACTAATGATTGAGAAATGATATCGACCTCTCAAAAAATTCTAGTTTCCTGGTTCAAATGTTACACTTGATTAAAGACTGTATTTACTGATGTCATCACTGCTACCACATATGCCAATATGACATCTCCAAGCTTAAAAAGCGATAGTTGCCTTTTTGTAAGTCATATGTTTAGAATATTTTAATAATTTAAAATTAAACCTTAAACCACATGGAATTTATACAAGTCCTGCCTTCAAGAATAATCCTATAATTCTTATTTCCAGTTGAGGAATTGCAAATATACCATTTTCAAGTTGAAACATCAATGTTGAGCTTTGACAATTCTTTGGAACATATAAAGCAAGGGAGTTAGGAATGCTAATTTTCCTATGGTTGTATAATATTGATTTGACAACATATTCGCAAGAAATAGAAATAAGTATGTTTTGACTTTCTTAGAAAATATGCAACTATTGCTTTAATATAATTGATCAAATATATTATTCGAAATTATCTGCTGTTACCGTAATTGTATATGGATTTTTATCAATTGGCTACCATCTGTACCACATGGATTATGTACAAAAATACTTGTACTAAAAAACTACAAACCTTATTACCAATAGGCCTCGAAACCATGTAATGTTTAGTTATATTAACTTTAAATCTAACATTATAAAACTAGAATTAGAAACCAAGTAATGTTTAGTTATATTAACTTTAAATCTAACATTATAAAACTAGAATTAGAAACCAAGTAATGTTTAGTTATATTAACTTTAAATCTAACATTATAAAACTAGAATGAGAAACCAAGTAATGTTTAGTTATAATAATTTCAAATCTAACAAACCAAGTAACATAATAAAATGAGTAACCAGGTGATCTTGGGTTATATTCACTTCAAATCTAACATAATAAAACTAGAACCCAGGTAATCTTTAGTTATATTCACTTCAAATCTTACATAATAAAACTAGAAACCCAAGTAATCTTTAGTTATATTCACTTCAAATTAACATAATAAAACTAGAACCCAGGTAATCTTTAGTTATATTCACTTCAAATCTTACATAATAAAACTAGAAACCAGGTAATCTTTAGTTATACTCACTTCAAATCTTACAAAATAAAACTAGAAACCAGGTACTCTTTAGTTATATTCACTTCCAATTAACATAATAAAAATTGTAAGTGTTTCCAAAGTTTATGTTTGTTTGTCCATTTTGGTCAGTTATTGCATAATTTATTGGCTCATTTTTTTCAGCAATAACTAAAAGTACATGAAATTATAAAGTTGTATTTGTACGAAATCCATGATACAGTGTTTTTGTCAACAATTTATAAATCTCACCCATTCTGCTTTTTCTACCATTCTTATCTCTTGAGTTAGACTGATTATCATCATCTGTAAGGTAAAACAAAAACATACAAAACATGTAAAACATGTAAGCAGGAAACCACAGAGAGGGGGAAATGAAGTTTAACATTCATTCAACAAAAACTAGATCATTTTGGGACTAACATGGTTTAATTATATTTCAATAATTTGCATGCACGTAGGGATCTTTTGCAGTGGGAGGTTGTCAGATGACTCTACGCTGTGAATAGAAATCACACTAACTGAACAATAACCCACCCCACCTATTAATTTTTATGTTTGTCATTAATGAACTGATTTAGATTGTAAAATTAATTAGATATAAGAGGTGAAACAAGATTTTAATCACAGAAATCAACAGCATTTAGTAGTCCCGTTAAGATTATATTATACTGTGCACAATGCTGGTAGTATCCAATCACACATCATAACCCTATAATGAAATGCTGTTCTGCTCCGACTGAGGTAATGAAGGCGGTCATATGCTAAACAGTATAGTACAGTGTATAGACGGTATAGCACGATAAATACGTTCATCACTTAATTAATTACCTAATCGATCCCGCCTATTAACATTGATAATTGGGTTGAGTGGTAGTTATACACATCATCTGTACTCTGTAGACTATATAAATTTTGGAATTTTGAATATTATTCACCATATCTTGATGACGTTTGGAAAATAGCATTGAACATGTTTGGAATATACTATGAGGGAAATTTTGCCCAGTCACAGGCACTACGGCCTACTCTTATATCAAATTCCAAATGACAAGGAATCTTTAATGTGCATGCCAATGTGTACATGGGACCTCGGTTTTTCGTCCCATCTGAACAAGTATACTTTCTCACTTGCCAGGCACTCGGTCCTGCACCCTCTCTATATATACAACAAAGATGTCTACATCAGATGTAAGTACGTGAGGAAGACAAGGTCGTTCACATCACTTAAGATTAACAATATCCATGTTATGTTGGGACCAGAAAGTAGGACATTAAACCCCATTTCATTTATTCTGGGACATAATTCAATAATATGAACGCTCACTGGGCTATCTAGCAGTTGGAGAAAACTAACAAGGCTAGTTGAGTGATCCTCCCCTTCATAACAGACAATCGTGGGAGTATTTTGTTACAAACCTTCAGCTGTAACTAAAAGTTGATCATTATGAGTATTGGTCTGTTGATTTTCACCACCACCATCAACATGATGAGTATCAACATTTGTACTCGATGTAACTTGTGATCGTGGATATAACTGCTTTCCTACAAAATAGTCAATCATTCTTTCAAAGACAAATAATATTAATAGTAAGTGCACGAAGACTGCACCGTACACAAACATTTACACAAGATAAACCTATGGACAAGACACAATACAAAGACATCACAAACTACAAATGCACTTGTATAGATCCGGGAGTTAGCCATACGTGTCCACTGCACGCAGTAGTGATACTGTTGTGATACAGATTTGATTGAAAATGAAAAACAAATTATCAATAAGGGCAGCAACTCAAGAAAAAAGAACCAGCAGTTGCCAGGCAAGATACAACCACATTTTCCAAGAGATGGATAGAGAACAGGCTAAAAAAACAAAACATGATTATTCGTACAATCACAGGCCATAATCCCAAAAATTATGGTTTGAAATGCACGTATATCGAAATGGACCGAGTTCTTTGGGATATAAAGATACATTTTAAGTTTCATCAAATTCTGAGAAAGATTGTGATATCTAGAGGGTCCACAACCTTTGTATTACATATTTTTACCCAATTTGCGTACAAGTAGCGGCCATTTTGTCAGGCAGTTTCATTTTTATTTTCCTGAAATTCGAACTCAACCTTTATTATGGTGGAATGGTGATATATTTAAACATTTTTTAAAATTGGATAAAAATTTGGACATCTAGAGGATCCACATGCTAAAAATGTGACTTTTTGTACAATCAGGGGCCATAATCCAGGAAGTTATGGTCTGATATGTGCGAATATCCAAAGGAACTGAGATCTTTAGGACACAAACAAGTAGTTTAAGTTTCATCAAAATCAGACAAAAATTGTGATCTCTAGTGGGTCCACAAACTTGGTATTACATACTTTTACACAATTTGTGTTCAAGGAGCTGCCATTTTGTCAGACAGTTTCGATCCGATTTTTACGAAATTCAAACTCAATCATCATCAGGGTGTAAGGCCATAATCTAGGAACTTACAGTCTGATATGCACAAATATTCAAGATCTTTGGAATATAAACACATGTTTTAAGTTTCATCAAAATCGGATGGTCCACAGTCCACACCCTTGATATTACATATTTTGTCTGGCAGTTTCGATCGTTTTTCACAAAATTCGAACTCAACCATTGTGACCTCTATAGGGACCACACCCTAAAAATGTGATTTTTCATTCAAATATTGCCATAATCCAGGAACTTACGGTCTGATATGCGCGAATATCGAAAGTAACCGAGATATCTCAAGTTTCATCAAAATCAGAACAAAATTGAGACCTCTAAAGTGTCCACAAGCTAAAAACGCCATAATCCATGAAGCTATGATCCAATACATGCCAATATAAAAAGGAATTGATATTTTCGTCAAAATTGGATAAAAATTGTGACCTGTAGAGTGTCCATAAACAAATTGGGGACAGACATCCGGACAGATGGGGGCGACGACTATATATGTCCACATAAAAATTGTGGGCGTTTAAAAAGGGGAATATTTCCCAAACGTTGTATCATATTATTACTAGTTTGAGTCATTATCGGCCATGTGCTACATGAATTATAAATATACAATTAACAATTTTAGTAAAATGTAGTAAAATGTCAAGTAAAATTAAATGGCCTATGTAGTACTCAAAAAATTGGTATCAAAACATAAGCATGTGAAAGAATTCAAGTGTATAAATCACAAAGTTAGGGCATAAGTCACAAATACTCAATTCCATAAACAGAGAAAACCTAATACTGAATATATTAAACATACATTATGCAAGAGCTACATCTGCCTATTGGAGGTCTTTCTTTAGGCCTGAAATGTTTTCTAAATTATTAATTAGAAATTAATTTACTTATCCAGGCCATAATCAATTCTCCGATATTAAATAGAAATGAAATGAAATGGGGTTTAACGTCCTACTGTTCTGCTCCGAACTGGCCTAATGAAGACGAGCAAAGGCCATACAGTGTGCTATGAGGGAAATTTTACCTGGACAGCGGCACTACGGACTACTCTTATATCAAATTCCAACTGTCAAGGGATCTTTTATGTGCACGCCAATGTGTACACGGGACCTCGGTTTTTAGTACCATGCGAACGACTAGAGAGCTGTCCTTGTCAGACCCTCCGTCCTGCATCACTGACAAGGGAGAACCACGCCAGAGATATTAAATAGATTAGAACAGTTCAGCCATATTTTGATTGAAGGTAAAAATGGAGGAGCAAGACTTAGCTTTGAATAACCAGTACGCTGGTTGAAATTATTGCACACGTCTTGTCAAACCTTCAAAGGCTAATATCTTCGCTCACAATAGAGTAATTTGAATGAAATTTTTAAGTTATTCATTTTACATTATCTATTTTCGAACTATTATAGCAAGAATGGCTAGCTCTTTATCTAAATCTTACATAAAGTATCTTTAAATAGAAACAAACTAAACATTTACACAAACCAAACATTTACCCATTAAAAACAACCAAAAATGTACAAACTAAACATTTACACAATAAATACAATCAAACTAAACATTTATTCATTAATACATCAAACTAAACATTTACACATTAATAAAATCAAACTAAACATTTAACCATTAAAAATGTACACTAACTAAACACTTTACACATTAAATACAATCAAACTAAACATTTATTCATTAATACAATCAAACTAAACATTTACACATTAATACAATGAAACTAAACATTTACACATTAATACAATCAAACTAAACATTTACACAGTAATACAATTAAACGAAATAATTACACAAACTAAATATTTAGGATAAATACAAACAAACTAAACATTTAGATATTAAATACAAACAAGACATTAAATACAAACAAACTGAGCATTCACACAAACTAAACATTTAGGATAAATACAAACAAACTAAACATTTAGATATTAAATACAAACTAAACATTTAGACATTAAATACAAACAAACTAAACATTTAGACATTAAATACAAACAAACTAAACATTTAGACATGAAATACAAAGAACCTAAACATTTACATATTACAATCAATCAAATTAAATATAATTCTTACCTCTTTTATAATCTGCTGACCTTTCTTGGTTTTCATCAAATGGATTTGGATGCTGTTTTAAAGTTTTACCTTTATCATTCTGAAAAATTTAAAATATATGCATCTACATGTATTCTTTTCATTAACATGCAGACCTAATGAAAAGAGAAAGGTTGCACTTAGATAAAGAACTATGAAGTTCAAAATGAAGGGTATGTAGTCCAAAGCCATGAGCACCATTCAAATTAAAAATGTACATAAAAATTATTTACCAATGCTGTATTACGTTGATGTGAATCTTGACGTTGTTGAGATGATGATATATCGAATAAATGACGCGGAAATTCTTTACGCGATCTCACATCTTCTGAATTCTGATCTGAAAACACATGGAGTCAATACTAAAATTTCCTTTATCTAGAATTAATATGTCCCCCATCCCATCTGAAAATACATTTAGTCAACACTGAAATTACTGTTATTATCTGAAAATACATTTAGTCAACACTGAAATTCATGTTATTATTTAAAGTAGAATGTGACAGCCTCCTCCCCTCCCCTGAACTCTGACAGATTTGGTACCATAACAAGATATGCTTGATGTAAATAGTATTTTTTATCATGTTTTAGTATTTAATGCAAAGAGTTCAAGCATGGACCTTCCAAACTGCCTTGCTCTGAGTATATAAAAACTGGCGTTTTTTTTATCTAATCACATATATAGTTAAATAACTAACGAAACTATCCTGATTAACAATTCGCTCAGACAACACAGCTTTTGATATATTTGAATTATATAATTACATATAGGCAATACCATAAAATAAGCTACATATAAACTTTTACCAATAAGCACCCATATAAAGCAAGATATACAATATGAATATATGATACTTTTATGCTAATTACTTAAACATTAAAAGCTTTACATGGCAGCAATTACAATTATACTTATAGGGGATGGTTGGTGGGATGTTTAATTCCAAGTCACAACAACAAATTAAATTGTTCTTCTCAATTATTTTCATCCATCTTTGAATAAAACTTTTTGATTTAAAAAAAAAAGGACACACATAAAAAATAAAAAAAAGTCTACTATAATATTATGAATTAAGACTACATGTATTATGATGTATATTACTACTATCTAGTTTACTACATTACTATACTGTTCTGCTCTGACTGGGCTAATGAAGACGGCCATATGCCATACAATTTGCTATTAGGGAAATTTTGCCCGGGCAGCGGCACTATGGCCTACTCTTATATCGAATTCCAACTGCCAAGGGATTTTTTAGGTGCACGCCATGTATACATAGGACCTCCGTTTTTCATTCCATCTGAATGGCTAGTCAGCTGTCCTTGTCAGCCCCTCTGTCCTGCTCCACTGAGAATCTTGATGAACTTTCTCGGCCAATGCAGGGGGCGAAAACGCGACCTCCAGATTAGCGAACCAGTGTTTTACCCACTTAGCCACTGTGACTCCCTACTATATTATGAAATATGACTACATGCAAATGTATAATAATTACTTACTATATGCAGTTTACTATGAAATATATGTATAATAATTATTTACTATACTGTTTACTATATTATGAACTAAGACTATAACATGTATAATAATTATTTAAAGAATACTACACATTTAGTAAAGCTACAGTTTAGAAGGTTTTTTTTTTAATCAATTCTCAAGAAACAATGGGGGACAGAATGGGGTTGAATATCACAAAATGCCTGTGTATCCATCTACTGGAATTCCAAATGCCAAGGTATAATTTATTTGCTCTAATAATTAGTAAATGTTTTATATTTCACTTTGAAAGTATTACTAATGACAAGTGGGAACCAGTTTTTAAAAAATCTTGATTGTTCTTCACAGATTAACACAGGATTTGAACCTAGACAATTGCACATCTACCATGGACTGTCACATATAAACCCCCATGTTAACTCCTTGTGTCGGAGGAAAAGTTAATCACTACTATTTGAGATTTTTGTGAATGCTAAAAGAATACAGAAATATATTTAAAGTATAGATTTCTACATTAAAAAAGATTTTTAATTTCAAAAACAATAGACTCTATATTATCTACATTCTATGACAACGAGTTTATAAAATCTACATTTAAAGCTACCAGTCTTCCCAACACCAATCAGAAGTGAAGCATATGTGCTAAATAATGTTAGTGATCATATAAAATATGAAATATTCTTTATTATTCTTACGCTGGGTGGGATCTGGTCTCGCTGACAATTTCCAGATTTTAAAGTAGGAATTTCCTAAAAACATGCATAAAATAACATAATGTGATTCACAGCAAATTAATTGTAACTCAAATATTCAATCACAATAAAATTAGTAAGCATTCTTCATAAACTCAAACAAAATATTAAAGAAAGAAAACATTAGTTCCATCGGCCAAGTATGTACAGCTCATAGTTTTATTTTTCATATTATCCTAAAAAAAAATCAGGATTGAAAATAGTAACTTGTAAAGAAAATATCACATAAAAAAAATAAAACACAAAAAGCTATAGGACTAAATTAAATGCTACAATGTATAACATGTTTCTATGTATCATTGTTTATTAATTATTAGATATGAGGATGAACAATATAAATATCAATCATAATGAAGATTTCCACAATTGAAATATACATGTATGTATATAATTGATATTAGAGCAACACCTGTCCGATGAATGAGAAAAATACGCTTTTCTAACAAAAATAATAAGATGCAAATTAAGATACTCTTTGAATTGTTCTGTATCATATTCTTAACGACTTTAAATTGTACAAGATCTTCAAAATAAATACTCTTCAAACCAAATAAATTAGTAAATGAAAAGCAGAAGTTTAAATCATTTGTTCATTTTCCCACCTGCCAATGACATCTTAATGAATCGCAATTTTTAAAAAAAAATTTAATTTAAAAAATACCAGCTATATCAAATAGATCAAGCTGAGTGAACTGGTTAACATAACTGCAACTCTCACCGACTTCTACAGTGGTACCAGATGTTCAATAAAGAGTTAGGTGGACATCTTATACTATCTTTACAATAGGTCAAATGTTTATTTTTATAAAGGTTACGATAATCTATCAAATTTACATAAAAACAATATATGTCAGATATTGATACATATATACTTTAAAACAAGAATTAATTATGGATTTTAAAAAAAAAATTGTGTATGTGTTTTAAATAATTGAACTGATATTCTGAGGTTCACTTAGTACATATATTTTGTCCAATGTTTTATTCATATCTTCAATGAGCGTTTATCATATAAATCCAAAACATTCATAATCTTGCCAAGGACGTCTACCATTATATGGTCATCCCACAGGCATTAATGACAAAAAAGACATGATTTTTCATCCAGTAATTTCATTTATTGATGAATGCTGTGTCAAAATAAACCTAGTACAACACTTTTTTTTCCTGCTATGGCATCTATAAAACGAGAGTAAAGCTTTAATGTAGTATAGGTGATACGTAGTTGTCTTCACTTCAACTACATCAAAATGAAAAGAAATGGTGTATAACATCCTACTGTTATGCAATGACTGGGCTAATGAAGACAGGTATATGCCTACTCCTAAATTGAATTCCAACTGTCAAGGGATCTTTCATGTGAATGCCAATGTGTACACAGGACCTGGTCTTTTTTTCCCCATCCAAACAACTATACATTGTCCATTGCCAGGCCCTCCTGCACCACTGACAAGAGGAAACCGTGACTGAAAATTGCTATGAACATTCTCGGACAACATCCAGGTTAGCAACCAATATCTTACTCACTGAGCCACCTTGTTGGCTTCTTTTAGACATCCAGATCAACTCTCGTTTTCAATTTCATCACCTTAAAACGGCCGTGTATTTATCATTGTAATTTGTAAAATAATTTGATGTCAGTTTCCCATTCCTTATCCTGACAAATCAAATTCATTTATTGACTATTTGTCTTTTTTCAGCCATTATTTAAATCACATAAAATTCTCACATATAAAAGAATGCCAAATTTTTTCTTACACATTTATACTTTTTTTACGCACAATGTATATAAATTTTAATTTTTATGTCATTTCATAGCAATTGTCTGTTTTCACTATTTGGTGAGTCTGCAGCATGGAGTTCTATATAGTAACTATATATACAGCTCTTTGAAACACTGGCTGAAATCATTTTGCATTATGCCAGATTAGCAATGTTCAAAATATAATGTTTCAATATTTTTTCATTTTAAATGTACGTACTGTAAAAAAATGAAGATTGATCTTATTTTCGTAGTCTCTAGTCAAGAGAGATTTTTTTTATTGTTACAAACATATTGTTGAGATAAAATTTCATAAACAGCTCTAGATAATCTATCTATTAAAAGGATCATTAAGTAAAAGATATATTTAGCAATAGAATTAGAAGTGAATTTCAATTGGTAATTTGTTCCATAATAATGTGTTTGCACATAAAATGACCCATAACCATATGATAATAAGAGCAATGTACATGTATTGAGGATTGCAAATTTCTTATGGGTTTGTCATATTCAAAAAACACATATAAATAGGGTAGGGCTTAATTATTCAAGCACTTAAAGACAAGTTAAAGTACTTAATATTGTATTCAAAATGCTTTTGGCAGTTAGTGTGCCTGAAATTAATCTTGATGCAATGTTTTAAACCTTTTAAAGTCACTTCAGAGTTTAAGTGAAGTTTCTGTGAGAAAAGAGTTACAGTTATCAAGCACTGGAGATATGATTTTTTTTAAAAAACGGTTATTACTGACATGGGCTTCCATTAATAGCTTACAATCAAATATTGTGCTGATACTACAAATTGATTTCGTTTTTGTGATATCCAAGAAATGCATACTGAAATTGAATAGTGGTTATTAACTTTTGATATTAAGTTTTAGCATTGTTCACTTTAAGAAATGTTTGTCACTCCAGCATATAATATCTGCCATATCTGTTGATTAATTTTGAGCTTGAGGGGTGTTACCTTGTCAATAACTCTAAAATTCATTTTGCTAATTTATACAATAAGTGGCATGTATCCACCCCAGATTTCTCCTATGACTGTGAAATAAATTTTATGTCACCAGTTAGACAATATTTGGATCAATTTAAATCAAACTGGATTCAAACTTCAAAACTTTCACTACAGATGGCTAAAAAATGGGATTTAGTCCTGAAGAGTCCCCATTCTCTTTGTTTACATTTATACGAGTATTGAAATGAATGTGGTTAACTTTTTGATTGCTTTATTTTCATGAAAAAAATGGAAAACACTGTCACTTTACAATTCATTTCACAAATGTTAGTTAGTACATATCTAGTGTTAGTACTTCTCTCTCTATGTGTTCTGTGCTAGTCTACTCTCTTATAATAAATAATACCTCTAACGCCTGTTGGTAGTTTCAGATTACTTAACACTGGTCGAAACTCCGCATCTGTAGCTTTTTTACTTCTACTAGGTACTTTACTTCCGCGTAATTGCCCTGTACCCTCACAATAAACTATAATCAGACAGATGGCCATACAAACATATATCTCTAACTACTACTTCATGTTATCCATCAATGCACGTATGTACATTAAAATAAATTAAATTCTTAATCGATTCATAATTTACTTTAAATTTCCATCCACAATTTAGTTAAATGTCTACTACTAAAATTTAATTTCAAAATATCTATAATAAAGTGCTTGTGTAGAATGTTTGATTTCTTTTTCCATCACTACAACAACCCGTAGGTGTAAAATTTTCATAATCCATCATTTAATCTAAATCTTATTACACAATTTACTATGACTACTATTAAAATTTAATTTACTTAGATTCTTCAATATAAAATATCTTTTATAAAGTGCTGGTGTACAATATGACTGTTTATTTTTTATCACTACAACTAGTACAACTAAGTGTAAGAATTGTGTTGAATGTGTAATTTGTTAATATTTGATATTAAGGCAGTATTAATTTTCTTATGAAGCCCTCTGCTATGTTAGGTGCTGGGAAATTTTACATAAGAAGAGTTTTTTTAAGTCTGTCCCTTCAAATATCTCAATAAAATCCCATCTATGCATTTCAAATAATAGAGAAAAGTAAAAAATAAAGAGTAATTATCTATTTTCATTTGCCTCTTCTTGAACCTGGAATATTAAGCCCCTCTTTGTAAAGGCTCTTCTCCCGAGAAACTGATTTTGTTGTAGAAAGCTGTTACTGCCGTTTTTCATGATAAAACCTTTATATCTAATATTCATAATAACATTAACACTTCTAAATGTCATTTAAGGATATCACTTTATATTTAAGTTTAGAGATCAAATTAATCTAGCTAATCTGGACATTAATGTTATCTATATCTAATATTTTTAAGATCCAATATTTACTTCTCTACAATCAGCTACAGTAATCTTACTACTGGTAACCCTATTTCTAGTACTACCATGGTAAGAACTAATGTTCAGATAAAAAAAACTACACTTCAATTAGATACTATACAGATAATTGGTGATTTAAATTCAAGACGCAGAGACTTGTAACATTTACCATAAATGGAATAAAAAAACTGAGAACCATTACCAGGAAAGATGACAACAAAACCCATTTTAGTCACATAGTTTTGACACCAATATAAGCTTCAAGCAGATTTATGAATAAAGATGAGAAAGATTAAGAAATGAATGTCACAAAATACATTGTACAAACATAATGGCTAAGGGGATGATAAATGAGCCTTTTTTGATATACTTTACAAGGATATCCCATGCTCATTTAGTTACATTTAGTACGAGGTAAAGTCTGTGGCAATCTAACTTACAAGATTTCATTCTAATTCATTTTAAATAAATTGAAAAAGAGAGGGAGAGAGAAATGGGGTTTAACGTCCACTCGACACAAACTATGTCATTTTGAGACTAACACATGGTTCAATTTTATTTCTATAATTCGCTTGCACGTAGGGGTCTTTAGCAGTGGGAGGAAACCAGAGGACCCGGAGAAAACCCACGAGGTTGGACAGGTGACCCTACTCCTTGTCATGTACAACCGGAGATTCGAAAATAAATTGAAGCTACATGCCTTTTATTATGCACATGGCAGAGAATCGTCCATTAATGATTTTATATCATATCTCAAAATCAATATTTATTCAACCTTTGGTATAGACTCTATGAATTTATGCACTAATAAAGGGAATTCAATGATTTTTAGTCATGATTACCTGATCAATCTAAAAGGAGTATTAATATTTCAGTTTATTGGTTGATACAAACAAACAAAATACAAACTACACACAATAGTTAAATCATAAATCAAACTGAATAACGGTAAATAATACAATTGTCAACATCAACAAACCAAATACCACAGTTAAAGCTACAGCAAACAGAAAACATGCGGCAATAGTAGTAGTGTAATTTGTGTTGATATTACTGTACCTCCATATGTGTGAAGCTGATGTGCAACGTAATGAGCAGCAAAAGTTTGTTCGTGATGTGGACATAAGCCATCCAAACTAAATGGGAGATTTGGAACGGATCCATCAGAACCTGAGTATCGGAAGTGCGGAACTGTCAATAGGAAAAATGTGATTTAGAATAAAAAAAAAAGAAATTGACTAAACCTAAATAGATAAACAATTATGAACATAAATTATGTGCAATGTGAAAAATAATGAGAAGAAATGTAATAAATAATTCCTGTGATAAAATGTAATATTATATCATGTTAAAATTATATATAAAACTTATTCTTTTAGCACATTTAGGCCTAATTCTCCAACTAATCTCTGCTTAGACAAAATAAAACTAAATTACTAAACAAAATAAAACTAAAATGTTAAAATCAAACTAAATATTTTTAAGAGGTTTTCTTCATACAAATTATATGTTTGATAATATAACCTGCAATTAATAAGCTTATTTAAAATTAAACTCTACATATTTCTATTGTCATATTCCTGATGTTTTCAAGTCCTAAGTAGATACTAGCTTTAATCTAACCAGAAAACATTTTAAAAGCAAAATAGTATAAATATATTCCAAATGATTTTATGAGTTTTCGCTAGTATAGATACCTTTCTCTGGATCTAATCTAACAAAGACTGAACCAATAATACATTATTATTAAAGATTCAAATTTCCTTGGACATAATCAAATTCAACAATTAAATAATCTTCTTCCAAAATGATTAGAGCTGATTCGTAACATTAGACCAAAAAAGATCATTTATGGGCTTTGTTGTGAGTCCTTATTTCTGTCTGTTTCCAATATTTTCAAATAACTCAGTCTAATACAAATTATACAAGTTTTATTATAGATACATTTCTTTATAAGGAGAATTTAGAATTGTGTCGGTTGTCATTGATCGACTCCAGATCAATCTACCAATCAAAATTCATTGATTAATCTGATATTTTAATTTTATTTTCTATCTAATCAATGTCATGCTAGAATTAGGGGTTTCACCCCAAATCGCTTACAAGGATGAACAAAGATATTTCTGTCTATAATACCCCCACCAGTTGTCTATCAAACACTAACCTGGATCATTGAGTAAAGGAATTCCATTCTTTAAATAAGCTACAGTCAAAGCTTCTAAATAATCATTCTGAAATCATATGAAAAACACAAAATAATTCTAATAATTTTACAAATAAGATTTGTCCCAATATCCTTTAATAATGGAATAGTGTATGCATGCAGGAAAACTCTACAAAAATATCTCACCCTTTTGGCTTTATCTTCTTTTTCTAGAACGCTGGTTTTTTCTTCTGTTGATTGAGGTTGTTTATGTGTCATTGTATATTTCAGCGTCTGGATAGGTATTGCCTTAAAAAAGCAAAACAATTATAAATTATTTGTCTATTAAATGGCTGGATTATTTTCAATTTATTACTCAATGCTAGGGTGCAGATCAATCCTTTGAATTAATGGTTAGGATCTGAAATACCCCAAAATATACAATACTTTTGACTTGGATTTCAGTTGGTGAAGCTCCTTCTGTCAGTCCTCAGAGCCGAATAAGCAAAGTCAATAAAAAACAGGTATTTCTTTCAAATTAAACTATCCATCCTTTCCTTATATTCAAGTAAAACAGAATATATTTCATTTGAAGTGTTCTTACAGAACACACCAATCTATCTCATACAAATTAAAAACATTTTACTTTAAACATACATTATGCAAGAGCTAAATCTGCCAATTGCAGGTCTTTCTTTAGGCCTGAAATGTTATCTAAATTATTAATTAGACATTATAATTAACTTATCCAGACCATAATCAACTCTCGATGGCATCGCTAGCCTGTGATATTTACCGGATTCGAACCCAGTCTGCTGCTTCTGATTAAATCAAAAATGGATAATCGAGACTATGTTTTTTTATCATACTTCAGTAACGATGATCGAGGCTAGGCCCATAATTCAATCGCTAAGTACTCGGTTCAGGGTGGATCAATTTGAATGAATTTTTCAGCAAATTCCCTTTACATTATCTAGTTTTTAACTATCTAATCTTTATCTAATCTCCCATAACGTATCTTTAAAATAACAGTCATGAAATAAATGCAAATGTCAATATAGTGAGACTAAAATGTGAGAACAAGTTATATTATGTATTAAAATTCTAATTTTTCCAGCAATAGAAATTTGACATGAATTTAAAGTATAGCTCTAGCTATAGGCCTAAACTAAATTCAAGACAAACATGTCTTGTTTTGTGTTGCTATATTTACCTGTTCCTGTTTAACATGTGATAACTGATGTCCACTGAATGGTTTCTTTACAGGAATAGTTGTTGGTGTTTCCTAAATTAAAAAATATAACATCAATATATGGTCTTATTAAAATAGATGTACCTATAAACTTCATGTAACTTTTGGCTTTTGTATAAGAGATGGTTAGCATTGATAGTTTAAGCCATTGATCATCATTAAATGGAATTCCGAATCCTTTGCAAATTACTATACTGTACTGTGAAAGTTAAATCTTTAAAAGGCCAAAACTGTTTGCCATCCTATGCAGAATATTAAACAAGCTAGCACCATTTTTTTATTGGCCTCGTTTTGATGCAAATGAATCAAAGACGAGAGATTATCTTACCAAGATATTTTGATTATGTGTTGTTAATAAAGTGTTCAATAATCAATTTGAGTGCTTTTTAGCATGGATCAATGAAACGAAATGGGTTTAACGTTCTACTATTCTGCTCCTACTGGGCTAATGAAGACAGGCATACACCACGAAGTATGATATGAGGGAAATTTAGCCCGGCCACCGGCACTACGATCTACCCTTATATCGAATTCCCTCTCCCAACGTTAATTTGTAACGTTTTTTGTCCCATCCGAATGACTATACATGTACGTTGTCCCTTGCCAGGCACTCTACACCACCGACAAGTGGGAACCATCCAGAAAATCCCAATAAACTTTATCGGTCCCGTGAACGATCCCTGCAGGTTTGCGAGCCACCGTAGCTCCCAGTAAGGATCAAGTCATGAAAAATTAGATATTGTCCAAAATATGTAAACAACAATCAATTCAGAAGAGTTTGAGTTGTATAATTGGTTTATGTAATTTATACTTAAATATTTAAAAACAACATAAAAAATGCAAGCAATTGAAAAAAAAATATTTTAAAATGCAAAATAATGAAAGGCAAAACAAAATAGAAATGAAAAATAAAACCTAACCTAAAGTAAAAATGAAAAATAAAACCCAACCAAAAGTAAAAATGAAAAATAAAACCCATCCCAAAGAAATAATGAAAAAACCCCAAAAAACAACTCAAAATAAAAATCAAAAAGTCACTTTAAAATTCTAAAGTATGATAGTCTATTAATGCTTCTTTTTTTTTTTTTACAGTTATGGTCTTATTCTAGTCAAGTCTTTAATTTAAGCATTTATAAAGCGAATAAATGTTAAGCTTAAAATAAACACATTTTTGCTGACAGTTAATTATGGGTAATTAAGCAACTTTCTTGATTCAAACAAAGAATAACGCAAATGTTCAATTTTAAAGCTATACATATTAAAATAAAAAAATAATATTTCATAGAATCAAGGAAAATTTCATTAAAACCATTATTTACCTTTACATTTATGACCATAAACCCTCAAAAGCAAAAGTCAATTTTATTGTATGATTGTAAATATTAACAATTTATAACTGTCATTACTGAAGGGGTTCATGAAAATATTTTTTGATTGATTGAGGTTTATGGAAATAATTTACTGATTAAAGGAGATTATACCCCCCCCCCCCCCAAATAAAAACATCAAATTATATCTTTAATGGGGCCAAATGAAAATACATTGCTGATTAGGTTTTCTGAAAGCATATCAATTATTGGTTTTATGCTAGTAGTTTTATGAACATATTTAACAGATGGAGTTGATGGATATGTTTTACGGATTGATTTTACAAAAATATTACTTATCAAATATATCATTGGGCTTTAATGAGAACATTTCCGTTCTGGATTACAATTTTTAAAAATATTTACCAATATTTATGAAATATTTTATATAATGTCGTTTATGGAAGTGTTTCACAAATGGGATGTATAAGGTATTTCACGGAATTGGGTCATTCAAGATGGAGTCCCAATTGGGGGCAAATTGTTAGTAAAACTAAACTAAAACTAAATAAACTAACAGAAATAGCAGGAACTGATTGTGTTGTCTGCGGAACCTTCTTTATTTCTTCTTTTACTATTCTTTGATTCTGTCGATCTCTTTCTTTGCGAGACTTTAATTTCTTCTTCTTCTTTTGGGTCTAAAAGTTCAGGGAGAAAATATTACCATTAATATAAAAAAAATTAAGAAACTTTAAAACATTTGTATTCCAAACTTACTATTAGAATCATTATGGTTAAAGATATTTTCAAAATGTTAAAATGTTCTAGCTTCCCTTTAAAGTATAAATATTCAATCCATACTTGTTATAGTCACACTATTGATAATGTAAATACATTGTGTCAATAACAATTCAAACTTTTCATTGATTTTCAATAATCATTATTCTAAAAATTAATATGATACAAAAATAACTCCACCATGACATAATTTAAAGGTTTCTTATCCACACAAAAAGGTTATAATTTAAAAAATATTAGAGTGCTTCTGTTTTTTACGGTGTTAGGATTCAAATATGTGCTAGGTTTTAGATTTCTACAGATGTGAAGACAGCTCCCTTAATGTAACTTTTCTTAAAGGAGCAAGACTTTTTTTATTTAGGCCAATAAGTAACAACCAATCGATAAGTCTGACGTATTATTCCCATCATAGGACTTGCTCTCAACCAAGATTACAATCTAATTTCTTCAGAGTGAACAAAGTTATTCTGCTTATTAATTTTAGTTCAGTTTTCGGCTTAAATCAGTTCTAAAAGTAAAACAGTTATATTTTAACACAGGCTTAAAATTTTAAGGATAGCTAAATAATGAACACTTCAAATCTACTTTCCCCTATCATGCAAATCAAAGATTTGTCTTTAATTAGTAGAGAATATGGCATTAGTAGAAGATATCAACTCTTTTAAAACTTAAATTATTTCAATAAGTCAAATGCTCGGTTTGAGATTTAAAACTAGCACAATTCTCTGAGATGCTTTCCTTCCTAATTCTGAGATTTATATTGATATTAAATGCTGTTTTCCTTCATAAACCGATTGCCAAAAAAAAAATACAGTTTATTTTATTAATATGACTTTAAGCTATGATTTTGAATTGTTTGTAGATTTAATTTTTTTTAAAGAGTTGATATAAATATGAATAAAAAATAATCATAGATTTATTAGAAAATGATTATCTATAGATATATTAGAAAACAATTACTGTTCATAGATTTATTAGAATATAACTGTTTGTAGATTTATTAGAAAATGATTATCTATAGATTTATTAGAAAACAATTACTGTTCATAGATTTATTAGAATATAACTGTTTGTAGATTTATTAGAAAATTTTGTTTTTTTAAAAGAGTTGACGTAAATATGAAGAAAAAATAATCATAGGTTTATTAGAAAATAATTATTTGTAGGTTTATTAGAAAAAAACTGTTTGTAGATTTATTAGAAAATAATTATTTGCAGCTCAGAGTTGACATAAAAATGATTAGAAATTAATTGTCAGTGTGGTAGATAATAAAACGGATGTAAAACAGCTGATCTCTGATATAATGTAGAAATAAATTGTACCAGCTTGAAAGCTTTTAAAACAGATTTCAATTATTTCTTACTCATAACTCATTTTTCATTCTTAGTGTATATATTGATTGTGACAAATCTAAGCACAAATTGTAAGTTATTTAAGAGTTTTAATAAGCTTATACAAAATAAATGAGTTGGCCATATGTGACATGTTCATATATATAATATATTATAGTCAATACAAAATTTCAAAATAGTAGATGTTTGTTTGTGCATATAGTGTAATTTATTACATGATCATCACATATGGGTTATCCTGTACAATTTAAACTTTAATATGGTAAATATCTTACCTAACTTATATACACTGGGGATATATATGTTTCTTTTGAATAGGCAAAAAACAGAGAGTGAGAGAGAGAAATGGGCTTGGTTCATATGGTATAATTTTTTTTAATATTTTGCTTGTGCGTAGCGGTATTTAGCAGGCTGGGAAGCAGTTTTGCTTTAAAAAAGGCAACAGTTAGAGCAAGTGTAGTGGAAGGAAACTGGGAGACCTGAAGGAAATCCACAAGGTTGTGCAAACAACTTTATCCTTGTCGCATACAACCATGGGATCGGAACGATGCCACTATTCATTTAATGGCAGACCTTATGATATGAAGGATTGTTGTGCCTTTAAGATCAAGATATTTAATTTAGAAGGGTTTAACAGTCCTTGTTGGTTCCCAGATCCTTCTCCAGACACTTTCTTGAATAAATAACACTTTATAAAAAGATATCATACTTAACAAAAGTGCTGCAACATAAAATATTGTACCCTCAATCTGTATTGCAATAGACAAATATGTGACCCGTGGCAAAATGAGTCGGAATGCGCTAAGTCTAATAACGAGCTACAGACAAAACAAGTGAAAATATTGATTTCGATCGAAATTGAGATGTTCACAAAAGTTAAAAATAGCAATAAAACATTTTAAAACACCTTTATTTGGATGTTTTTTTAAGAGTACCATATTCACAAAATACACAAATCTTTTTTTTTTCTTAAAATTCTCAGAGAAGTTGGTTATTTTTCTCTGCTATAATAGCAGAACGACCGGTCAATACTTGAAAATAACAATGGACCTATTGTATATGCAAAACCTTATTTTAATTCAGTCATGTGACAAAGTTAACAGAACACACATACAGCTGTGGTGGTTTATTTGATGATCAAGACACTAAACTTGATTACCCAATCAACAATTTTAATCTCCTAATAACTAAGGTGCTATTTATTGAAGAGATTAACAGAAGTTATTCTCACCAAAGTTATAATATACAAAACATAGATTTCTAATGTATGGACCATTCTCATTTGTTCTACATCATAACACTACATGCCATATGTTTTGTTACGAAAAGAGTGCATTGCTTGAGATAAAAATTCCAGTTGGCGGGAAAAAACATTTTGTTATATAAAAATTATTTTCCATTTTGGTGGAAATTGTCGGATCAAATTTTTACTATGATTTTGGCCTTCACCAAAACCTGAAAACCTATAGGAAGAATTATTAAACGACAAAATAGCAAATAAATGGCATGGTTGCTATGTGATTTTGCTTTGGAAGATACCGACATCTATACTAGTCAAGGTATTGGAATTGAGAACATGAAAATAACAATAACTCAATTTTCAAAATTCCTCATTGCGACTCATTTTGCCAGCACATGTCACATATTTTACTGTAATGCCATATACACAAATTTACTGCTATGTTTCTTATAAAATATAATGCTGATGTATTGGAGAAAATGCACCTGTCAAATATCGTTTGTTAAAAAGTGTTTTTTGCAATGGATTTTCTGCCATTATTTGCGCATATTAAATATCTGCTGTATAGATGTAGTATTATAAATCATAAGATAAATGTCAATATATGTAACTGAATGTGCAGGACTGCAGGTCACCATACTTCGATTTTGCCACAGTCAATTATGGGTGTTGAGTACTCCCAAATGCACATTTTAAAGCTAGCACTCTAAGTTTTGTTCATAACAAATGACTTTTTTTTTGTTATTTAGGGCGATAAGCTACATATAAATCACAAAAAAAATCCCGGTACCAATTGTATTTACCAACTGTGTTCCAAAATTAGCCCAAAAGCATGATAATAAAAATGAGTGCTGATGGCAACAACAGTCAAATTTTCTCAGTTATCCCTGTATGGATTTTTATCAAGTTTGGCATGAACAATGCTAAATGCAAGCCTAAGAAACGTAAGGGATACTTCTTGACTATAGACCAAGGTTTGCCTGGTATCCATGGAGATGCCAGAAAATGATGAGTTTTCTTGAAAGTTCTAAAAGTTCATACTAAAAAGATATATCGATAATCCCTCCCTTCAATCAAAAGTAGAGATTATAGATGACATTTCGACACCAAACATGTTAAAAAATATCTACTCGAAGTATTTCAAAATCTTTGTTCATTATTTATCTTCAAACGAGATTATGTGATTTTTGGTAAATTCCTTGAACACTTCCACAACAAGTTTTAAAATACAACAATTTGGCTGTAAAAAGTAAATATTTACTTGATTGTTTACTGCAGATCATGTAACGGATGTGTATGACGTCATAATTTATTCAAGAACTGCTCTAGGTCGGGGAAAACCTTCTCGTTTGCTATAAAATCTATTTTTCTTTGCCACTTGTATCTCAATGAAAAGGTAACAACATATACACTCATCAAAATTAATCAAAGAGAAACATTCTCAAATGGCTTTTGATCGAGTTTCTTAAAAAAAAAAACCAACCTGTGACTGATATGGCTAAAACAATACAGTAACACTGGACCAAAATACAGATTTTGTATATTAAAATCAGTTTACCCCAAACTGCATTATTATTTACTTCAAAAATTAATGCCTTAGACCACTCAACCACCCAATGTTCTGATCTGTACATAGGATTCTTCTACCCACCAATTATATGTTGTCATGCTTTAATTATGTTCTAAATCTTAATCTATATTGAAGCTTGACAACATAATTGGTGGGTAGAAAAATCATATGTACAGATCAGAACGTTGGGTGGTTGAGTGGTATAATGTGTGCACTTTAGATCAGAAGGTCTGTCAAGCTAATTGTTTGAAAAAAAATTGTACCATATGTTTAAGTCAAGTGGATGTTTCATCCCATTTCTCTCTCGAATCTCTCCTTATACAGATCAAGCATGGTTGATACAGATGCAGCAATCACAAAATAATTCTTAGAAATAATCCATACAAATATCCCCAAGCAATAAACATCACAATATCATATAAAGCAATAATAGATCGAATTCAGAACATTGTGGGAGATCCAGTTGACCAGAAACCTGTCCTTAAGCACTCATTATCTTGTTGTTCTCCTGGGGGTGACGCACTTCAAACACATTCTAAGGTTCCGCAAATTCATGTACGATCGACGTGAAACTTGGAATGCTTGTTCCTTGGACAATTGTGCATCGATTGACAGACATCGATCTTTGATATGACATCACAATCCAAGATGGCAGCGAAGACGTCATGCTCGCTTCCCGGTCACTAGTATGGTGTTACTTGTTATAATTAGAATATTATATCATTAACATGAAGATGACTGCGATGACGTCATGCTCGGTTCCTTGTCACCATTGACATGAAGATGACTGCGATAACGTCATGCTCGGTTCCTGGTCACCATTAACATGAAGATTACTGCGATGACGTCATGCTCGGTGGTTCCTGGTTACTAGTATGGTGGTACTTGTTATAATTAGAATATTATCTCATTAACATGAATAAAAATAATTTTAAATTTTATCAGATTATCCCTTTCAGTAATTTCTATAGCATTAGGTTTGTCAATAGCAATCTTATCAATATTCCTAGCAGTTGAAAGTTAGTATAAAAAGATCAAGCCACACAAACAAACAAATACAGAATTAAAAGTTTTACTTGTAATTCTTCTTGTAACTAATAAATAAAAGCATTAGATCAAATGAACAAATCCTCACAAGAGTATCATCTGAATATGGCAATTGTTTCCTATATGGAGGGTTAAAAATATATTATTCAAACTCTAACCCAAAGGTAAACACACCTATTATAGATTATTCCTGTTGGCAATAATCAATCCACTCTTCTACTGATTTTTATCAATTAATTTCAGATGTAATTTACAATATCTACCAAGGCATACTGGACCCCAAAATTTAGAAGGACAGTACAAATTTAGCCTGAATTTATCAATGAATATTGACTGAAATTAATACTTTTTCGCAAAAAAGCTGTGGAGAAAATTCACTCTGGACAAATTTAGGTTGGGGGGAATGCAGCTTTCCTCGACCCTCCCTGGACGAATTTGGGGGGACTGGAAAAGAATCAAACCGTTTATATTTTAATTAAATTCCAAATAAATAACAGATAACAGATTGTTTTAAACACTTACTCGTTGATTAGAATACTGTAAATGTACTGGAGGTCCATCAGACACAGAACTATCAGATCCACCATCACTACAAAATAATAACATAATACTCTATTTAAATGCAATAAAAACTCAATGATATGAGAGAGAGAGAGATAGAGAGAAATGGGGTTGAACGTCCACTCGACACAAACTAGGTCATTTCGGGACTAACATATGGTTTTAATTTTATTTCAATAATTCGCTTGCGCGTAGGGGTCTTTAGCAGTGGGAGGAAACCAGAGAACCCAGAGAAAACCCACGAGGTTGGACAGGCGACCCTACTCCTTGTCATTCGAAACCACGCCAGTTGACTCAATGACAGGCTTTATGATACAGCACGCACGTGCTAACCATTCGGCCATCCAACCCCCCTCAATGATATGACATGATTTAAATGTAACATAGTTGTGTATAAGATTGTAATTTAGTTTCAGTTCACCATTGGAAATTACAAACTGAGTAGTATATCAGTCCTTGATTTTAGACACTCAATACATGTATTACTACACTATGAATTAATGGCACTGAGCACAATACTTGGTTAGATATAATTAAAGATGTAAAGATTATTGACTTACCTTGATTCCAACTCGGAGGAGAAATCACTGAGATCTATATCTTGTGGTGATGATACACCTTCCTTCTCCATTCTACTCAATATCTCCTTCTTTATTTTATCCTCCAAATCAGCATAGATATTAGCACACTGTGTCAAAAATAACATTTCACATAGATATTAGCACACTGTCAAAAATAACATTTATTGACATAGATATTAGCACACTGTCAAAAATAATATTTAACAGAGATATTAGCACTCTGTCAAAAATAATTTTTAACAGCGCTATTAGTAAATGGTTCACCCCCCCCCCCCCCCCCCAAAAAAAAATATTAGATATCAGCACACTATTTGAAAAAACACATTTAATTAACAATTATGATATCACACTGCTTAAATTAATATTTAACATTGATGTTAGACCACTCCTAGAAATAATATCTAAACATATTATAACATGGTCCACAAAAACAGTCAACAGATATATTAGCACACAGTTGAAAATAATATTTAACATGTTTATTTGCACACTGTTTACAATAATATACTAATATTGATATTGGCCCACTCCTTGATATAACACCTATCATATAGATATATTTAAAGAACACACTATTCCATGAGATATTAGCACACCATTCCACATAATATTTGATAATGCCATTAGAACATGAACATTGATGAAACATGACTAAAACATTTCTCATTTGTTTGTGAAGTTTTGTACTACATTCTCCTCTAGAGAGTTACCATGAAAAAGACATTTTTTAAAAAAATATTTCATACCAGAGAAATAAAGGGCTATTGAAAGTTTCCATAATGTATAGCTTTTTACTAGGGTAAACAGGGTTCCATGCACTGATGTCTAGCACATCGCAAAGTACATACATATATCTGACATTAAATTTTGTGCAATGTATAAAACAAATAAAGCTGGGCATTTATCTATTATATTTATCACTGAATTTGATATATATATTATTGTTATCTAAATAATTTTGTTTACTAAAAGGGGATAATTTACATGATGAAGTACATCTAGAATACTCTGTGCAGCATTTAACACTATATTTTAGCTAAATATCAATAATCAAATTTTAATATCTCGTTTAGTAGAAGATTGAAGAGTAATAGCTTACAAATAATTACTAAATATCAAACATTCATAAAGCTATTTATACCGAAAAAATCAAAATTGCTAAAGTATATAAGTGGTGGACGGTGGGTATGACCTATTGTCTGTGTCTACTGTATTTACTATATATCTAGTCTCTATATTGTGCAATGTGATAGCATTTATAATGCAAGGGAGATAAACAGTATTTAGTTACCATTTAAACATAGATAATTTTACAACATCAATAGACCACAGTGTAAGTTATTAATAAAAAAAATCATGATTATACTAATATTATAAACAATCAATATATTTAAAATTCATACTTTTTAATCAAGACTGGAAATTATAGCTTAAATTCTTACAAAATATATCCAGAATAGATACTTTTTAATTGAGGATGGTATTAATAGCAATGATTCTTGTAAAATTACTTTAGAAAGAAGAGAATTCTATCAAATTGGAAGGTATAAATTAATTAGCTAATTAGGTTTCAGCTAAGCATTAAAATCAAGCACATAAAAGAAAACTAACAAGGTTGCAGTTTTATTTGCTTCTAAAAAATATTTTCTGGATATTTTTGAGTAAAAGCAACTTACTTTTGTATTATCTGGATCACAATAATCTAATAATGTATCACAAAAATGGTAACCTAGCGACTCAAAATCAGCCACCGAGAAATGATGTCCTTTAGTTTTACCTAAAGACGATCCACAAAATGTTGCCTGTAAAAGAAAGTTTGTTTGTAACAAATTCACAATGGGTCAACTGTAGTCTAATAAATTCATTTTCTGAAAATTATGGTTGGAAGGCAGCACATCACCATTTAAAGGAATATAATGTTCATATGGTTTCATTAAAATATTTGGGAAGAATTGTGACACTGAGTGTATTTTAACAAAAGAGTATGATCACAGTTGTTTTTATTCGATCAAACAGGATCATTGTATGAAATGGGGTTCAACATACTACTGTTCTGTTCCGACTGGGCTAATGAAGACAGGAATACGCCATACAGTAAGCTATGAGGGAAATTTTGCTCGAACAGCAGCATTCAGCCTACTCTTATATCGAGTTCGAAATACCAAGGGATCTTTAATGTGCAAGCCATCCTAACGACTATACATTGTCCCTTGCCACTACTTTTCTGCTCCGAGTGGGCTAATAAAGATGGACAAACATCATGCAGCGCGCTCTAAGCCTACTCTTACATCGAAATCCAACTACCAACTACGCCAATGTGTACGCAGGATCTCAGTTTTCCGTACCATCCAATTAACTATAAATTGTCCCTTGCCAGATCCTGCACCACTGACAAGGGGAAACCATGCCGGAAAATCATGATGAACACAGGATCTCTGGGTTAGCGAGCAATGTCTTACGCACTGTGGTTTTAAGGGCTCAGGATAGGGGCATGAACATGACCTCAGCTCTTGGATCTGAGGAAAATAAAATTTCATGTTGACCTACCTCTAATGTAAAACTATTTAATACTCCCATATTCCATACAACTATACGTCCTGTACCTTCTTTACTCTTCTGTACTTTAAACTTACACGAATCAAAACTAAACTGTAATAAATAACAAAACATTGGCAATCAAATCCTGAAAATTGTCATAATTAGTAAGTAAAAAGACAAAACCAATTGATTCATGTGCCCACTGTTAATTCCCCTACTTGTAGTATTTCCAGTTACGAATAGCTGTATCATTGTTCAGCGGAAAAACTGAAGAAAATTCCAATTAAACTTAATTCCTGAAAATCATCTACTGAGAACAGTTTAGACAACTTGATTCAAACAAATTCCCTTTTGAACAGGAGTCAGATCTATCATTTTCATCGGCTAGGAGCTAAAATTTGTACTGAATTTTAACTTTCAGCCAATAACAAAGCTGTTTATCTAAATTAAGTTTAAATCAGCATTTTGGGAGATTAGATAAAGAGCTTACAGTTCCTTGCTAAAATAGTTAAAAAATAGATAACGTAAAGGAAAAATATAATGAAAATTTCAATCAAATTACTTCACTCCGATCCGAGAAATCCTCATTTTACTAACACTGTAGCCTCAATTGTCATTGTTACCATTGTTACAATAATAAGCAAAGTCTTGATTATCTATTTTTGCAGCTAATCTTCAATGGCCGTTGAACCGCTGATCGGATTGCAGTTTGTTTAAAATTGGATCCATCAGCAGGCATCGAGAGTTGATAATGGTCTTGTCATGTCATTAATGTCTAATTAATAGTTTATATAACATTTCAGGCATAAAGAAAGACCTCCAATAGGCAGATTTAGCTCTTGCATAATGCCGGTTTCATTTTTCATGAATAACCTCCATGGCTGCAGAGCAGTCATCATAATCAGCAATTGGTAATATATAGATATATTGCTGATCTAATTCTGTTAATTTTCTTTATTCGATTCTTACTATATTTAGCATACCTTTGTTGGTGCATTTTTTCCTAACATGCAGGGGAAAATTCTCTCTCGAAGTCGTCTCTCAGATTGATGTTTATTTTCACAGCCATAAATAAAAACATTTTGTTTACGACTATGACCATGCAAATCACAATATACAACAATTTCTCTTTCCTGTAATAATCTGGAATAAATGATGAGTTTGTGAACAATTGGTATTATACTTTGGAGATGGAATTAGACTTCTGTTTATGTCTTGTCTTGTAGATAAAAAAAAGAGCTTGATCTAAACTATTTAAACTGATAACTCGCTTGAAAACACTTGTAACAACACACATACACAATAGCTTGAAGAATTGCAAAATGGCGAGAGAGAGAAATGGGGTTTACCACAATACAAACTAGGTAATTTTGGAACTAACATATGGTGCATTTTTCATTTCAATAATTCGCTTTTGTGTAGGGATCTTTAGCAGCCATGAGGAAACCCGAGAAAACTCATGAGGTTAGGCAGGCAAGTGTGGGATCGTAGCCATGCCACTTGACACAATGACAGACCTTATGATCTAAAGCACATTTGTTAGACAATTTGGCCACCAAGTGCTCTGCAAAATGGAGAGAGAGAGAAATGGGGCTTAACATCCACTTGACATAAACAAGGTCATTTCGGGACTAACATATGGTTCAATTTTATTTCAATAACTTGCTTGCGCATAGGGGTCTTTAGCAGTGGGAGGAAACCATGTACAACCCAGGAATCGAAACCACACCAGTTGACTTAATGACAGACCTTAAGATACAACACGCACACACTAACCATTCGGCCTTTCAGCTGTCCAACACCCCCCCTGCAAATTAGAACTACCTATGTAAATCTAATACCAAATTAAGACGGCTTACTTTCTAATCATACTTCTGGTGTGCCAAACTGATGGATAGGAATCTTTAAGCATTGTTTTATAATTTCTGTTTAAATCTCGTCCTGCTAGTGAACATCTATAATTACCAACTATCACACCATCAGGGTTTAACATGGGAACTATTTTAAAGATGAATGTATCACGAAGTAGCTGATAGAAAAAAAAATCATTACTAAATTACATTATGTCTGAATTATAAAAAATTTCAACTTGATCTAATCTGATTAACATACAGATCTAAATTTCATTTCATTTTTTTATACTTTTGATCACATAGATATGACTGTTTGCAACAGAGGTCACGTCGAGGAGTCAAATAGGTGAACTTTTGACAGAATAATGTAAAATATATATATTACTTTTGTTTTGTTTTGTACTGCTCTATACTTGTCTCCCATGATTCAGTGCACACCTAAACTAAAGCTGGAATCAACAGACAATTTCATTTGCTAATCTCTTATATCAAAGAGTATGTAGTGGACTGAAACATATTGTGGAATTAAAACGAGTCTCCAACAGCTTTTTCAACTTAATGACAGAATCACAATTTAATAATTAGAGTATTCAATATTATTATTTATGCTCTCGACAATTAATTCAACAGGTAGTGATATAAGTACCTTTGCATCAGCTGAATTTCCAGTGAGGTAATCAATAAAACCTTTCATCATCCAACTTGAATTACTTTCACCAGGGTGAACACGAGATGTTATTACTACAGCTTTCTTGTGCTGTAACAAAAAATACTTTTATAGATATTATTATCAATCAACATTTATCATCGAAAGAGGTAATCAGAATGTAAAATGTTATGGACATTATAGTTCCATTACACCATTTGCATTTTTCGCTAAAATGTAAAATATTAAATTTCTCATAGCTTAATCCACGCTAAATACTGAACGGAATTGAACCAGTTTCAGACTGATATTTCTATTAGAGATTCATCTTTCACAATATTGTAGTTTGCAAGGGATTCCTATTACGCAATGAGACTTTAAGGAACTTCAACATACGTTAATCATGGTTAACTTTTATGTACTGACATAGCAGTTTTATTGTCCATTTATTATTCAAGGCTTTGTTTTCTATTTTTTTCTTTTTAATCTATTCTACTTTGTTTCCTTAATTTTCGTGACATCATTGTGCTTATGGCATCATCTCATTGAAGCATATGTCATAAGTTGTATCCAATGCTTCAATAATAAACTTATCCCTGACATCAAGAAGTATGATGTATAACCACAACATCAACAAATCAGATTATGTTGATATTTTCATTCAATATACAGTGTCCACAAAATTTTAACTCAAATATATTCCAGTTTAACAAAAAAAAAAAAAAAAAAAATTACCTTTAAGTCATCTGGATTTTGTGAAGGGGAGGTAATTGTAAGTAAATAGACTAGGTTACCAGCTAATGTTCTACATAATACTCTCTGTTTACAGATTCGGGATTTAATTGGATCGTTGCTCAATTCTAATAAATAATCCTACAAAAATATATGCATTTTCAATAAATATGTAAATCAAAAGAAGTAAATTGTCCTATAAATCTTTAATTTAAGGGGATTTTTTGTCCCAATTTATTGGTAGTTTCATACCTGAGTCCAGAGGCGTAGCCGTGAAATATATATTCGAGTGGTCTGCAAATGAAATTATATAAAATGTTGACAATCTGTGACGCCGGAGGCACGAGGCTGCGCAGCAGCCGATGTAGCGATATTCAGACCCCCCCCCCCCCCACTGGTTTATCAATAATGTATTACAGGGTTATTTCCCTTTTGGCATGGATAAAGGGTTATAACTTCAATCACACAAGTAGTTTCGTAACCGGAAGTCCGTCTCATAACTATATCAGTTCATTTAGTAGTGACGTGTGTCCAGTATGAAGTAGTGTATGTATTATTTACAGAACACCTGATGCCACTTCTCACCAATATGGGAAGTTCACTAAGCTACCACTATTCAAGTTTCATGAAGAATATAGAAATAAGAGGAAATAAACTAACAAAAGTCAAGTCTTACTTGTAAATCAGTATAGGTATAAGGATAACAATGAGCAAAATAAACATCATCATGAGTATGTGAAAACTGTGACATCCATGTTAATGAATAAAATGGCTTATCTCCTTTAGGTACTTCATATCTGAAACAACAAAGATTAATAATATACATACAAGAATTGAAAATATTCAGGGGTTAGAGTATCAGAATAATTTAATAATATACATTCAAGAATTGAAAACCAACTGATCCAGGGGTTAGATTATCTGAATAATTTAATAATATACATACAAGAAATGAAAACATTCAGGGGTTAACTAGTTAAGAGTATCGGAATAATTTAATAATATACATTCAAGAATTAAAAACCAACTGATCCAGGGGATAGAGTATCCAAATGTTTCACAACAGATCAGTCGAAGTCTGTCATCTATGCATGCCACGTGTCTGCACCCATGACTGTATGATAAGGTGTATAGTTGCTCGTCTAACCTTATAGTATTTCCTTACACTGATACCCAATGTAGTGTCATAGAGCAATTAGAGATTGCTAGTTTAAAACTAAGGCCTTCATAAAAATGCTGTTGCAAGTTCTGCTGACCTAGGTCTGCCTTCTAATGAACAATAGTGAGGCTACAATATAGTAAATCATTAAAAGTCAATTTAATTACTCTCTCAAAATATGTTTTAGCTTACTTGAGATTATTTCTGTAATATTTGATATTATTTCCAGCACGAACCCAGCCTATTTTCTTCTGTTGTGCTGTTTTTTCACTGTACATCAGAGGTTTCATACCATAATTATACAAACTATCAGGCTATAATAAATAAAATACTAAATATAGGGCAAGAACAAATATTGTTTAATAATAGTCTAAAGCTGGTACGCTTAATTATAATCGTGTACAACACTGACTATTTAAATTACAAACAGGAAGCCACGATGGTTCAGTAAGGTGCTGGCTCTCTAACCAAGCGGTTCGGGGTTAGATCCTGGATTTGGTCGAGGTTCCCCTCTTGATTTTCCAGCACTGTTTCTCCTTGACACCAGTTTCATTAGTTTTTTATAACTTCATACACTATACATGTTTTTTTTATATAGACCAAATTAAATATAGTTCAATTGACAGCAGTTTGTTTTTACCATATACCTAGTGTGTTTTTTATAATTTTTTGAAAATATAGATCTACTGATAACTAGTGGGTTGTTTTTTTTATAATTTTTAAAAAATATAGTTCCACTGATCACAGTTTTCCCAATATACCAAGTAGATTTTTTAAATATTTCTTTTATTATAGTTCCAATGATAACAGTTTTACAATATTATGTATGTTTTCCACAGAGTTCCACTGATATCTGTTTCAAATACTTTTGTTTGTTTTTACACTATTTCTGGTGTTTTTTGATAGACTGCTTTAAATCTAGTTTCACTGATATTAGTTTCAAATGCCTTTACAAAAAGTGGGACTGGGTGGCCAAATGGTATAATGCATGCGTGTTAGATCACAAGGTCTGTCAATGAGTAGAGTGGAGTGGTTTCAATTCCCCGTGATAAGGAGTATGGTCGCTGTCCAACCTTGTGGATTTTCTCTGGGTCCTCTGGTTTTCCTCCCACAGCTAAGATCCATAATCGCTAGTAAAATATTGAAATAAATTTGCACCATATGTTTTTGTTTTTTTTATAAACAATATTTTTATTCAGGGTGTCTGAATGGGATTGGGGAACAGGCTTAGCCTATGTAAAACCCCTCTCCCTGAGATGACCTAGTCCCAAAATGACCTAGTTTGCGTCAAGTGGAGGTTAAACTAAACCCCATTCCTCACTCCCCATTGCAAAAACCAACAAAGCAGAGAAACAGATTTTGATTTGTGGCTCTTACATTGACATATTATTTATTTTTATGATAACATTTTTGTCAATATGTCTCATCCAAATTTGTTGGCACTCTTTCATTTTCAGGTAAAACAAATCACTTTGAAATAAAAATCAATGTATCTACAAAGCCATTTCTCATTGGCTAGAAATGTTTATGCTGTTTACCTTCATAAGATTAACAATAGTAAATCTATAGTTGATATTAGGTCTTGTATTTCTAACACGAAAATAAAACCATTGAGTATGTTTAGATGTAAATAAATCATATCTTAGATGTAGTTCATAATCATTTTCACCGCTGAAAAACATAAGATATAAACAGTCATCACACTAAAATAGTATGGTACATATTTTTGACTTTTGAGAAGAATGAACGATTTCGCTTGATGCCGTTGTCCCATAGGTGAGAGTGCTGCAGGGTTTCCAAGAATAAGTAATAGATTTTATCAAGATCATGAATGTGATGGGTACTAGAGCAGGAGCCCAGATGGTTAACCTAGCTGAAAAGAGTACCAATTTTCTCCTATATGGTATCAATGTATGTATATCTGGTATCATCAGAATGTAAGTCTGCCGGGTTTCTGGTGGTGGGTGTGGTATTCCACGCCCAAAATGCCATGCCCCCTAACTAGTCTAGATAAGCTCAAAAGTGTACCACATGAAAATCGCACAGCAATGTACCGTACATCTTCAGGTATTACAAAAACACTCTGACAGACATTTCTAGTGGTGGGGTACCCCTGACAGAGCTATGTAATTGCCAGATATTTGTAGTGATGGAGTATCCCTGACAAGAGTTATCTAATTTCCAGACCAAAGCTAGGCTAGATTAGCTCAAATCTGTACCACCTAAAACAGCTTTGGAGTTGTTCAGTACCACCACAGGAATCATGAATGACCACTGCCAGACAGTTTGTGCGGTGGGTTGCCCCTAACAGACACGCCCAAAATAACACGACCCCCAACTAGGATAGATTAGTCGGCACTGTTCCTGTGGTCCAAAAAATTAAAAATTATGCCAGGATGCGTAGAATACTAATACCTAGCACATATGGACGAGGAGATAAACTGCGGTAGTAGGAACAATTTTATTTTTCAAAAACGCATTTTTAGCCCAAAAAAATGTTTTTTGCCCAAAAATCATTTTCTTGCAATCGCAGTTTATCGCCTCTTCCATACGTGCTAGGTATTAGTATCCTACGCATCCTGGCTAAAAATCTAATTTTTTAGAACACGGAAACAGTGCCTGCGAAGCTAGCCTAGTTGGGGGCGTGGCATTTTGGGGCGTGTCTGTTAGGGGTAACTGTCTGGCAGTGGTCATTCATGACTCCTGTGGTGGTACTGAACAACTCCAAAGCTGTTTTAGGTGGTACAGACTTCAGCTAATCTAGCCTAGCTTTGGTCTAAATATTAGATAACTCTTGTCAGGGATACTCCACCACTACAAATGTCTGGCAATTACATAGCTCTGTCAGGGGTACCCCACCACTAGAAATGTCTGTCAGAGTGTTTTTGTAATACCTGAAGATGTACGGTACACTGCAGTAAGATTTTCGTGTGGTACACTTTTGAGCTAATCTAGCCTAGTTGGGGATCATGGCATTTAGGGCGTGGAATACCACACCCACCACCAGAAACCTGGCAGACTTACATTCTGATGATACCAGATATACATACATTGATACCATATAGGAGAAAATTGGTACACTTTTCAGCTAGGTTGACCCCCTGGGCTCCCGGTCTATACTGTCTGGAGCTTGTGCCATTATCACATATACTCATTGCCTCCACACACCCTAGAAAACCCCAACACAATTTGTTTTTAGGTTCTTAAATGTTATACATAATGAACTATTATTCATGCTGGCTTACAAAACATATGTATGTATAATTTTAAAATTGATTCAGATGGGTCTTACACTTTAACAGCTTTTGCTAAATTTCCACTTTCAAATCTTGATTCAAAGACAAGAGTTGTATCATCTGGTGAAGTAGGCTGATAACTATAATTCTCACAACCATTTCTAGACCCACCAACTCTTGATCGCACAAACTAAAAAAATAATATAAATTTTACCTTTATGAAACTTAAAATATACAAGGACAGCATGCTTTGTATCAGTTAAATGAAATGAAATGGGGTTTAACGTCCTACTTTTCTGCACCGACAGGGCTAAAGAAGACGAACAAACACCATACAGTGCGCTAAAGTATAAGGGAAATTTTACCTGAACAGCGACTCTACAACCTACTCTTATTCCCAATTCCAACTTTCTCAGGGTTCTTTTATGTGCACGCCAATGTGTACATGGGACCTCGGTCATTTGTCTCATCCAAGTGAATGACTAGACACTATTCTTTGTCAGGTTCTCCTGACAAAGGGGGAACCATGCAGGAAAAACTTTCTCGGCCAACATTGACAGCGAACCCGAAACCTCCTGGTTAACGAACCAGCATCTTTTGCACTGAGCCACTGCGGCTCCCCTTTAACTATAAAACAACACACATGGTTGAACTAATAATCGGCCACTGATTAACTATTGTCAATGAACAGTGGTAAAGAAGGGACGTGAATACATGATTGGAAGTTTTCACTGATTTTTTATTTAGTATAAAGCGCTGCCGTGAAAATTTGTTTCAAAATAGGAATTCCATTTATGTAGGCCAATGCTATGACATTCGTGTATTTTCCACCATCATAAATAATCACCAGCGCTAATCATACATGTCGAAGACTTTTTCTCAACTAAACAAATAGAGAAAATATACTTACAAAACTAGATTTTATATCGTAATCAAACACCACTTTACCTCCATTTTCTTCTCCTCTCACCATTGGAGTTTTCTCGAAACCCGCTAAAACACATTAAATCATTTACTGTTAGTAAGTAAGCCAGATTAATGTTGATACTTACAATATATTTTACAGGTCATTGTTTTGCTTTTGTTTTAATCTCTTTTGTTTTTCCTGAATTTGAGAGGGTTGCATGATTGCTTTTTTTATTTCAATGACTGGGTTGCATCCACAGCTTTTTTGTAAGATTCATAAAATTAAGTAGGACATTTATTTTTACATACAATGGATAAATCATAAATGAAATGAAATGAAAGGATGTTCGGCACCATCCAGGCAAAATGAAGACAAGCACCATCATGCAGTTTACTATGACTATGACATGAGGGAAATTTTGCATTTATAGTGGCGTTTCTGCCCACTCTTAGTCAAATTTCAACTGCCAAGGGTTCTTTTAAGTGCACACCAATGTGTAACGGTACCTCTCTTATTTATGACATCTGACTGACCAGATGCAGTTCCTTGCCAGTCTCTATCCTGCACCATTGACATGAGGAAAGCATGCTGGAAAGTCCTGAGGAATTTTCTCAGTCAACACTGGGATTGAACCTGTGAACTTGCTAGTGAGCCACCATGGCTCTTGATGAATCCAACCAATAATGATGACAGATATAATATCCACTGTGCAACACTGAAGATCCTTCCCACCTCCACCCCACCCACCTGTAGAAACAAGTATATAACTTACTAAATTTATACACTGGTTCTGGTTCTGTAGGTATATATCGAATATGATTTATTCTTTCATTTTCTACTTGCAATTCAGATGGCCTAAAATTAATAGAAAAAGATTAATATACAAAATAGATTTAACCATATTGTCTATAGAATATTTTAATGGCATCCCATCTAAACAACAAGACACTTTCACAAACAGATCATATTTTGTCCCTCTGAATATCCACTGAAGAGGGAGCAGCTGAAATAGTAAGTGCAGGCGGAGGACCGCACTACACACAAGACAAAACTGATAAGACAAACCTGCGGACAAGACTACACAGACATTGCAAGAAATAAACAACAAAAATAAATTCAAGTGAATGGATCCAGGGGCCAGCCGTAAGGTTTACAAGAAAGGTGTGATGCGACCGGTATTGAAGCAAAATATGTTGACCAGTTATAGAAAGCTGGATTAACTGCACCCCAACCCCCTCAAGCTTTGTTTACAAAATAACTGGACTCATTCATGTAATGACTGTAGATGGGTACTCCCATCTTAAATTATACATAACAATATTGTAAATATTTACCATCTGGCAGCTTGTTGAGGTCCTGGTTCTTTAGCCAATGCATATAAATTTCTAGGCTCGCGTAACTTCGGAACCTAAAATACAGAATAAAAAAACATAGGAATGAAATGGAGTGTCAACACAATGCTTCAGTCAATTTGTGACAAAAACTAACATATGTTAGTCTCGAAATGACAGTCTGTCTCGAGTGGATATTAAACCCCATTTCTCTCTCTCTATTAGGAGGCAAAGTTTGCCAAGATAACAGCAACATTTCTGCCTATTCTTCATCAAATTCAAGCTGTCAAGATGTCTTTCAGTTAAACTTTGATTTTTCATCCCATCTGAATAACTAGAAACACTTTCCTCTTCAGGCTCGCAGAAGCAGCCCCTGGCAAGTAGGGATCAGGCTTGAAAATCTCATGGTTCTTCTCGGGGATATGTCACTTTCTTAGCTCAAATTTAGGTTAAGTGCACTGACAAATTATCCCATATTTTTGAGCAGTTCATGGGTTTGGGCACACAGCTAAATCATCATACCAAATCTATTCAGACAATGGTCTACATAAGGGCATGGAGAAAACCCCAGAGGTTGGCAGGTGACTCTATTTCTTGTCAAATGCATGCTTTGGTTGGATCGAAAGCATGTCACTTGACTCAATGACAGAGCTTCTGATCTAAATTATACACGTTAGACCACCCATCTCCTTCGCCTGATCCTTGATTTATAGCGCACACATTAGAACACTCAACCACTGCCTTCCCCCGATCCTTAATTTAAAGCGCACACTTTAGACCACTCGATCACCTCCTTTTCCTGATCTTTGATTATAGACTCTCTTGTATGTTGCCTAGATGACACATATTTGAGAAAATGAGTAGTACTTACCATTTTACCGGACTCAAAGTTATAAATAAGTTGAGTTGTACGCAACAGTTCTTCTTGTGTTCTGTTGTCTACAAATAAAGCGAAATTTATAATGGAATTCAATTATCATAAAACTAATAAATATATTAAATACCCCACGTTGAATTTTGTGGTCATCAACAATGAAGCCTATGTGATGTTTCGTTTATTGACCTTCGTGTAAAATATGTCATTCAAAAACTGTTAAGGACACTTTTCTTAGATACATAAGAAACTTTGTAGAAATCATTTCAACAGTCAATTACTTTTACAAATACTTGGCATGTGAACCCTTTAAAACAATAATAAACATGATATGTCATCATGCCTTATTTTCCAATTATGACTGCAAATTGTTTTTGACTTTCATAAATTTATCTGATGTACAATGTATGTTTATTGGGACAGAGAGGGGGGGCAGAGAGAATACATGTAATTTTATAAGAGTCTCCCCAAGTTTACATCAGGTAGGGGACCAATAAGCAGATAAAATGAAATGAAATGGGGTTTAACGTTTTATTTTTCTGCTCCATTTGGGCTAATTATTGCCAGGATAGCGGCGCTATGGCATACTATTATATCAAATTCTGACTGCCCAGGGTTATTTTACATTCACACCGATGTGTACACAGGACCTTGGTTTTTTCATTCCATCCAAATGACAATAGATTGTCCCTTGTCAGGCCCCTTTTCCAGAAGCACTGACAAATGGGAACCACACCGGAATATCCCGATATACTTTCTCAGTCAACAACAGGATCAAACACAGGACCTCCAGGTCATCGAGCCAACATCTTACTCACTGAGCCACCATGGCTCTCAATAAGTAAAACCAGGTCTTTCAAGATAATGAAGAAAGTTTAAAAACTCTGATGAACTATCTTTATACCTGCATCTTTATAAAGTTGTACTTGATCTAAATTAACAAGAGCTGTAGGATGCCACTGATGTTGTTCATTACAAGACATAAACTTTTCCCATACATCCGAATCACTTTCACCGTCTTCACTTATAACTCCATATACCTCATTCATTTTGATACGATATCAACAACAGTCTTCACTTTTAAAACAAACTCTCACAAGTTCACTCCACAAATAAAGGTATAATGGAATTCTTATGTAGAATAATATCCAATATGTTATGTAGAATATGTAGAATAATATCACAAAAATATTATTTAAATGAATTTATGTCAATTTCATCTAAATCTCGCATATATAGGTATCTTTTCACAAAACTCAGACTCATTCACAAGTAAAGATAATTCAAGAAGTGTCAATTTTTTTCAAATTTCACATGGGTCTACACACTACGATCCTATTGCCAGCAAGATTTTAAGTTGAACTAACTGTAAGGACAATAAATTGTAATAGTAGTCTATGGCCATTCAGATAATCCTAACACACTATTAATAGATATTACTGTATAATTACATAATCCAGCTTATAATTATAAATTACCAATCTCCTCCACCCAGATTATAAGATAATTAATCTTTTAAAATCCAGGATTATGTGTTAATCTTTTTATATATTCATCTATTGATAAGTACTACCTACACCTCCAAAACTACTGTAGATCAGATAAACAAGCAAATCAATTTAGTTATAGTAAACTGAGAAAATATGTTACTTATATAATTATCTGTTTTCAAGCAAATCAATTTAGTAATAGTAAACTGAGAAAATATTGTTACTTATATAATTATCTGTTTTCATGAAATATTATACTATCATGGTAAACAAGAAAATCAATTTAGTTTTGAAACCAATTACTGTTATGCAATTATCTTTTTTTTTTATGGAATACACTATTTGCATATTCTTAACACAATATTAATATTATTATCATAGCAATCAAAACTAATGAAGCACAAAGTAGTCCATTTTTAGTTACCGGGTACATGTAAAATCTGATTTGGTTGTGAGGAACAACTTTCTTTTAGACTTATTCTCAGAATGGTTAAGATATAGTTCTAAGTTCTAATCCTATAGATTCCCTTTTCACACTTCCAATATCTAATGGATTTCGCTTTCACACCAAGTCTGCTAGTTCATTGAAATATAAATAAATTATTCATGCTCTAAATGCAATGTGGATGTTTTGGTTGAATATATAGTGCCTTTATATATTCTAGCTGTGCGTATTTTCTATCATGATAGATAAGAATCAAGTACAACTAATAAAAGTCTTGGTGTGAATTTCCTCCACCAACTTGATTATCTAGTAACACATGCTTCATTTATTATTAATGAAAATGATAAGACTTCAATTAAAACAACTGATAAAAAAAAAGAAGATGAATCTTTGTTTTAAATTAGACTGTCTGGATATATACATATAAATAGATAGATTAAAGGACAATATTGGTGTCAGTCATTATCACATATGTGATAGAACTGGTTAAAGCAAGGTACAAGCACTTTTATGTTTACGTTAGACAAATACATACAAAAATTAAAAATACGTCCAGTTAAAAAAAATCAACCACTTTTAATTCTTTGTTAAAAAAATCAACTACTTTTACTTCTTTGTTAAAAAAAACCAACTACTTTTACTTCTTTGTTAACATCAAATCATAAGATAGCTATCTGCCCCCTATAGGCGTCTTCAGATGTATATATAATATATATGGTAGCCTGAACTAGAAACTTGTAAATTCTTCATCCAAATCAAGTCTAATGCACAAAAATGAAATAGGGTTTAACGTCCTACTTTTCTGCACTGCTAATGAAGATGGGTGTACAACATACAGTGTGCTATGGGGGACCCCATTTTTCATATAATCCAAACAACTAAACACTGTTCCTTGCAAGGCCCTCAGTCCTGTGCCACTGACAATGGGATACTACACCGGAAAAACCTAAGGAACTTTCTCAGCCAACACTGACTGGGAGTAAACCTGAGACCTCCTGGTTAGCGAGCCAGGGTCTTACTCACTGAGCCACCACAGCTCCCAGGGCAAGACAATCTATAAGTAATCAAAGATAATACTACCTATAATCTACCCCGATCGCTTTCCTTAACTGCACTACCTTTTTAAATCATTAAAAATCAGTCATGTCAAACTTCACAACCTAATTTCTAAGCACTAATCCAATATTGAACATTTCAGAACCATTAAGACTGTTAATAGCTGGTTTTAAAATTTTCCGAAAAACAGTATAAAATACACATTGTATATAACTTCACTAAAACCAATCTCCAAGGTTTATAACAGTTTGTTTGAAAGTTTAAGAAAAACAGTAAATTAACAACAGCTATTCTGTTACAAGACAAGACAATGTTGATAATATTATATACTGCTATGTAAGAAATGTGCTAGGCTATTATTTATCATGTAATAGTATCTATATACTTAATGGTTGTTGTAATACTATTAACATAATATCATGTAATAGTCATACCAACTAAATACACAAATATTATTGTTGTTCACCATAATATTCAATTACGAAACAAAGATAGACATGTTCACAAAATTTCCAAAAAAGTGGCCCCAAACTCCAGGAAGGGTGCTGAATGCTGAATATTGTCATTGATAGGATTCATCCTCTCATGACCTCAATGCTTCACATCAAATTTGAAAATAAAATCTTTAAAAAAACGTATCTTTTTCTGAAGAGGGCGCATAATTCCAGTAAAGAAGGGCGCAGAATGGTGATTATGATTAGGGTTTGTTTATTCATGACCGCCATGACCTCAATGCTTCATTCCAAATTTGAAAAAAAAGTGTTAAAAGTTAAAACTGTAGCCTCTAATGCATTCACAAGGAATCGGAAAAGGGAGTATAACTCTGGGAAAGAATTTAATCATGTACCAAATATATACGTTAGTTCCACTTTTAAAATAGCTAAGTCCGTAACTTAATAACATCCAAAATCTTTGACATTGAAAACTCAAATTTTTTTGCAATTTAAATCAGCATTGGTGTTGTGATCTTACCTGGAAAAGATGGGCTTTTGATATTTAAGACATAATAAACATTTTACCATTGGTAAACGAATCGTGTATCATAATGCGTTTCAGCGCCATTTGTAACAAGGTGCTCAAAGAAGAGGCTAGACATATTCCACAAGTCATGTCAAACGGAAATATCATATTCTTATTTGGAGAGCATGCACAATAAATAATATCGGTGTTGACTGGAATAACCAGACGCTAGAAACTGACTTGCGCTTGAGACTTCTGGCGTATTTCGACGAACATAACTGATGACAATTCACAGTAAAACGGGCACGATTGAATGTAAAACAGTTTATATGAATTCATATTACATTATTATATGTGTTGCGACTCATTTGTGCCAATTTCTAGGTCCAAAATATTAGCGATTTAGCTCCTGTAAAATGGACAAAAGACTTTGATAACATTAAACACTCTATTTAACTTTTATTCTGGTATTTTGGGGTCTTGAACAGATTTCCTTCTTACACAATTTGAGGAATGACGATCATGTCAAGTAAATGTAAAAATCTAAAAGGAGATTTTGAAAAAAATTGGGTTTTTTTAGCAAATATGGTAATTTTACAAATAGGGTATTTCATTCTGTTTGAAAGTCCAAGTACTAATTACCATCATTTTTTTCTCTGTGTTTTGAAATTTGGATTCTATACCCACTGTCTGACGTATGCCAATATTTCAAGAATCCAATGGGGTTCTACTAAGACTGAGTTACTGTTCTAATAGGTGAAGTCTAATTAATGAATGAATAGCGAGACATAAGTTGAAACAATAACTTGAAATAACACATATAATTCAAATCAACAGGTATCATCTCTAACTTACCTTGGGCAGACTTATTGGCATCATCGGAATCTGACTCAGATTCACTATCAATATAAATATGGGTTTTCTCCCAATCAGCATAAGATCGAAATGCATTTCTATGATTCTGATTTCTTCCTGGAAAAAGAAATATGAAACTTTCAAATTGCTCATACATTCCATATAAAAATGCCCAGTGAAGCCGCTGTGAAGGTTGAGGGTATCCTGTATTAATAGGATTATACAGCAAGTGATAATTGATAGCATGGGAGAAGGGGCACGCTTTATGGATTGACTATATGATGAGTTAATTTTAATAATATTTTCAACAAAAATTTTCAACAAAAAAGACAGAATACCTTTCTCTAAGTGACGAAAAGAAATGTCAATTTCTTCTAATATTGAAAACTTCCTCTCATTATTCATATTATTAATCCTAATGCTTCATTCATGTAGTTTATGATTCTAAAACAAAATCCCAACAACCATTTTCAATGCAGGAGAGCATTGGACAAACAATAAAGAGATTTCACAGATTTTGATAAGCTTTCTCATAAAAGATAACCATTTGAAATAAACAGAAAAGTTTTTTTTATAAAGTAAGAATCCAAGATTTGGTGTTTATTAATTAATCAAAAATTTATTTTGTCCCTAGCATATTAAAACTTTGACAAATTTTGAACAAGTGATCACTTCCTTGAAGTCTGAATTATTGTTGCATCCTTAATATTCCTTCAAATATTTCAATCATTCCACTGAACAGTGTACCGGTAGCTAAAAACACATATAACAGATTAACCACACATACACCGTTGGCCACAAGGGATTATATACTTCTTATTAATTGCAGGCTAACTATTCCCTCTACTGCTGAACTATATCATTATTCATTATGTTACTATTAATATAATTTAATAGCATTGAGGATATATAATACTATTATTGTGTAGGTATATAGTTAAATATTGTAAGACCTGTTATAATAATGTAACATTTTGACCTAATCTTTCATAAGTGCAATATGTTATCACATAAAAGACGTATGGTGTTCAATATGTATTGATCCAAACACTTCTAGACTCCAAGGACTTTAGATAATCAACCATAAAATACTGACTCTAAACCCACCTATTATTTACAAATGTTTATTTTGTAGATAATTGTAGATTTAATTAACAAAAAGTTCAGAAACTTTCAAACACTTAATAGACTTTACTTTATATTTTACAGCAACACATCACCTCCAAATTATACACAGATTAATCCCTCCAAATCGTTTGAAAGAAGTTAACTAAGACAACCCTGATCAATTTACCTGTAAAATATCCATAGTGCTGAAGATGTTTTCTCATAAAACTATCATACGGATTCTAAAAAATAATCATTATTATTAGTTTATTGTAATAGTAATAATATATGAATGTGACATTGGATCGTTAATAGGTTTTAAATAGCACTACATGTATTATTATAAACATACCCCCACCCAATAGCATTACAATTTCATTTGGAAGCAAGGGCCGAGTTAGCTAAGTGCTCTGAATTCATAATTCTGCTTAATTAACATCATGTTTTCTAACTGTCTTCTTATAAATTAAAAAGAAACAAAAAGCAATTAAAATTTTGTTTATAGGACAAAACATTACCAATTCATATGTTTCTTTCTCATCATCAGACACTTCTTTATCTTGCCACATGTTTAACTTTATCTTCTAGGCCTACCCTAGTTTAATTTATAATTACTAATTCTATATATTTATTTCTTGAATTTGAATGTTGTTTTTAAAGCCATGACCATCAAGGGGCAAGAGAAAACCGGCTATATTTTTATTTACTGACATCCAGATTAAAGTTCTAACTTTTACTTCTCGTATGTAACAATTTTAAATGTGTATGTTTTTATGCATGGGGTAATGTGTGTGCCTAAGCCTAAATTTGCATTCATAAAAACATATTAATGACCATAACGGATAACAAAGGAAAGCAGGAAAATCTGAAAAAAGTCTGACTGCTCGTATCGAAAAAGTACATCGATATAGTATTTGGACCACCTAATACACGTAAATATGATTATATAGGTCCCATTTCGTTTTGTCGATTCTAATAAACGGGATAGCGCAAGGTAACGGGATTTGGTTACGCCATAAATTAGTTGTATTTTTTTCTTGACGCGAATATTTCGTGCAACCGCTTCTATAACAGGTGCCTCATCACTACAAATAATGCCCTTTTATCCATTCGCAGAAGTATATAGTTATTTATTATTATATCCACTATCTTTGAAGTCTTGACAGTTGAATAAAAAACTAAACTAGGACAAAAATTATTTGTGTAATTTTATTATAATTCTTTGCAATAGTACTGGAAACATAGCTCAAAAATGTCCGATGCGTAGGAATCGGTAACTAAGGAATTAACACAGTTTCGCAGAATCTCTTTGGTTTAGATTTTAGATTATCAAACACAAAAAGTTCCATGTTATTGTTCTGTTCTGAATTTACAAATCCATCAAAATAACTAGGCCATCAATAAATTTATATTTTGCAAATGTTAATAACTGCGAGATTACTCTAAAGACATAAACTTCCGGTCTTTCCGAGGCCATCTTTGAAACATCAAGGTGTCCGAAAATGGTAATGAAACATTTATTGAATTATACACATGTTTCAAGACATCCGATAGCCTAATGAAAGCTATAATTCAACACCTAAATCAATGAAAATTTTGATTTTTTAGAGATTGGGTTCTGATGCATTATATTTTTGCGAGAAAATTAAAACCATTCGGGATGGTTACACACATGGCCAAACATGAAAATAAATACATGTATGATGTATGGAATGGTATTTCTGATTTGGCATAATTATTTGCAAATTCATGCATTTTGTCGTATTCTTCTAGAGTGGCTCAGTGAGTAGGGTTTCCAGGTCAAAGTTTTAAATGACAGAAAAAAATGCAGCTCAAGATTTTTTTGATCTCGTCAAAATAATCTACACCGGTAATGTAATGATGAGATCCCAAGGCCAAGTTAATGTTATGGAATTTTAAAATCCGAGGTTCACGTCAATAATGTTATAAAAATGCTCAATACAGTCAGTGCGTGCCACATGGCACCAAAATAAATGCTATTCAGTCATATCGCAGTGATGTAAGCAGTATTTACCCTTCAGATAGGAGTTTCAGGTCACGTGACTTTAGCGTGAAATCAGACAGCCAGAGGCTGAAATATACCCCACTTCAATCTACGATTCTGAATTACTGTTTTATGTAAATGCATTACTAGCAATTATATTGCAATAGTTTAATATCAATACCAATATCTGCAAAGATTCAGGCTAAAAAATTATCGAAATGTAAGCGAAATTACCGTTTGTTTACATGAGACGCTCGCGGGAAAATACCGCTCTGATGCACGCGGCCATGAGATTTTCCATTCCTACGACTCACTTCATTGGTGAATCCGCACCTTAGTTACTGGGGGATTTTGATATAGAACCAATCAAACGATAGATAACATTTTTGTGATTATTATGCTTGTTGATACCATGTGGTCGGACAATTAGACCCGGAGAAAATGGGATTTATCTGTTTTGATGACTGAAAATTGCTAAATTTCGACTAAATATAAAAAACTTTCTTGAGGTATCATCCAGATTATAAATATTTGACATTATCATTCAAATTATTACAATTTTAATAAATTTTAGCTGACAATAGTGTGCGGATTTCAGTTTTAAAATTGGTACTAGCGATTCTGAAGGGAAAATACCGCTTATGACGTCACTCAAATATGACTGAAAAGCACTCACTTTGGTGTCATGCCACGCATTGACTGGTATAGAGCATTTTGATTACATTGACGTCGATCTCGGATTTTAAAATTCCATAACTTTGGATCTAATTAGAATATTTTGATGAAATAAACAAATTTGGGTAGCATTTTATGTATATTTTCACAAAATATTTTTATTTTTTTTTTTCTGTCATTTGAAACTTTGACCTGAAACCCCTTCTTCAGAATAGCTCGTACCAATTTTAAAACTAAAATCCGCACATTAATCATTACGAAGTGTATATTTTGCCGTCCGACGATTCTTTACTTTATTTACTATTTATACAGTGTAGGGTGACCCGTGCACTCTACAGAAAGTTGGTCTCGACACGGCTAAATGTGCATGCTTCAGTTGCATGTCTCGAAATGATTTCTGACTACCCCGCACTCTCTTTTGAGTCGATAAATAGCCATGGCTCGTGCAATTCTCTACAAATATATCAACTATTACAGCCGTAAAAAATCTATTGTTGACGATTTTGAATAGCAGTAAAAGTTAACTTAAGTTTCTTAAAACAATTGTTGAGTTGTCTAAAGTGCTTATTTCTAAATTCAATTTCTTGTTCTAGCTTTCTGTTATGTTTGGTAAAAAAAAGTAGTCTTGATTATCCCGACCTGTCAATCAGATGTAGAATGGTCGATAGACTGGTTAAGCGAGACTAATTTCAAAACAAGGGCACGTAACCTATCTTTTACTCAAAAGTGTCTGGATGTTATGGACGACATTTGGAACCAGTTTTCAGTCTATTATTTATAGATGATTAATGGTCATAGCTAATTAAGTACAACATAATCGTTTATTTAGTGACTATAATTGTGTGAAACTGATTTGAGGCTTGGCATATATATAAATATTGTGGCGTAATTGTCGAGATATTTGGAGATATTTATTTATGGTGGGTCACCCTACTATTTAGCCGTACTTCCGTTCGACGTGCAGTTGTCGATTCCTGATATATTCCACCATTTTGGAACATTAAAAACAACTCGTCTTGCAAGTTCGGCGCAGAAGCACGATTTTACGGGAAAAACATAAACCACTGACAGTCTAAGTACTTAAATTAAAAACCAAAACCCGCAGAAATGCGCCCTCGACCAAAATAGAATAATATTTAGTGTTGAAACTACTATTCGGATATCCATTAATTGTTGTAGCTCAGTGTATCATGCACCATAATGATAATCACAAAATATTATATATCGTTTGATTGGCTCTATTGAAATCCCTCGAAAACTAGGGTGCAGATTCACCAATGAAGTGAGCCGTAACAATGGAAAATCCCGGGCCCTTTATGCCCCCCATTCCTTATGTAAATTTAATAATCTGGCACGTTTTCACATAATCACCCGTTTCTTATTGTTTGCATATATTTTGTTAAAGGTTTTGTTTTTGTTTCTAGGCGGCACACAAATCCCTTAGGATTAAACTCAAACTGGCAAGAAAAATGAAACAGAATCGCCCAGTCCCACAGTGGGTACGACTTAGGACTGGCAACACAATCAGGTTAGTATAAAATTATTAGTTAGTAGAGATATCAACCAGTAATTATGTAATTGGCTGTAAAAGAGTATTGCTGGCAATTCACACAATACTGATATTCAATGGTAAGTACTGTACATGTATATAAATTGTGAAACTGATCTTCATCTCTGCAATTTGTCTTTTGCAAGTTATCTGGTCAGGGATCACATTTTTAGATGGATATAAAATTTGAATGTTTTTATAAGGGAGAACTTGGACCTACATGTAACTCTTAGCTTTGGTGGTGTTTTGATGCCAATCATTTTTATGATTAAATAATAAATGTTGTATTTTGATTTATTCCAGATACAATGCCAAACGCCGACACTGGAGACGAACAAAGCTCAAGATCTAGATGTCCTGTTATTTTTGTGTAATTCAGTCTCTACCTGAAGCTTGGTGGATGTGTTGTCGGCCATTAAATTGTAAAAACAAATAAACTGTAATAAATCCATTGCTTCAGAATGTTAATTCACTTATTAACTTTGGTAGAATGCCTACTGTCTTATAGATTTCTGGAAGCTGCAGTGGCTCAGAAAAAAAGACGTTTGCTCGCTTACCGGAAAGTCCCTTGTTTGATCCTGGGTTTGGATTTTCTGTCTTGGTTATCTCCTCGTCAGTGGTGCAGGGCAGATGGCTTGGCAAGGGACAATGTATAGTTGTTCTAATGGGCTGAAAAAGAGGTCCTGTGTACACATTGACAGGCTCGTAATTATAACCCTTGGCAGTTGGATTCAATGTTAGAGTAGGCCATATCGCCACTGTCGAGGTAAAATTTCCCTTTAGCACACTGTATGGTGTAGTCCAATCGGAGTAGAACGTTAAACCCCCATTTCATAAATTTATTGATTTCTGCAATTTATAAGAACAGTTCTGAATATAGTTAACTCTACAAACTAGAAATTGGCTAATATGCTTTCAGGTTTTCACTATTTCCTGGCTTGGAAATGGTCCAGGTACTTTTGTATATAAAACAGAGGTATTGGAGGCCGGATTTTGTCATGGAAAGTGTCGATCATAAAGGAATTGATTTGAGTAGCGGACATTATTTATATATAGGACAATCTCCTTTAATGTTTACTATACATCCATGCAGGAACTAAAGCTTTAGCAAAGTGTAAATAGATTAAGAGCATGATCTATCATATTAGCCTCATGTCAATTAACATACCAGAATTGTGAACAAGAATTGTTTTTGAAAGTAACAGTATACTAAAACCAATGCCCGGTTAAATTGTCCATATGCTATCATAATGGTACTATAGGAGCATTGTCCCTCGCTTAACTTGATGGAGTAACGGCTGAAAATCAACAAAAAAACTGATCCCTATGAACATGCTGGGTCTGAATGTAACCAAAAACCCCATTCCAACTTCTATGTGTACAAAATATATTGGCACTAGAAAGTAAACCTAATGTATGTAATTTTAAACCCTTGGGTAATTATATTATTTGCAAATCAAAACCTTGTTCTATTGTGGAAATAAAAAAACAATTTTGAACAGGCTAATGAAAAATGATTAGTCCTGATGATTAAATGCACTAGAACTAGAAGGATTCTGTTGACAGCTATTTGCCAATTCCATCTGGTCATGTGTAGACAAAAAACTTGTACAAATTTGAAAGAATGCTAAAATAATGCTGAAAAAAAACCTCCTTTATAGCACATTTAAGAGACATTTCAATGTTGGATAATCATGAGATGGGTCAATTGTTGTTGAGCAGTTAAATCACATACACACAAATCAAAATTATACTTTTCTTTATTATGGCCCACTGTAACAAAAAACAATACATGTAATATTCTCTTTAAAACAAATTGTAACAACAACCATAAAAATATGTTCTGCATAAACTGAGATTCATTTAAAAATAAATGTTCTAAAAATATACAAGCTTATATTTACAGTAGGCTACAAATGATATTTGTTCTGTAAACTCCATGACAGTATGATGTCGCATCACGGGATGAAAATCATTTGTCCATGCAGTGAATACAATGGTAGGGTGCCCACCATAAATAAATATCTCTATATATCTCGACAATTACAACACAATATTTATATATATATATCAAGCCTTAAATCTGTTTTGCACATTTATAGTCACTAAATAAACGGTCGTGTACTTAATAAGCTATGACCATTTAACCAACCACAAATAATAGACTAAAAAATGGTTACGAGTGTCGGCCATAACATCCAAGCACTTTTGTGTAAAAAATGGGTTATGGCCCTTGTATTGAAATTAGTCTCGCTTAACCAGTCTACCGACCATTCTCCGTCAGATTGACAGAATGGGACAATCAAGACTTTTTACGAAACATACGTAAAAGTAAAATGAAACTACTGCTAGAATCATGTTCTTGCCTAACCCGAGTGTTTCAGAGATATTATTTGTACTAAGCCAAAAGATACCGTTCCTAACGGTATAGTTAATGATAAAGCAATTTAAAAAATAACACAAACATAATTTCTAAAGCTGCTGTAATAGCCAAAGAGGTAAATATTACTGCAAGTCAGAATCGTCAACAACAGATTTTTTAAGGCTGTAATAGTTGATTGATGTGTAGAGAATTTCATGTGCGATGGCTATTTATAGATTCAAAGACTCTTGTGTTGAGTGTTAACGCACCGTGTGACTAGCCAGAAATCAGTTCGAGATAAGCCACTGAAGCATGCACATTCGCTGTGTTGAGTTAACTTTCAGTAGGAAAAAAATTTTGGTTACATGGGGCACCCCAACAATGGTTATATCAAGCCTTTTGATGTCATCTGTATATTTTCAACATGCCACTTCCAAAGCCAGATCAACAATATTATGACAAATAGACTGAATGGAAATAAACGTGGATTAAAATGGATAAATTTTCAAGTATTTGATCACTAGTTAAACAACCATACTCTTGATACATCGACTGTGTTAGTATTATAGCATTAAGAATCAATGCATCTGACTAGCAAGGGCTTTTGATTTAGTTTCTTGCAATGGTCTTGTATTAAACCATATTTTTTTTATTTTTAAAGTTTGCTCATCATGGTATCCGACATGTTGCAATACCTTGACCATTAAAAGATGTACATGACCATAATGTATCTATTAACTAGATACAAGAAATTTCAGCTTTTGATTAAGGTGTTTGTTAAATTAGAGACAAATAATTTAGAAAATATTCCTAAACTGAGAGAAACATAACACCATTATTCTCTTGTGGCAAATTTAATAAAGAAGAATTTCATTTGCCAAAATTTTGACTCTTACGAAATTAAAACAGTAGACAATACCTTAACTGCACCCCAATGCATAAAACTAATAATGTCAATGGAAACACACTTAGTGATGACAAATATAACAGGTAGCATTTATACTAAACAAATATCGGTCCCATTAATTTATAATAAACCATGATAAATAATAATCTTGTTTTACACAAAATAACAATCATAATTATGGGATCGAATTAAAATTCAACCATTTTTTTTGGAAAGTATATAAGAGGTACTGTACATGTATTAATACAAGTTTAGGTTGATTTCTTTTCTTTTACAACAGAACGTTGACAAAAATAAACCATGAACACAGGAAATACAGTTATAAATAGTACCAGCTTAAAAGCAGCATGCCAACCATATGCTTTGGCTATTAAACTTAATGGATAACCAGATAACACCATGCCAACTGAAATGAAAAAAAAAAAGCACTCGAAATATTTATCCATAGTAAAACAAATTGTTAGATGTATTTAAGAGAGAGAAATGTGGTTTAACGTCCACTCAACACACACTAGGTCATTTTGGTACTAACATATGGTAATTATCTAATATCATTTATGATTGTCAATAACATTTATCAGGTTTGCATAGGTCATTTCGGGACTAACACATGGTTCAATTTTATTTCAATAATTCGCATACGCGTAGGGGTCTTTAGCAGTGGTTGGAAACCGGAGGACCTGGAGAAAACCCACGAGGTTGGACAGGCGACCCTACTCCTTGTCCAGTACAACCGGGGAATCGAAACCCCGTCAGTTGATTCAATGACAGACCGTATGATATAGTGCGCGCATGGTAACCATTTAGCCACCCAACCCCCCTTTGCATATTTGGCCTACGGTACATATACTCGAGTTACTTCCTGTAACAATGGGAAATAATTTATGTGCAGTAGATCGTTTTTATTTATTACTGTTTTAAATAGTAACAGGTCATGCGGCTCTTTGAAGTGACGTGGGAGTACCTGAGAACCAGAATAATTTGTTTTATTTGGCCTAATAATAAATTAGTTATTCTAGACTATTCTCATAATAGAATAGGGTTTGTATGGGTAGTCCAGTGACTACATGTATCTTACTATTAGCTGAAAAGGCAGCAATACTGTGAGCTGTTCCCTCTAAACCTTCAGGAGCACTCTCCATGGCTGTTACACCAAATAAAGCTATAGCACCAGAAACTCCAAATCCTATACCACTACCAACAACACTTATAACTATCTACAAAAAAATAAATTACTATAAGTATCATGGAAACCAAATGAGAATATCTTTAAAAATATGTTACTCAAACTTAGGTCATCCATTTGGCAAAAATTTAATTATAGACTCAAAAGAATAATTAGCCCACAATGAAATAAAATATCGTTTATGTCCTACTGTTATGCACCACTGTGTCAACCACAAAGTCTGCAGTTGATTTTAGCATGAGCTGCCCAGTAAGCATATCAAAAGGATAATGTATTTTTTGCCAATATAAGTATTTGACCAGTACATGAGACACATGTTGCAAAGCCCTTATTTGAGATATGGCTTAAACTCTTAATTTCCAGCATACTTTCATTCTCTTCAAAAATGACTTTATTTTTATTTCCCTTAATCTCAAAGGTGAAGACTTAACAGAAATCCATGGTATTTGCCATTTTTGCTTGCTATGGAATCTTCATTTGATTGTTTCATTAAGTATTTCCTAAGCTAAATAGTTTAATGTAAACATAGTGGTGTGTTGAGTATTTGACTAATGTGTCTGATGTAGTCAGAGCCTGTCATATATGTTTTGTAATCAAAATGTATGTATTCAGGATAGGGACTGTCACAGAAATATCTTTAAATCAAGGGAATGTGGTGAATACAAAATAAAATAAGCAACACAGTTTTTCTGTGCCAGTGGAGTAAGAGAGAGAGAGAACAATTGGGTTTAACGTCCACTTGACACAGACTAGGTCATTTCGGGACTAACATATGGTTCAATTTTATTTCCATAATTCGCTTGCGCGTAGGGGTCTTTAGCAGTGGGAGGAAGCCGCAGGACCCCAAGAAAACCCATAAGGTTGGACAGGCGACCCTATTCCTTGTCACGTACAAACGGGGAATCGAAACCACGCCAGTCGACTCAATGACAGACTTTATCATACAGAGCGCGCACGCTAACCATTCAGCCATGACAGACTTTATGATACAGCGCGCACATGCTAAAAATTCAGCCATCCAACCCCCCTTGTGCCAGTGGAATGTTAATACATGTCTGAGAGAAACAGCTACAACAATATGTTTTACAAATATATTTGTGTATATACATACCCCATGAGATAAAGTTGTAATTAAATATAATAACAGATATACACTAATAACTGGTAAACATAAACACCACAACGCTACTCGTAATCGTGGATTATATTTTCTTTTACCCTAGTAACAAAAATAAGAGTAATATTAGAACATACAAATACATAATACTGTGAAACATGGCATGAATGTAATAGGGGGGACTAACATATGGTTTAATCTTTATTTCAATAATTCGCTTGTGTGTAGGGACTTTAGCTGTGGGAGGAAACCGGAGGACCCACAGAAAACCCATGAGGTTGGACAGGCGACCCTTGTTGTCACGTACAACAGGGGAATAAAAACCCTGCCAGCTGACTCAATGACAGACCTTATGATACAGGCCGCACGTGCTAACCATTCGGCCATCCAACCCCCGGAAAGATGAAGGTGATCACAGCTGATTATTGAAAAGTTACAAAGATACAATATTGTCTCTATCTTCATTTTAATTTAATATGGTTATACTAAATTTCTAATAAGTCAATTCTGAAGTTGTTGAAAAAAAATGTTTATTCAAATCCCGTCTCCTTTTCTGTCATGCTATTAAAAATTGTGACTTCAAAACATCACTATGGCAGTGGTGGCAAGAAGGGGGGGGGAAGGGGGGGGGGCATTTGCCACCCCCATAAATCTGGTCTTCCCTCTGTTTGCTCCCCCAATTATTTTAGAAAATAAAATAAAAAGTTTGTGATACGTTTCGGTAATCAATACCTTATACAGTGATTAAATCCCACTTCCCCACTCAGTCATAGACTAGCATGTTGTAGAGCCTGAGTGATTTCTTACCAAGCCCATCCTGCTGTAAACCTACTATAAACAATAACACGTGAATCACTTGGGACGTGCTTTTTACGATCTTCAGAGTTATGGGGTATAGGTCAATGCGGCGAGAATATGCATTCACTTGATACACTCACTCCATTCGTTTGACACCACGCTCTCTATTCGGATAAGCTGGTGATTTGGCGACGAACAGTATCTGGTCAGCTCTATTTATCTCGACGACCACTGTCTGAAATGCTGCCAGACTGCATTTCCGGCAGTCTATGTCACAAAATATCGTGGCGAAAATATTCATTCACTTTGAGTTACTCACTCTGTCTGTTTGACACTTTCCTGTCTGGTCGGATAAACTAGTGATTTGTAGACAGGCGGTATCTGGTAAGCTTTATTTATCTTGACGATCAATGCCTGAAATACTCCATTTCCGACAGTCAATTTTTCAAAATTTTTCGGGGGCTTCGTTGAGGTTCGCAAGTCCGTTCATTTCACACTTTCCTCTCTGGGGTCGGATAGACTAGCGATCAGACGACAGACTGCATCTGATCAGCTCTATTTATCTCTACAATCGGTGCCTGAATACTGTCAGACAGCATTTCCGACAAGACTATTTTTCAAAATTTTCTTGGGGAGGTCCCTAATACCCCAACAAGGACTCACTACTTCGGCGCTCACAAGGTGACTTCGTTGAGGTTTGCAAGTCCGTTCGTTTGACATTTTGTTCTCTGGTCGGATAAACTAGTGATCAGGCGACGGACGGTATCTGGTCAAATCTATTTATCACGACGATCGGTGTCTGACTGAACACTGTCAGACAGCAATTCCTGCAGTCTATTTTTCAAAATTTTCTGAGGATGGCCTCCCATTTGGTGGTCGTGATTGGGCTTTGTCCCGGTTCGCAAGTTCTTTAGTTTGACACTTTACCTCAACGATCAGTGCCTGAAATACTGCCAGGCTGCATTTCCGGCAGCCTGTTTTTCAAAATTGTCTGGAGGAGGCCTCCCTACCCCTAGTTGAAGCTTGTGCCTTTGCCCCCTTAACCTTGGACTTTGCCCCAGCTTTGCCCCTCCAACCACCCATGGCTGGCGCCGGCACTGTACTATGGATGAATTGTTCATTATAAACCTTCAAGATTCCCTTTTCTGGTGATAATCATTTATCAGACACTATAATTATGTTTCTTAAAAATGCTATTAAAAAATGTGACATCAAAACATCACTATGGATGAATTTCATTATAAGCCTTGAAGACCCCCCTTTTCTGGCGATATTGATTTATCAGACACTATAATCATATTTCTTTAATTCTTACCTTAGATAAAAGATAATCTGAAACATAACCAGCTGATATAGCTCCTATTAATCCACCTGCTTCTTGACTACTTGTAAATACACTTCCTATAAAATATAATCTATCAGTATTTTATAAAAACAATATTTTCATTCAGTCAAAGCACAATTAAATCCATCTCAAGATTTTGTTGATAGGAGCAATAACTCCATGTTAAATTCTTGTATGACTATATTTTCATAGGGTGCCAGCAAAAAAAAAAAAAATAAATAAATAAACAACTCTGAACTGCATAGTGACTGAATTTGATTTGTTTCCTGATTCTAACTAGCAGAACAATACCATCAATTTTGCAGTTGCGTATTTTTAAAACTATTTCAATATTAAATAAAGATCAAAAGATAAGTACATGGACACAAGGGGACCTCTCCTTAAATCTCAAAACCATTGACATGCATGACATCCCAGCCAGCATCATGATTATTTGCTAATTAAAATCAAAATGATTTGTATTTTTATATTTTGAGATGGGCAAATTTGAAACTATTTTTATATTAGATAATGGACAAAAAATAAGCAAATGGATACAAGTACACCCCAACTTTAAGGATAGAATACCACATTTGAGTATGTCCTGTATCTGTAAATCATGTAATCAGCTCTCATGGTTATAAAGTTTATTTCTTTAAGTCTTACCTAAAAACACAGATTGTTCTTTGTCTTGTATTAAATATAACTGTCCCCAATAAGTACAAGCTCCTCTAATTACATTAATTAACAAATAACTTAAACAAACACCAACAAATACTGGTTGTTTCATTAATTCAAATAACTTATACATCTTATTGTCTGAAATAAAATTTTTTTTTTTGAAAAGTTCATCAAATATAGCACAAGTTAAGTAGTAAAAGTTTCCTAATAATTTGCCTTCTACAATATATTGCAAATAATTTAAAGTGAAAATAGATTGATAAGCTTAAAGATAATTGAAAGCTGAAGTTTGACATTATGTGAAAGAGAGAGAGAGAGAAATGGGGTTTAACGTCCACTTGACACAAACTAGGTCATTTCGGGACTATCACATGGTTCAATTCTATTTCAATAATTCGCTGGCGCGTAGGGGTCATTAGCAGTGGGAGGAAACTGAAGAACCCGGAGAAAACCCACAAGGTTAGACGGGTGACCCTACTCCTTGTCACGTACAACCGAAACCACGCCAGTTGACTCAATGACAGGCCTCATGATACAGAGCATACGTGCTAACTATTCAACCCCACGTGAAAATGATATTAATCGCTGAAAATTTGATGATTAAAATAATTGAATACCTTTTGTGACATTAGTTTTATCTTTTTCTATCTGTTCATCTGTATTTTCGGTAGATTTTGATTTAGGTTTATCTGATAAATTAATTATAATATACACAGATATACCCATTGATATACAACCTGAAAATATAGTTTAAATCAGTTTATTAATTATATTAACAATAAATATTTCAGATTTTTCTATAAATAGAGAATCTCCTGCATGTCTTTTTTGATTAAAAAAAAATATCAACACAAGTCAATAATGTAAAAAAAGAACAAGGCTTTGCCAAGTTTTTTTTTTTTGTACTTTATCGACGAGTGTTGATATTTTTTGATATCCAAAAAGATGAGTAGGAGATTTTATTTATCACTCAATCATTTCTTACTCGTACAAATAAATCAATGTAATTCTTTAGTATAGATTTTATTTCATGTAAAGCGATATCTCCTTAGGAGATATCGCTCAGTAGATTATGAAAGCTATCACACAAGCAATATCTACTGCAGAATGTGTTTTTGGCAGATAAATGGTATGCACATGTAACCTTTGAGTGGCATTTAGTGATTGAGCACATTAAAAAACACAACACAATTTATATGGAATACAATCACTGGTTTATACACATATAGCACGACGTTTCGACAAGTATTCTCTTATCGTTGTTAAGTAATTGTGTTGTGTTTTTTTTGGTATGCACATGGTTTTTCATCTGAGTGGGGTTTGGCTGGTGGACAAAAGAGACAAATTGTTTTATATATGTAATTAACTCAACTAGGTTATAATATCTGGATTAACATTTATTTTCATTCTATGCTTGCATCCAGGGCTCTTTAATCAATTGGAAGAAGTCAAAGAAAAGCTATGAGCTTAGGAAAATGAACCTACAATTATGGGATTGAAGCTCAATCGGATTTTTATTTTTTTTTTACAGAGATTTACCCCCAGACCTCACAGATGTTTTTAGTAAGTGTAGTAATACCTGTTAATGAAAATATTTTTCTCCATCCCAGTAAGGCCATTAGGGCTGTGGTGGTGATTGGTCCTACAGTTCCTGCAAGATTAATAGAAGACGACAACGTACTCCACCACGTTCCAAACTGATCGGCAGGAAACCACTGTTAATATATATAATTTAATTCTTAAAATCTAAAAGAAAACAATAATTACAAAATGTTCTCTAACAAAAGTATGAAAATGAAAAGAAATGATCTTTAACATCCTACTGTTTTGCTCCAACTGGGTTAATGAAAACGAACCTATGCCATTCAGTGTGCTGTGAGGGAAATCCAACTGCCAAGGCATCTTTTACGTGCACACCAATGTGTACATGGGACGTCAGGTTTTCATCCCATCCAAACGATTATACGTTGTCCTATGCCAGTCCCTCTATCCTGCACCACAGCTAAGGAAGAGCCACACCGGAAAATCCTGACGACTTTCTTGGCTTTGCAAAACATGGATCGAGCAAAGGACCACAAGGTTAGCCAACAAACATTTGACTCATTGAGCCACCATGGCTCCCTGTTCCCTAAAGAAACTGTACTGTAAAAATTTCACACACTTACCCGTTTGAGAATCAGAGCACATGAAGGCCAGCCAGGTCCCTGTGAGAGTCCATTCAAAAACCAAAGAAAACTGAACATTGATACAGAATCAAACACTAAAATATAAAAAATATCTTGACATAACACACATTCACTTTCCCCATTCATTCTATAAAACTTTTCAAAATCTTTAGAAATGCAGTTTAGAATCTAAAGGGATATAACTCACTAACACATTATAAGTATAAAAATATCAATGAAAGTTATTTATATAATACTTTTTATGTCACAAAGGAGCTTTTCTGTTGACAAAATAATAAAACACTTACCATTTACACATTTCATAACTTAAAACAAATAAAATCTATTTGGAAGTAATAAATGGTCCTGAAGACTAAAGGGAGACAACTACGTATGCTTGGCTGCCCCATCAACTTCCATATTAAATCCATGCCATTTTAGGGCCTACATGTACAACATCGTTTTGACATTTCTATTATCTTAATCTGTATAACCACAAAGAGCCCAATATGTCACACAATTATCTGATAAAAATTTGGAAGTGGGTAGGCTATTCCAATTTTATCTACAAGATGTGAAATATATCTATTGGAACCAAAGAAAGCTCTGATTAGAAACCTGCCTACACGATTGTTTCAGTTTGAGTGTTTCTATTTCTCTCATGAGTTGGCAATTGAATGTGTCAGCATTTTAAAAAACACACTTACTTGTAAATATGAAAGCTGTCATACCAGTAAGAAACAAACTACCAGACAACATCATTGTAGGATTCAATGAATCAACTAAGACTCCTCCAAAAAATTGACTAATACTATATCCTATCATTTGACTACTAAGTATCAAACCTATTAAATAAAAGTTTAGAAAATTAGAATGTAATAAAATATATTCATGTACTAAAAATAAGAATAACGGTACGTAAAAAGGTGCAATCAAGGTTTTATGCAATATTTTGGGATGACATCATACATCTAATTCTATTACAATCAATGAAGTGGTTTAAACAGTTTTATTATATGAAACCACTCATTGATTTTGCTATAGTTTATGGCAGATTAAAGAGTTTTGAATGAATATGTACAAGATAGTTACCAGCAAGTTGTGGATATATGTATATTTTAATGTACGAAAGTAATACGTAGGTCAGGTATCCTAGTAAACATTATGATTCCTTTTCAATATTTTGTAAAGAACATCGTTGATATATTCTTTCGTCAGCTGGAGAATTTGTATATTGACCTCTTCCAATCTCAACATAGTTGTAACAGAGTCTGATGATAATTACTACCAAAGCAACTACAATAAATGTCACTTCTAAAATAGTGACAAAGATTCTCGTTCTTTTTGGGGTAGAGGGTTTCGAGTGCTTGAGTACATGTTGGCTAAGTGGGTAAGGCGCTGGCTCGCTAGCCTGGAGGTCGGGTGTTCGATCCCTGCATTGGCCGAGAAAGTTCATCTCGATTTTCCGGCGTGGTTTCCCCTTGTCAGTGATGCAGGCCGGAGGGCCTGACAAGGACAGCTGTCTAGTCATTCGGATGAGACGAAAAACCGAGGTCCCGTGTACACATTGGCGTGCACGTAAAAGATCCCTTGACAGTTGGAATTCGATATAAGAGTAGGCCGTAGTGCCGCTGTCCGGGCAAAAATTTCCCTCATAGCACACTGTATGGCGTATGCCCGTCTTCATTAGCCCAGTTTGGAGCAAAACAGTAGGACGTTAAACCCCATTTCATTTCATTTCATTTGAGTACATGTATGTACATGTAGAAGGGTTTTTCCCTTTAAATACAGACACCAGATGAAATGCATGCTTTAAATCATGCATTAATGTACCTAGCTGATTTTTTTCAAGATTTTCTTCGTTCATTATGACAGGACTCGCATATGAAAATGATTTTCTTGTATATACCAGGATAAAATAACTCAAATATAAACAAATAAATACTGCCCATTGTTGTTTATTTAACGCCATTTTCTAAATTCTGAAAAACACAATAAATAATAATTATAACGATACATCATTATCATATAAAAACATACAGAACCTTTACAAAATTTGTATGATAGCGGGATGTTACCCGTATTTCTGAGGGAACATATATACCTTCATAAATTCCATTAATTTTGTGAGTGACTCGTCCTCCAAACCCCTTCTAATACCAGTAGATTCAAAAATATTAAAGGAGTTAAAGTAGCTAAGTCTCTAACTCAATATCATCCAAAGTCATACACGTTGAAAATACGAATTATTTGTCAATTCAAATCAACATTGATGTTGTGATCTTACCAGGAAAAAAACATGCTTCTGATATCCTATGTTTAAGACAGAATAGTGCGTTTTAGCGTCATTTGCAACAAGTGACCAGAAAGAACGAGGCTACACATATTCAACTGGCGAACCCACCTGCTCAATAGACTGGAATAACCAGACGCTAGAAATTGCTATAGGGTTGAGACACAGGCCGTATTTCGCTGGACATAACTGATTTGAAATTAAGAGTCAAAACGGAAACAATTGAATGTAAATCAGTTTATATACAATCAGATTACATTATTATATGTGTTGCGACCCATTTGGGTCAATTTCTAGGTCCCAAATATTAGCGATTTAGCTCCTTTAAGCAGCTTTGATTTTTATTTCATTTTTCGGATGAATATTTATTTTTTCAGCACTTGATCCATGTTGAATCTAGGCTACTCGAATAAATTACCAGTACCGGTATTGAATATTTATTAATTAAGAAAACAAAATTAAAATATCCACAGATACAGGCTTGGATTCAATCTGATTAAAAAGAAGCCCATCATTTTAAAACTTATAGGTGCCACTATAGCTATAAAATCCAACAAATTAGCCTACTCCTAGTAGTACCGTCGGTACCATAACCATGGTACAAAAAAAGGTAGGCCTACTACCCAAAAAATTACCAGCAGTGTCACCATTTCTAGATCACATACACTTATTCTAAATGACTTACATGTATATATAATCTGAATGTATGAACTACCGTTATTATATAATAGGCTTATATTAATACATTTAGCTAAGAATTTGGCATGATTGAATAATTAATAATTCATTACCAAACTAAAAAAAAAGTAACACCGACTTTCACTCATCAACAAACACTGCTCCGAGTCCGACATATGGTTATAGCAAATGACAGTTTGTTCATCACATTTATTTTATTTGTTTTTTCACAGATATTCCATGGTTTGTTGAACTGCGTTCACTACGACTAACGACTGATCTATATCCAGGGATTTCTAAAATTAAATTCCATCCAACCCCCAAAAATAGGGAAAGTAGCCTAACCCAAGAGTAGCGTGCCCTTAGTTGACTTACGTAAAATGAATCCTATAATATTTGTACCTACACGCTGAATTTCACACCAAGTGGCAAAGTTGCAAATTTTAACATGATTTTCACACAATTTCTCCTAAGTTATTTCACGAATGTCAACCAGATGTAGTAGGTAGCTTTGTTGCTTTAACGGTATTTATTCTGATTCACTGAATGAATTTTGTGCAGTTCCAAGGAACATGGGGGAGGTCGGGTTGTAAATTATGTAAGATTTAGATAAAGAGCTAGCCATTCTTGCTATAATAGTTCGAAAATAGATAATGTAAAATGAATAAATTGAAAATTTCATTCAAATTACTCTATTTGAGGTTCCGAGTTCAAAAACACTCAAAATTGTTCGCCTCATTTTTACCAAAATATAGGCCTTTATAAATTGTTGGTTGTTTTAATGTATCAAACACATCAATAAAAAACTGGGTGCAAAGTTTTGTGTTTCTGGATCAAAGATATGGGTCATAAACAGTGCTTGAAAGTTGAGTAAATGCTTTGTGAAGTCGGGGCCAGGGGCCTGTTTCACGAAATTTGAACTAAGATAAAATCTAAATTTTAGTAATTTGATTGGATAATATAAGATTGATTATAGTGCTTAGCCAATCAAAATTGACGTATCTACTAAAATTTGGATTTTATCTACAGTTAAAACCGAGGCCCCGAGTACACGTTGGCGCGTATGGATTAAGATCATAAATCTGGTCTGTCCTCTGTATGCCCCCCCCCCCCAATAACTTTAGAATATAAAAAAAAAACGTATTTGTGATACGTTCCGGTAATCAATACCTTCTACACCCACTCCGGTTCGTTTGACACCTCCCTCTCTGTTCGGATAAGCTGGTGATTTGGCGACCAACGGTATCTGGTCAGCTCTATTTATCTCGACGACCAGTGTCTGAAATACTGCCAGGCTGCACTTCATTTACTTTGAGTCACTCACTCCGTCCGTTTGACACTTTCCTCTCTGGTCGGATAAACCAGTGATTTGGCGACAGACGGTATCTGGTAAGCTCTATTTATTTCGACGATCTGTGCCTGAAATACAGCCAGGCTGCATTTCCAACAGTCTACTTGAAATGGGCAGATACAAAAATGTCCCCCAGATCTAAGATTATGCCAACAATGCTCTATGCACAAAACTGAAGATGAAACCCATTTTTTACTAGAATGTCCATTGTATGAAAATTTACGTACCGTTCACATATACCCAACATTTACAGATAATTATCTACCCTATTCTTTAGAAAATCTATTTAACCCACCCAAAACAGTTGCAAAATCAGTTAGTGCGTTTGTATTTCATGCAATGAACCTTAGAACATAAATTGTGTTGAGCTACATGTATAGTGATCAGGCGACAGACGGTTTCTGATCAGCTCTATTTATCTTGACAATCGGTGCCCGAATACTGTCAGACAGCATTTCCGGCAATCTATTTTTCAACATTTTCTTTGTGAGGTCCCCAATACTCACTACTTTGGCGCTTATGAGTGGGCTTCGTCGAGGTTTGCAAGTCCGTTCGTTTGACACTTTATCTCAAAGATCAGTGCCTGAAATACTGCCAGGCTGCATTTCCGGCAGCCTGTTTTTCAAAAATTTCTGGGGGATGCACCCTACCCCTAGCTGAATCTCGTGCCTTTGCTGGGCAAAATAAATTATCGCCATAGTACATTACCCAAGTTTGAACTATTATAGTAAGAATGTCCTGCTCTTTTATCTAATTCTTACAAAATGCATCTTTTGAAATGAAGTCGATCGATATGAGCCGGGCAGCGAAAAGTTACAGAAGAAAACCGAGATTTTTTCGACCACTCCAAAACTGCTTGGTCGATTTCGAACAGATTTTAAAGGCATTTTGTTTGGCTGTTCATTGCGCGCATGGACGCGAACCCAGTCGTGTAACGAGTCAATCTGCGACATGGGACGGTAAGATGGTGCATTTTATTAGGCCTACTGTATCCACAAAACTGCATAGATAAGATAAGACAAGATAAGATTTTATTGTATCGAAACATCCATTGAGGACAGCATACAATATAAACATGTAAATATTATAGAGAATCTCCTACCAGTCTTTTTTGATATCAAAAAATATCAACACAAGTTGATAAAGTAACAAAAAACGAGGCTCTGCCGAGTTTTTTTTTTACTTTATCAACGAATGTTGATATTTTTTGATATCGCAGTAGATTATGAAATATATCACACAACCGATATCTACTGTTGAATGTATTATTGGGTGATAAAAAATTATAACAATGACAAATAATATATATATTTACAAACAAGAAAAATTATAATTTGAATCTAGTTTACATCTACATTTACTAACAGGACAAACAGTATGATAATCATTTCAGTATGTATATACACAATTACCTTAAACAGGTTTGATAATGACACAACATTCAACACAAGTATGATGAATGGGTATAAATATTAATAACGGGAAGACTTAGTATAGGTGTTGACATGGAAATATGATAGAGGAATGCTAGAAGCCTTATATGAATCAAATAATAAAATGTGGAATGAATTATATTAATACATGGACATTTAGATAATAATTTTGATACAAAAAAGTAGAAATACATGTAGCTCTACACAATTTATCTTCTTAGATTCATTGCATGGAATACAAACGCACTGATAGCAGTAAATCAACAGTATGCCGAATTCATCATAAAGAAGAGTTATTGTCGAGAAATAGTATGACATGTCATTGTTCTAGAGCAAAAGCATTTTTAAAGTAACCTAAAGTATGTTACGGGCACATACGTTTCGAATTTATAAACGTGCTCATAGAAATCTTTTCATTGATCTCGGGCCTTACTTCTCCCAGAACATTAAAACACGTATTACAACTTGGTCTGATTTATCTCACTGTTGTATCATATTGAGTTCAGTATCTCTGATCATTCAGTAATATGGTCGTGTAACAGAATGCTCCACACAACAAAGAGAACGCTAGATGAAATGATCTTCAATGGTCTTAAGTTAATACGATACTGATTAGAAATCCTAAATAAATTGATTATTGTAGATTTTGTTTTAGATCTTGTAATTTTGATTAACATAAGTCTAATTTAATCAGATAAACTTCAATTGATTTACTCGCAAGTTAATCAACAGACTTTAAATGAACAAAGCCTCTTGCGCAACTATATATAACATAAACCGTGCAGCCCAATGTATCGTATGTACTACAAATATAGACAGTGCAACTCAAATGCGCAAAGTCACAAAACAAACGACGCAACGGCAAATATTATAAACTATAGAATGCCCCAGAATTTCAATTGTTAGCTATATGAACCAAACAAAGGTCAGCTTATCCATGAATACGATACAGTGTCGACGATCTGAAGCCAGGGCAATAATCTAAATATTATAGATTACTGTTCTGATTTTTACACAATAAATAATGTTCTATCTTAAATATACATCATATAAGAGCTAAATCTGCCTATTGCTAGTCCTTCTTTAGGCCTGAAATGTTATCTAAATTATTAATTAGACTTTAATTAACTTATTCAGACCATAATCAACTCTAGACGTCATCGCTAGCTTGCGATATTTAATGGATTTGAATCTGATCTGCTGCTCAACGCTCATTGATGATTAAATAAATAAGTGGATAATCAAGACTATGCTTTTTATCGTACCGACTTTAGTAATGATGATCGAGTCTAAGCCTAAAATTAAGTCGCTAAATTCTCGGTTCAGAGTGGATCAATTTGACTGAAATTTTCAGCCAATTCCATTTACATTATCTATTTTTTAGCTATTATAGTGAGAACTGCCAGTTCTTTATCTAATCTCCCATAATATCCCTTTAATGATATTTTGTCTGTATTATAAATAGCTTTAATCTATACATAATTCAGAAATAGCCACGTTTCGCTTTCCCGTAAGTTTGTATTTCATCGAAAAAATCACCAAAGAACGCCAAACAAACAGTTAATGTCTTATATCCGAACTAACTGACTTTAGTCACTAAAATATATTTGGGACTGCGCCTTTAAAATTACCCGTATCTTAACTTTAAAAAACATTCTACACACATAATAAAGTTTCTTTACTTTCCATTCATAAGATGAAACAAATGGTTTTTTTAAGTAAGATAATTAAATGCAATAAATAAATGACATGACCTACAAATTACCCAAGCATGACCAGATTTGCCCGTGCGCACCTCGTGTGCTCAGCCGTCACAACCTTTTTAATACCATTGACATATTGTTCTGGTTGGGCGATCGATATGTAGCCTAAACCATCTAATATGTACGACTGTTGCTGCTTGTTCGACTTAGAATTAGCAGGTGAAAAGGGACAGTAATAAATCGATCGGGAAGGTGGGACTAACGTATAATGATTAATTCTATAGCGTGACCGACAACAGAATACATGGGATTTCTTTTCTCTTGAAGTACAAAGAATATTGTGATCGTCAAGTATAGCTGCTACTGTTGTTTATATTCTGTTATTGCCATAAAATAAACCCATTGAATTCAGGTTTGATTAATCAAAGACAATTTATCACACCTATATAGAATCATTATATATACAGGTAAGTTTATTGGCACTACATATTTTATTAAGTTAGAATTTAATGTGTTTACATTGCATGCAAATGTCCATTTGTTTACATGATAAATAACAATGTCTATTTCATTAAGTTTCACGTTATTATTGCCAGTTTGATGTCAGTGATCAGCAATTATACTCTTACATTTATTTTAATGTCAACGCGTAAAGTTTAAAACATACAGGAAAAGAAAAGACGCATGTATAGTCTACTTGTCTTCTTTTTAAAAGTCGACACCTATGTAACTGTCATGCTCCGAAAAGGGATATATTTTCTTTTCTATTCGACCCCCCATTCTATTTTTAGACCATAGTCGAGGCTTAGAATGTTTTCGTGCAGATATCATTTTAAAAATGTGTTTATAGCCTAGAGAGAATTCATTCAAACCCTCGACCTACATGTCAAACTCTATGTCTTGCATTTGCATGATAAAGTATAGTAGATTACTAACTATAGTAGAGTTCAAAAGAAACAATTTTCCTTATAGAGGTGACTGAACTTATATACATTGGTGTGCCACCCAATACGTGATTTTACTAAACTTGTAAATTAGGCATGTGTATTTCTGTCCAGAAAGTAACAATAATATTGATTTGAAAGTTCTGTATTCTAGCCCACGTTTGTTTTAAAACAAAAAAATATTAAAAACTATCAAAATTTGATTCTTTGCGTTTTCTGCCATATTGAGCGCAATGTGTGTTTCTTTTTGTTTTTATATCGATGGGGACGATACGACTTATAAATAAGATGGGGATACCCGAGTTTATGAAATAAGGATAGGCTACACCATGTTAATCTCAGAATGTCCTATTGTTTGTCCGGGGGTTGGATGGTCTAGTGGATTGACGCGTGCGCGTAAAATGACAAAGTCTGTCATTGAGTCAAGTGGCGTGGTTTCGATTCCCCGCTTGTACGTGACAAGGAGTAGGGTCGCATGTCTATCATCGTGGGTTTTCTCCGGGTCCTCCGGTTTCCTCCCACAGCTAAAGACCCCTAAGCGATAGCGAATTTTTGAAATAAGACTGAACCATATGTTGGTCCCGAAATTACCCAATACGTGTCGAATGGACATTAAGCCCCATTTCTCTCTCTATCCTAGTTTGTCAAGTGTTGAGATCCAGGGTTTGATCCCGGTGCTGGCCGAGAAAGTTCCACGAGATTCCCAGTGTATCCCCCCTCCCCCTTAACAGTTGTGCAGAATGGAGTGCCTGACAAGGAACACCGTCTGCTCGTTTAGATTGGACGAAAAACCAAGGTACTTGTCTGACCATGTACTCATTGACAGTAGTGTCCGTCTTCATTAACCCGGTTTTGCAGAAAAAATAGGACGAAAGGCCTGACAAGGACAGCTGTCTAGTCATTCGGATGAGACGAAAAACCGAGGTCCGGTGCACACATTGGCGTGCACGTAAAAGATCCATTGGCAGTTGGAATTCGATATAAGAGTAGGCCGTAGTGCCGCTGTCCGGTCAAAATGTCCATCATAGCACACTGTATGGCGTATGCCCGTCTTCATTAGCCCAGTTCGGAGCAAAACAGTAGGACGTTAAAGCCCATTTCATTTCATTTTCAGAAAAATAGGATGTTATATCTCTCTCTCTCTCCCCCCTCTCTCCCCTCTCTCTCTCTCTCATATAATCATATAATCTGATATGTACGTTTGTTTGTGATTTCTGCATATTGCGCCTTGTCCGTAGATTTGTTTTGTGTAGTTATGTGTGTCGCAGCACCTTGCACTTACCAATAGATGTACATAATTAAAGTGTCATTAGGTGATAACTATTTGCTCGCATCCGCTAACATACATAAACTCGTACAAACTTGCACTACATATTAGCACTATATTAGAATACTATTATCGAGTAATCGAGTCTGTTAAGGGCGTGGTCATTAGCTATAACATCACGAAAGATAGGAAAGGCCACATAATCTAACGCGGTTGTAGAAAAACGTCAAGTGTGAATAGTTGGACAATTGTACAGGTAGGTTGTTTTTAATTAATGTGTATACTATTTTTAAATTTCAGTTATATTAATATAGAAGGCCTATATTGTTTAGTATAGGCTCAAGTTATAGTCACGGCTGTTTTTGTTGTTATGTGATTTAGGCCTAATAATACAAACATAATATACCACAACCACATAAAATATACTACAGCTGTTGATCAGAATAGTTGGAGTTTACTTATAATGCATAATGCCGTAACACATATTTATTATAAACGATTATTATTACACGTATCGATTTGATATGGAAAACAGTTAACACCGTATTGATATAGTATACATTATATGTAGATACTATCTCAATATTAGTTCCTCTTTCAATTTTCATTTATCAAGAGTCACAGGGCTGACGAATGTTTTAAGTGTAGATAATGTTGAATGTCTTTTGTGTCAAATCTTTGATACGAATTAATGATAAAGTACCAGTGCTTATTGGAATACTACTTTTACGATATATTCTAGGTAGTTCTTGGCAGGCAGTATAGATCTTCACAAGGATAATAATATTATTCTAAAGGTGGGGATTACAAGAGAAACCATATTCGATACTACTAGAAAATAACTAATATTTAAAAGTTTGACCATTCTGTTTCCATTCTGATGTTTAAATATTAATCGAGACACGTATCTACACAAAACACAATCACTCTATTTCAAATATAAAAAGAAAAAAAACAATAATGCAAATCGTTTTCATTCAGTAATGAATAATTGATGTAGGATTGATGTTAACCACTGTTACAGACATTATGTCAACGTATTTCTGGGATTTAGTGGCCGAGTGGTCTAACTCGTGCTCAGTAGAGTATTAGAGTATTTTATCTTTGCAAGTCATGAGTTGTGTTCCGATTTTGCTACGTACTAGCATGGACCTTATAATACATGTATTATAAGGTCCATGGTAGTGGGGTCACCGACTTAACCATGTGGGCTTTCTCTGGATACTCCAGTTTATTTCCACTAAGTCAAGACCACTAAGCACAACCAAACTGTTGACATATAAGATAAGTCGTCCACAACTAATACTTGACTCGTACACAATTTAAATGTATAGAATAAATAAGTTTTATTTGTTGATTTTTGTTGATTACCGATCACGACCGAGATTAGTTCACTGCAATTTTTGTAATAAATTATATATATTCGTATTGTTTGTAAATTGGCGTTATGATTTTAGATTTTAGGTCAGTTCAACGATGTTTTTGTTGTAAAGTATATTCGTATTGTTATTTAAAACGAGCTGGCAATTCTCACTATAACAGTTAAAAACTAGATAATGTAAAGGCAATTTACTGAAAATTTCATTCAAATTGATCCACTATGAATCGAGAACTAAGCGATAGAAATTTCCGCCTAGCCTCGATAATCATTACTAAAGTCAGTACGATAAACAGCATAGTCTCGATTATCCATTTAATTGTTAAATCGTGAAGGAACGTTATGCAGTAAATCTTGCATAATGTGTGTTTAATTGCCGTTATTTCTATATCCCGAAATTAAACTACATATAATGTCGTGTGGAAAAGTCAACCAATGCCTTGTGGACGACTCTTAACCAACGAGTTTTGATTTTTGTGGACGACTTAACTAGACTTTTCGTGTGGTCGAGTTAACTCGCATTCAAATAAACCATGTTAGACCCGAAATAGACTTACCTTCAAAACAATTGGACAAGTGAATATTACAGTCTTATTACAAACAAACGGGCAGGTAAACTATCCATTAAAAATCCCTGTTAGTATACTATAAAAGCAGGATGAAGCCTCGAGTTACAGATTAGTATCGATTTTTACTGATGAACATAGTGTATACTTACAGCCACAGTAAAAGTAATTAGCGAGCTTTAATTTAAAAAAATCGATTAAATAGTACTATTTGTCGCTATAGTATAATTATTTTTCATAAAAATCAACATTTTTGCTTTGTAATTAATTTAGATACAAATGTTTTTCAAATTAGAAATATAAGTCAGACTCCTGGTGGCTCTAATCAGATAAGGGGAGTGGTGACCGCTTATTTTGCATGAAGAACAAGATCCTGTGAGGGGGAAACTCTAAAAACAAAATATTTATATGGTTATATGTGGGTGTGGGCAGGTGCTAGAGACGATTTGTAGCTTAAGATCCACGGTATCTGGTTAAGCAATGATTTTGAAGTGAAAGAAATGGGGTTTGACGTCCTACTGTTCTGCTCCGAACTGGGCTAATGGAGACGGACATACGTCATACAGTGTGCTATGAGGGAAATTTTGCCCGGCACTACGGCCTACTCTTATATCAAATTCCAACTGTCAAGGGATCTTTTACGTGCACGTCAATGTGTACACGGGACCTCGGGTTTTCGTCCCGAACAACTAAACAGTTGTCCTTGTCGGGCTCTTCGTCCTGCATCACTGACAAATGGGGAACCACGCCGGAAAATCTGGAGGAACCTTCTCGGCCAATGCAGGGATCGAACACCCGACCTCCAGGCTAATGAGCCTGCGTCTTACCCACTTAGCCACCGTGACCCCCTGATAGCTGATTATTAAGTAATGAAGATACGAATCTGTCAAGTCATGCAGGGCCTGCGTGTATGTTGTAAACATACTATACTTAAACTGTCTTGTCTAGAGACTCTTAGCTAGTTGACCGACATTTTAAGTCCTAAATCGACGATTTGTTAATAGTATTTATTCTGTTTCCATTTAATAAAATTGAAACAGTTTATGTAGTCTTTGTGTTTATGACAAATGTGAAACAGTATACTAATTTTTGGATATGGCGGCCATTTAGGGAGGACATCTATCCTCGAAATATAAAGTAGATGGATCTGTGTGTGCAGAATATGATGTAAACTGCTTTGAAACCACGTAATTTTTTCCATTTGAAAGGAGATGCAAAAATTCGAGGGTGCCCAAAACTCTAAACCCATGACACTAAGAGAGTCATTGCGTCCCTTGCACCTAAGGCTGGCGCATACTACGCGACGACGTTG